GATGCCTCTATCTTTTATTTATTTATTTATTTTTGTTAGTGAAACACCACGAGGTACAGTTGTGGACTTGCAAGATTTTGTGCTTGGGTTTCAGTTATACGGTGATCGAGTGCCCATCCCTCCACCAGTGCCCATTCTCCACCTCCACGGGTCCCAGTACCCCTCCCACCCCCATCCCCCCAACCCACCCTGCCTCTGTGGCAGGACATTCCCTTTTGCCCTCTCAGCCCGGAGAGAATTCTTTCCCTGGCATCTCAGTTCAGAATAGAACTATTCCGGCACGTGAGCACTGCTGGGCTTTGGCACCAGGCTTAAACTTTTTTTTTTCCTTTTGGATCACTCCTGGCTCATGCACTCAGGAATCACTCCTGGCCGTGCTCAGGGGACCCTGTGGGATGCCGGGGATCGAACCTGGGTTAGCCGCTTGCCAGGCAAATGCCCTACTCGCTGTGCTGTCGCTCCAGCCCCACCAGGCCTGAACTTTTTACGAGTCCAAAAAGGACCCTGTGCTCCCAGCCGGACAGTATCGGTGTGTCGCGAAGCCCCATCTGAGGCTTGTCTCGCAGCTGCGTCTTTCTAGACGCTTTCCTGTGTGCAGGTGCATTTGTGAGCAGAGCCAGTGGCCGCCTTTCTGAAACCCCACGTGACCTTCCACGTGATTTCACGCCACTCTCCATAGCCACGTTGCTTTCCAGCCGTTCCCCAGTGACCGTTGCTGTCGTCTGGGGAGCCGGCTCAGAAAGAGGACCGAACCGGTCTGTACTGTGCACACGACACCCCCAGGTTCGATTCCCACTCCTCCACGGTGCCCTGAGCACTGCCTGGTGCAAATCCCCCTGACGGAGAGCCTGTGTGACCGGCCTTAAACATCACCCAGCTTGACCCTGAGCTCAGGTATCTCCAGTTGGCCGTCTTGGCGAATGATGCGCCCCCCCTCGGCCTGCCTCTTGACGTCTCTGTGGAGCATTCTAGGTCCGGGACGCTCAGGGAGGGAAGGCAGGCTTGCCGAGTCTTGACTGACTTTGCTTCGGTGATGTCAACTTCTGCAAAACGCAGGGCAGCCTGCGTCACAGCCCAGAAACTGTGGGTGCCTGTGTCGGCGTTGGGCAATCTCCTCGCCTCCCGTCCCCAGCGGCGTTTCCTTCCGAGGTGTTTGGGAAGGGTTGCAGTGGGAACGGAGGACGGGGAGCTGGTTCCCGATGACTTGTGGGTGTGGATTGCCCCGACCGGCGGGGTTGTGCCTGGCTCCGCGCAGAGGAAAGCTTGCAGAGTTGGTTGGTGGTGGTTTCCGTGTTGAAACGGGAAGTGTGTCTCTAGTGCATTTTCGTCTTTACCTGTCAGGCTTAGTTTGAGTAAACCAGGAGGGAAGAAAACCTTGTAGCGGGCTGCCGTGTCAGGGCACGTTCCTTGCATGCAGCCGACCCGGGTTTGATCCCTGGCACCGGATGTGTTCTCCTGAGGCTACCAGGAGTGATCCCCGAGTACAGAGCCAGGAGTAAGCTTTGAGCACTGCTGGGTGTGTGATTCCAAAACTAAAAGGATGTCGCACTGTCGCACTGTCCTCCCGTTGTCCATCGATTTGCTCGTTGGAGACCAGTAACGTTGTTGTTACTGTTTTTGGCATCTCAGATACGCCACAGGGAGCTTGCCAGGCCCTGCCGTGCGGGCGGGACACTCTCGGTAGCTTGCTGAGCTCTCCGAGAGGGACGGAGAAATCGAACCCGGGTCGGCCGCGTGCAAGGCAAAGGCCCTACCTGCTGTGCTATCGCTCTAGCCAAGAAAATCATGCTGAAACATGTAGAAGAGAGATACTGTACTTCAGCTCTTTCTTCCGGTCTTGTTTTTCCCAGGGATTGGAGGCGCCCCTTAGATTTGTCCCTGGACTCCTGGGGCACGATGGTAGTGGTCGGAGAACATGGGCTAGGGGGCCACGAGCCTGTGGCACTGAGGAACCATGTGCTCCCAGTCCGCCTTTGCAAGAGAGGAGTTGTGCATGCCACGAGCAACGTGCCACAGCCTGGCACAGTGCCCTTTAGAAGCGGGGCCAGGGGCTAGAGCAATAATACAGTGGGCAGGGCGTTTGCCTTGCACACGGCTGACCCGGGTTCGATTCCCAGCTTCCCGTAGGGTCCCCCTGATTACTGCCAGGAGTAATTCCTGAGTGTATGAGCTAGGAGTCACCCCTGTGCATCGCCGGGTGTGACCCAAAAAGAAAAAAAAAAGAAGCCGGGGCCAGGTGAAGCCAGGAGACCTTGAATTTGAATTTCAGATCCCCTCACACTTGCAGCTGGCTTACCTGCGCGGTTCACTGGCTCTCCAGGAGACGGCCTGGACACAGGCTTCTGACACCCCAGCCGTCACCTGCCTTCCAGTGACAGTGACTTCCGAGGACGATGTTTGAGTATGCTGCAGCCGCCTGCAGTATCTGCCAGAGATAAGTTCCACGAGTCCCCCAGTGGAGGCCAGGAACTGCACATAGTGCTGAGCACGAGGTTTTTCCTTCTACCTGATGCGTCTGTGATTAGTCACTCAGGCGCATCCCGAGAGCAACAGCAATCACGATCATAAATTCGCACAGATACGATGGTATCGGGGACGCGTCCCGTGGCTGGGTCGTCTCACTCAGAGCGTCTCATGTTCTCAGAACACAGTCGAGGGGTGGCAAGCTCTTGTAACCTCTGAAATTCCCAGCGCACGGCTCTGTAAATCGCGCCGGAAGAAGGGCGCCTTCGCCAACCCTTATCCTTGCTTTCTGTGGCAGAGAAAAATCCAAGCCCAGCCTCTCGGAGACATTTTCAAACGGCCAAGGACATCGCGTGTCCGGAGGGTGAAGTTCAACCTCTCCTCCTTTCCGCTTAGCCTCAAGTGTATTTTTCTTAGCCCTAACAGTTTTTGGGGAGGGGGTGTTGCCGGGGTGCAGAAGGCAGCTTGGATCGACCAGGTCTGTGGCTTTTGTCCTTTGGTTGAAGGAGTCAAAGACGGTGCAGGCTGGCCGCTGCCCAGTTCTCTGCCGCATCCCCCCCGCACCCCCCCACGTCCAAAACTAGATCCTTCCTCCCTGCATGGGGGTGGTAATTAGACCCTGTCCCGCCGCAGAAGTGCTTCCCAAAGCATCTCACATTCAGCTCTGTCCTGAGGATTCCATTTTAAACTGCACTGGCCACTCTGGCCATGTTCTAAGTGTCCCTTTATCCAAACCCTTTGGTCCTGAGCAAGGAGGAAGGGAGCCTGTTAGTGGCCGTGGAAGCCTGTGAAGAGGGTCACCTTCCCAGGTCTGCCCAGGGGATGCCAGGCAGATGTTGCGGACAAAAAGTGTCCCAGTGGGGCTGGAGCGATAGCACAGCGGGGAGGGCGTTTGCCTTGCATGCAGCCAACCTGAGTTCGATCCCGGCATCCCATAGGGTCCCCTGAGCACCGCTAGGGGTCATTCCTGAGTGCATGAGCCAGGAGTAACCCCTGTGCATTGCCAGGTGTGACCCCAAAAGCCCCCCAAAAATCATAAAAAGAAAAAGGTGTCCCGGCCTGATGAATGGCTCGGGGCTCCGAGCTGGGAACCCGGAGCTCATTGGCAGAGGGGAGTACTCGTATGCACTGAGTGGGGTGTGCGTAGCGGGGTGGGGGGGGTCTCGCCTCTCCTTCGCTCCAGAGATCTTTCCAGCCAGGGATGGGTCTGTTTTGCCTCCTGCGTTTTCATTCCACAGCCCTTGAATGGGCTTTTTTGTGCCCAGACAGTCAGCGGGGACACACACACACACACACACACACACACACACACACACACACACACAGGGAAGGTTTCCACTGCTCAGCAGGTGGTGTTCCAGGGCCAAGTCAGGGGACACAGTTGCCCGCGCAAGGGATCCTGTTACGGCAAGGGCTGGGGATTGTCTTAGAAACAGGTGTGGGAAGACAGTGGCACCGGCCGCTCAGCGACTGGGGACGGGAGCGCCTAGTGATCCCGGCTGAGGGGCTGCCATGGGAGGCGTGGGGATCCGGGTGGGGAGCGTCGAGAGAGAGGCCGCTGGGGCCATCACCGGTCCCCTTGGACACGGTCTCCCACGCGGCAGGAGAAGCCCAGCCGCCTTCTGTCCTGGTCCTCCGTCGCCTCCTTCCTCCTCCTCTCTGCTGCCACCAGACCCTGTGTGTGACCTTTGCGTGGGCTCCGGGCTCTCGGCACTTTCGTCGTCTTTTCTCAGACCCTTTCCCGAAGGCCCAGCATCAAGCCCTGGGCCTCACACATGCAGAGCCCAGCCCCCCCGAACTCCCGAACCCCTCCTTGTGTTGGGACTCCAACATGCTCTGGTTTGGTGCTCAGGGGCAGTGCTCAGGCCACACACTGCCAGAGATTGAACCGAGGCTTCCCGCGTGCAGGACGCAGGTGCCCCTTGACATTGCCTGGTGGTCTGGTGTGGTTAGATGTCACCAGGACCGAGGAGAAAAGCGAGCACAAGCGTGAGCATCTGGGATGTCCCCCAGAGCTCAGATTAACGGCCGTGATCAACACCCTCCTTGCCCGTTCCTTTGTCTCGTCAATAAATAGTGTCAGTGGCTGGAGCGATAGCACAGCGGGGAGGGCGTTTGCCTTGCATGCGGCCAACCCGGGTTTGATTCCCAGCATCCCATAGGGTCCCCCGAGCACCGCCAGGAGCGACTCCTGAGTGCAGGAGCCAGGACCCAAAAATCAAAAAAAAGTTAATAAATAGTGTCATCCGCACCACATGTCAATCGGCCTCACCTGGCAGAAACCCAGCCTGACTTGTGGCAGCCACGAAAGTCAGCCTCGATCAGCACCGAGATCGGCCCCAGCTTGAGTCAGGTTCGCCTGCGCGAGGTGTGGGGGCGGGAGGGTGAGGAGTTAGGTAACCCGCTCTGTCTGGTCACCTTGCTGGCCTCACGCTTTGGCTTTGTTCCCAGGCTGGCTCCTGCCTCGTGATGGCAGAGTGACCTCTGGCTGCCCGGGCCCTTTCTCCTACCTTGCGGACGGAGTTTCTCTCCTCACCACTCCCTGGGGCCCGATGGAGGTGGCGTTGACACGGAACCTTGTGCAAGTTGAAGGCGTGCGCGGGGCGGTTTGAGCCACCGAGTGAGTGTCCGTGCCGTGAGCTAGCAGCCGCGGGGAGGCCAGCGAACGTGTCCAGAGCGTTTCTCGAGAGCTCTGCGGAGGAGCTGGACCTGGCCGCTCCCGTGCTGCGTTCAGCCCACCCACGTCCCAGCTTGGGCTCGGTCAGCACCAACCCCGGAGCAGGGCCCTGAGACTGGACGCACCCCGAGCCCATCTTTCCGGGGCCCAAGCAGAATGGCCCGCCCTGGGGAGCCCCCGGGGTGGTGGGGCTGGCAGCAGGCTGTGAGCAGTGGGGGCATTTTGGACTAAGTGGGGTTGGTCGGGAAGGCTGGGGATGGGGTGCACTCGGACACAGTGGGGTCCAGAGCGATCCCTGAGAGCCCATGGCCACACTAAGGAATTCAGCCCTACGATGCTTTGTTCTTACTTGTGTACTTATTTATTTTGTGGGGGAAGGGCTTTTTGGGCCACATCTATCAGTGCTCTGAGGTTACTCCTGGCTCTGCACTAAGGAGTTACTCCTGGTGGTGCTGGGGGCGAGGGGGACACCCTATGATGCTGGGGATCGAACCCAGGTCAGGCGTGTGCGAGGCAAATGTCCTCCCCACTCGACTGTCGCTCTGGCCCTCTTTGTTTATTCTGGGTATTTATAGGTCACACCTAGTGGTGCTCAGGACTTAATCGGGGCTCTGTACTCGGGGACCACTCCTGGCAGTGCTCAGGGGACCCTGTGGGATGCTGGGGATCAAACCTGGGTAGACTGCCTGCAGACCAACGCCCTTCATATGGTGCTGTCTCTCCGCCCACCTTTTGATTTATTTGCTTTTTGATGACGGTTCCCAGTGGCCAGGACTGAGGGTCACTCCCGGTGGTGACTGAGCCCTCCTGTGCCCCAGACAGTTCAGTCGTGCCGGGGCTGGGTGAGTAGTTCCTGTTGCAGGGATCGAACTTGGGGCCTGGTACATGAGCTGCTGCCCTGGGAGCCCTCTCCAGAGCCCCCCATGGTTTGTATTCTTTTTTTTTGCTTTTGCTTTTTGGGTCACACCTAGCAGTGCTCAGGGGTTCCTCCTGGCTCCGCACTCAAGAATTATTCCTGGGCTGGAGCGATAGCACAGCGGGGAGGGCGTTTGCCTTGCACGCAGCCAACCTGGGTTCGATTCCCAGCATCCCATATGGTCCCCTGAGCACCGCCAGGAGTAATTCCTGAGCGCAGAGCCAGGAGTAACCCCTGTGCATAGCTGGGTGTGACCCCCCAAAAATAAATAAAATAATTAAAAAAAAATAATTACTCCTGGCAGTGCTCGGGGGACCATATGGGGTGCTGGGGATCGAACCCGGGTCTGCCGCATGCCCTTTCCTCTGTGCTATCGCTCCAGCCCATGATTTGGACTCTTAACTGAAAAGTGAGCCTGGTTGATGATGCTGTCGGGCGAAGTGATAGGTTGGCGTCTCTTGTCCCCAAAGACGCCACCGGTGTCTGAGATCCTCAGAGGGAAGGAAGGGGCCCTTCGGGCCTGTCATCTGGATCCCGATGACCTTTTGATGCCCCCAGAGCCCTAAATCACGCCGGCACCCAGCGAAGAGACTGAGAGGCGGGGTCCAAGTCTGCGAGCCGCAGTTCCCAGATCCGTTCCCTGATCTCCATCCTCGGGGCCAGGCCCTGCTTCCTCAGCCCCTGGAGTCTGCACACGCCTTTCTGTCCCTTCCCCCCCCCCCCCCCCCCCCCCCCCCGTTGAAATGCCTCTCTGGTCCCTGATCCTCGTTCCACTGACTGTCCCCGGTGGCCATTGTTCCAAGTGTTGTGGCCTCTTTCCTGTCCTCATCCTCCCAGTTCTACCATTGCCTCATGGAGATTCTGGAAGGTTCCCTGACCTTCCTTTCACCCCCCCCCGCCCCCGTTTTCCTCCCGGGACATCCCATTCTTCGGCGTCTCGTCTTCCGCCTCCTCCCCGTCCCCCTGCCGCCTTCGCCCGCCGCTGGCTTCTCTGCTGACCCCCAGCAGTGGCATTCCAGAGTCCCAGGAACAGCCCCAAGATTCCCGGTGCTCTGTTGGCATCGGAGAACAGGAGGAACCAGCCACTGGCTCCTGACCCCCCCAGGCTTGATCCCCGATGTTCAGGCCCAGAGTCGCAGCTTTGTGGTCGTGGACGTGCCAAACTAAAAATGACCCAAGCTGGGACTGAGCCCCGGGCCCGGGACTGTGTGCTGTCGCACTGGAGGCGTGTCCCCAGCCCAGGAATCTCTGGGCTTGCGACTTGCTGTTTTATCTCATTTCATTGTTAGAACATCCCAGTGAGTGCCAGAAAGATAGTACAGGGGTTAAGAACAATGTCTTGGGGCAGGAGCCATAGCACAGCATGGAGGGCGTTTGCCTGGCACCCGGCTGACCCAGGTTCGATCCCCGGCATCCTCTAGGGTCCCCTGAGCACTGCCAGGAGTAATTCCTGAGTGCAGAGCCAGGAGGAACCCCTGAGCGTCACCGGGTGTGACCCACCCATAAAAAAATGACAAGGTGGGATCATCTCTTCCCCCATCACTTCTGCACCCCAAAGACTTTCCCTTCTGATTTTTTTCATTGTTGGCGGCAGAGTTGGAGCTGCTGAGTTTGAACCCTAGCCTGTCTTCTCATTCCCTTTTACCCTTTCGGTTATCATCGGCAAGTCCAGGTAGCTATATATATGTGTGTGTGTGTGTGTGTGTGTGTGTATATACACACACACACACACATATATCACTGAAGCACTGTCCTCCCATTGTTCCTCGATTTGCACGAGCGGGCACCAGTAATGTCTCCATTGTGAAATTTGTTGTTACTGTTTTGGCATATCAAATACGCCACGGGGAGCTTGCCAGGCTCTGCCGTGTTGGCAGGATACTCTCGGTAGCTTGTCGGGCTCTCCGAGAGGGGCGGAGGAATCGAACTCGGGTCGGCCACGTGCAAATATACATACATCACTGTCACTGTATCACTGTCCTCCCATTGTTCATCGATTTGCTCGAGCGGGCCCAGTAACGTCTCCATCGTGAGACTTGTTGTTACCGTGTCTGGCATATCGAATACGTCACGGGGAGCTTGCCAGGCTCTGCCGTGCGGGCGAGATACTTTCGGTAGCTTGCCGGGCTCTCCGAGAGGGGCGGAGGATTTGAACTCGGGTCGGCCATGGTGGCTGTGTGCAAGGCAAACGCCCTACCCCTGTGTTATCGCTCCAGCCCATATATATATATATATGTTGATGGGGGAGGGTTTGAGCCACACCTTTTAGTTCTCAGTGCTGATTCCTGGCTCTGCACTCAGGGACCACTCCAGGTAGAACTCAGGGGACCCTAGGGGATGCCGGGGATCAAACCCGAGTCGGCCGCGGGCAGGGCAGGGGCCCTCCCTGCTGTACTGCTGCTCCAGCCCATCACTCCGTTCGTTTCGGCCCCTTCCCGCTGCTGCCCCTGTGGCCGCCGGCCCTGCTTGCCCGGATCCCGGGCATTGCGGCCCCTGGCCCGGTCTGTTCTCCCCAGCAGCCCCCTCGGCGCTGTAGCTCTCATCCTGCCTGTCCTCCACTCTCTGGGCTCCCCTGGCCACTGAGTGTTGCTGGTTCCGAGCTGGATAAGCCAAAGCGCCTCCAGGACTCGGCTCCCCCATGCCCTCTGCCTCTCCCTGTCCCTGTGGCAGAGTCCTGAGGTCTCACCCTGCCCCCCAGCCTGGCCCTCTGTCTTCTCGCCCTCGGCCCTGCTCCCTCACGGCCTTTCCTGCGTTCCAGAAGCCGCCCGGGAGCTGGAGCAATAGCACAGCGGGGAGGGCGTTTGCCTTGCACGCTGCTGACCTGGGTTCGATTCCCACCATCCCGTATGGTCCCTCGAGCACCACCAGGAGTAATTACTGAGTGCAGGGCCAGGAGGAACCCCTGAGCATCGCCGGGTGTGACCCGAAAAAGCCAAAGGAAAAAACCCAAAAAACAAAAAAACCCCCAAAAAACAGAAGTAGGCCCCGGCTCTCCAGTGGCCCCTTGGCCCCATGGCCATGTGCTCCTGATTGTGCCCTGGATTCCCTGGTGGCCGCCCGCTGTGGGCACGCACCAGGCACTCGCTCCCGTGCCAACACAGTACATATCGGCTGCATGTTTGCAGTGCCACGCTGCCCACCAGGTCTGCGCCCAGCTCTGTACCTGCTGCCCATCCTCTGCCAGGTCACTCATGCCTCGAGGGGAAGCTGGGCTAGGAGAGAGAGTGACCCCCAGGCCCTGCGGCTCTTGCTCGGGGGATATTTGGGGGGATGCCGGGTGTTCATCTGTGAATGGAATGTTTTGGGTGGGCTGGCAGGCATAGAGGTCAAGTCCCTTTTTATTGATTTTTATTGCTTTTTTCTTTGGGGTGGGGGGCACTCCCAGCAGTGCTCAGGGCTTCCTCCATGGCTCTGTGCTCAGGGATCACTCCTGGCCATGCTCGGGGGACCCTCTGGGATGCCGGGGATCGAACCCAGGTTGGCCGTGTGCCGAACACCCTCCCCGCTGTGCTGTCACTCTGGCCGCAGTCCTTGTTTGGGGGAAACATTCTCGTCCTTCGGAGCAGCGTAAGGTTGAAGAATATTTGTTCTCCCCGTGGAGGAGCAGCCGTGGAAGCCCGAGACGAGTGACGATCTGAACCCTCCCCTCCTGGACGGCATGCCACGCAAGCATTGACCCCCTTCGGCGGGCGGTCTTCAACCATGGAGGACGCAGGGAAGACGTTCAGCTCCGAAGAGGAAGCAGCGAACTATTGGAAGGACCTGGCCATGTCCTACAAGCGGAGGTCAGTGCCCTGGGCTCGCCTGCTCTTCCTTCCACCCGCCGTGGGCCAAGGACACGACCAGCACCCACGAGGGTCTGGCACGCTGGGCCCATGACAGGTGCCGCCTGGCCGCCTGGTCTCAGAACTGCCACTCGCCAGCCCTCCCCTCTCTTTGCAAGTGAGGAAGCTGAGTTACAACACGGGCAGGTGACTCGTCCTGGGTCCTGCAGCTGGGACGTGAGCCTGGTGTCCAGCGGCTTTCCATCTGTCTCTTCTGGCGGGGCCCGGCAGTTCCCAGGTGCCATATCTGGCCAGCAGGATTTCTCCCCCCAGCCTGGAAAAATAGGGGTTTTCGTGTGAAAACAGTGTCATTGCTTATATATGGGTGTAGTGGTGTGTGTGTGTGTGTGTGTGTGTGTGTGTGTGTTTAGAATTTTTGGCGGTGGTAGTTGGGCACATCTCACAGTGCTCAGGACTTAACTCCTGGCTCTGTGCTCAGGAATCGCCCCTGGTGTGCTTGGGGAACCGCGCGGGGTGCCAGAGGTCGAAACCCTGTGGGGCGCGTGCAAGGCCAGCGCCCTCCCCGCCATCTCTCCCTCCAGCACCCCGTTCCGCACCCTTCACCCAGGTGCGTGGGCGCTTCCAGTTCCTCGTCTCGTCCAGACCTCGTTGTCTTTCCTGGAGAGTGAGGCCGGTGGGGGTTTCTTCGCCCAAAGGCAGGTTGAGGGCGGAGTGTCCAGTGTCCCCCCCACAGCCGCAGGGTGGGATTAAGCACCCGGTGGACCCCGGCTCACATCTGGGGATGGTGCCCCAGGGCAGAAGATGCCCAGGAGGAGCTGCGGGAGTTCCAGGAAGGAAGCCGCGAGTATGAGGCCGAGCTGGAGACGCAGCTGCAGCAGGTCGAGGGCCGGAACCGGGACCTCCAGTCAGAGAACAGCCGCCTGCGCCTGGAGCTGGACGCCCTCAAGGTGAGGCGACCGGGGAAGCCGCGGGGGCCAATGGGGGCAGTGGGATGGGTCCGGGCCCCGGGCCGTGCCGTTGGGGGCTGCGTGTGGCGATCGCCTCACTCCAGCCAGCAGCCGTGCCCGAGGTCCCCCTGCCGAGGAGCTGAAGCCCAGCCCCCTCTTCCCCCTTGGACCACTCTCACCCGCGCCTCAGACACCAGCGCCAGCCCTGTGGCCCCCGACCTCAGCCCAAGCTTCCCACGAGTTCCTCCTTGGGCCCGCGGGCCTCAGGGAATGGGTTTGCACCCGGGAGCCCTGATGGATGACGGAGGCTGGAAGTCAGGACCAGCCTGCTTGGGGAGACGCGTGCACTGGGCTGACTGGGTCGGGGGGCAGCAGAGTGTCCTGGGGGCCATCTCGGTGCTCTGCCCCCTCCTTCGCCTTATTCGTGGGCCCTGGGTTCTTAGGCAGGACAGATGGGCTGGGTGACCACTGGGCTCTGTCCCTCCCTCCCTGACCCCACGCTCTGGAGGTGGGACCGAAGTTTTCGACCTTCTGGTCACTTGGCCAGGCCTCGAGACAAGCCAGGCTTGTGGGCCTTCCCCCCGGAGGTGACTTGTCCACGGAGGATGCCTTTCTCTGTCCCAGCGCCAAGGCCGCGAGCTCAGGAAGCTGTGAAAGACCAGACGTGTATTTGGGGGACTTTGTGTTTTTGGCGTTTGGGGGTCATACCCAGCCATGCTGGGCTGGCAGCTGGAGGTGCTGGTCGACTCCTGCCTGGCCTTCCGTGGCTGACCGCGCGGCACTAGGACCCCTGTGTGTCAGTGTGTGTTCCAGCCCTTTGAGCCGCCTCCCCTGTCCCTCAACATGTATGACTGAATTTTTTTTTGAATTTTTGAGATTTTTTTTTTGCGGGGTCACACCCAGCGATGCACAGGGGTTCCTCCTGGCTCTGCACTCAGGAATTACTCCTGGCGGTGCTCGGGGAACCCTATGGGATGCCGGGGAATCGAACCCGGGTCAGCCGCATGCAAGGCAGACGCCCTCCCCCCTATGCTATTGCTCCGGCCCCAGCAACGTGTGTTTCTGCAGACTGCATCAGTGACTAGAAAACGGGTTTGGCGAAGAGAGGGGCCAGGCCTGACCAGCGAGCAGAGGTGGTCACTGACCCTTCGTGCCCCCGTGGAAGCAGCTGCGTGAGGAGGGTTTCCCCAGGACCCTCCTGGCTACCTCCAGCCACCCCAGAGGGCAGGTGGAAGAAGCTGGTCACCACCGTCCCTTTGTCGGTCCGGAGCTGCTTCTACACCCCACAAGTTATACGACGGACCCGTTGACTCACTTCAGTGAGATAGAATGAAATTTCTCGATCCCATTCGCTGCCTTTCACGCTCTCGGTCGCCAGAGTCCCTGGGGGCAGTCGCTGGACGGGCACCCTGGAATGTTCCCGTGGTTACAGAAAGTTCCTCTGGATGGGGCCAGTCCAGATTTCTCAACCTGGGCACAGGGACGCTTGAGCCAGGTAGTTCCCTGTGCGGCGGCCGCTGAGTTTCAGGGGACGTTCCGCTGAGTCCTTGATTTCCTGCCCTCTGGCGGGTGGCTAGGGGCTTATCCCCCGCCCCCTGAGCCCTGGGGGTCACAGACTAAGGTCTCACCCCTGTGCCTGGTGTCTGGACCAGTCCCGCTCGACCTGGTGGGTGCTGGCTTCTGTCCTTTCTCCGGGGCCGTGCTGTGACCCAGTGTGACCCTGAGCTTGTCCTGGGCACATTGCCAGGCTGGCCGTGTGCAGGTTTGCAAAACGAGCTCAGGCCAGAAATGGGATGTTAGGGGCGGGGCCTGGGGGAGGGGCCCCGGGGAACAGACTGCCCCCTCCTCTCCGGGAGATGAGGAGGTAACCTTCATCATGATCGTGGCCTGGGACCCCTGGGATGGTGCTTTGGAAACCAGAGAGGGGAGGGGGGGGGACAGGGAGAGAGGGGGGGGGGGGAGGTGTTTTACAGCAGAGTCAGGCCAGGCCGGTGGCCGACTAGCGGGCTGGAGAGGGATCCACGGAAGGTGCCAACCTTACATCGTGGCAGAGACCCCCCACACCTGACTGGCTGAGTTCAGAGCCATCTGCCCCTGGAGGTGGCTTGTCCCCACTTCCTGGGCGGGCTGGTCCCCAGCTTGTCCGGGCACTTCCGCAAGCTGGAAAGAACTCAGTGTTTGCACAGTGACGGGCGCCCTGCCTGCCCGCTGCCCGCTGCGCGTTGATCTGTGGGTCCAACCCGCTGGTGCCCACACAATCTCGCACCCAGCACACTCCGCCCCTCCCCAAAGTCTTCACGGGCACTGGGACCAGAGTTGAGAATGTTACTGTTTCTTCTTCTGGCGGTGAAGTGCTATTTTGAATGTCTTTTAAGTATTCAGGGTCAACAGTTGAAGTGAGGAGGAAGGGGAGGGGGGGAGGGAGGGAGGGAAGGAGAGGGAGGGGGGAGAGAGAGAGAGAGAAAAGAGAGAGAGAGAGAGAGCGGATAAGACCCTTGCGTCACGTGTGTCCCAGCCGGTTCCATGCCCTGAGCCCTGCCGAGTGTGGCCCCAAGTCCCAGCAAACAGATCAACAAAACAGGCGTTTTTGGAGTTGGGACCCGGCCCTGCTGGTGCTCTCCTGCCATCCTGCTGCTCGCTGCAGTCCCCTCCCCGCCCCCATCTCTCGGACGCCCACAAAGGCCCAGTGTCCACCCGCCCGGCTGGTCTGTTCCCTGACCTCTACCATAGATGCCTCGGAGCCCTTGGGTTGTTGAGTTGAAGGGGCCTGGGGAGGGGCTGGGGCCGGGGGACCCGCACTCGTGCCGAGTGAACACACACAGTTGCTGAGGTCACTGACCCGGGGGCCTGCAGACGAGGACAGAGGCCCCCTGGTCCAGCGCCCAGAGCCCAGAGGACGTAGAGATGGGATCAGGAGCCGAGTGCCTCAGGCTGGGTCCTGGGCCGTCCCCCAAGAAACGCGCCCAGCTGCGCGCCCACTGACAGCCGGGGCATTCACCCCGGGCTGAATGACGGCGTGTGTACACCGGGTCACACAGCGGCTATTGAGGCTGCCAGCAGCCCCGAGTTCAAAGGCGAGATTGTCCCCTGGGGTGCTGGCCGGGAGGGCCGAGCCCGAGGCCCGCGGCTTCCCGGCACCTGCGGTGGGGCTTGGGTGCCTGACCCGGGACCCTGCGTCGTCCACTTTATTTGGAGGTGCACCCGGTGGGGGTGTCGGAGCCCGGGGGCCGGCCCCTCGAGTCCACCAGCCAGAGAGCCCGCGGGCTTCCTCGGGTCACGGCCTGGCACCGGTGTCCGCGGGCCGTGGGAGGATGTGCCCTCCCTCTCCGCTCGCCCAGTAAACAAGCTGCTTGCTTGGGGGTGTTCTTCCTTGGCGGTGACCCTCACCACACCCCTCCAGCCACCGCCGTGACCTCACCGCCAGACTGCGCCTGGCAACAGCTTTTTTGAAAGTATCCAAAGCCTTTTCCTGTGGGGAACTGAGGATGGGTGTGTGTGCTGGAGGCAGACGATTTGGGAGACGAGCTGGAGCAGAATGTGTGTGTGTGTGTGTGTGTGTGTGTGTCTGTGAGTGTATATAAGTGTATGTGAGTGTGTGTATGTGAGTGCGTGTACGTCTGTGTGTGTGTCTGAGTGTGTCTGTCAGTGTGTGTGTGTCTGTGAGTGTATATAAGTGTCTGTGAGTATGTGTGTGTACGCGAGTGTGTGTATGTAGTACGTGTGATCATGTGTTAGTGGGTATGTAGTGTGTGTGATAGTATGTAGTGTGTGCGAGTGCGTGTGAGTCAATGTGTGAGTCTGTGTGTGAGTGTGTCTGTGTGCGTGTGTGAGAGAGAGAGAGAGACCAACACCGGCGCGTGTGTCCGAGCTGCGTGTGTGCTGAGGGAACTGCATCTCTGGCTTGTGTGGATCCTGCCCACGGCCCAGCCCGGTTCCCAGGCGAGCAGGGGCGGGTGCAGCCGGCCTCGACCGCGGCCCAGGCATCAGCCCCCAGTGGCCTCAGGCAGATGGAACCTCGTGCTCTCCCCGTCGGCTCTTGAGTGGGCAGCCGGCCAGGGTGGGGGTGGCAGCTGACTCGTTCGGAGGAAGTGGCCCCCGGGCGTGAGTGAGAACGCGACTGGACAGCTCCGGGCCTCTTCGGAGAGCCAAGCCTGACCTCGTGGAACTGATGTCCGTAGGGAAGAGGGTCCAGTTTTTCTTCCTTCCCCATGGGGAGAGGAAGTCCCTCTCACATACTCAGGGTTAGGCCCCCTGAATGCCCCCTGAATCAGAGCAGTGTTTCACCCCGGCATGCTCGGGGTCTTGCGTGAGGAGACCGCCCTTGGGGTCCCGGCACGGTCTTTGGAACCCACGCCTGACACAGGGAACAGATTTGTGGTCCTCTCTGGGGCAAACTTGGGGGTCGGGGGAGCCGTTTATGGCTTCTCTCATCACCAGGGAATGGGACTGAGCAGATGTTCGTTGGGGACTCCTGGAATCCCTGGTGGCCAGAGGAATCGGGTTTGGGAGGGGACAGGAGACGGCGGGGAAGGAGTCTGGACCCCGGCTGCGCCCAGCTCGAGGCAACTTTGTTTTCTCTGGTCTGTGTTTTGGGGTGGTGGGGGCCATTCTGGCAGCACTTGGGGGCTACTCAGAGGGGCCGGGGACCGAGCCTGGCCCCCCCCCCCCCCCCCCACGTAGAGCTTGGAGCTCCAGCCCTTTGAGCCACCAGGGGATGGCTTTGAATGATGACCCCAGTTCTGCCATCTCGCGTCACTTGTCCGTGGAGAAACAGTTTCTCCGCGGGAGCCCCCAAGTGTCTCTGGAGCTCGCGTGCAGTGGGCTCTGGTCGCAGGCAGACCCACTGAGGCAGGAGAGAGTAGCCCCTACAAATGCCCAGGGGCTGGTGGCGCGCCTGCAGGGGGAGGGATGAGGCGTTCTGCGATCCCGTAGGCACACGTCCGCTTGTCCACTTCGTCCAGGATCCCAGAAGGGGTGGAGCAGAGCGGGGTGGCCAGACGGTGCACCGGGGGCTCTCCGGAGCCGCCTGTCCCCCCCTCTCTGTGCCCCCTCCCCTCACCGGGGTCTGTCCCCGTAGGAGAAGTTCGAGACGCAGCACTCGGAGGGCTACCGGCAGATCTCCGCCTTGGAGGACGACCTGGCACAGACCAGAGCCATTAAGGACCAGCTGCAGAAGTACATCCGGGAGCTGGAGCAGGCCAACGACGACCTGGAGAGGGCCAAGCGGTAGGTGTCCCCTGGCCACTGGGCAGTTGGACGCTGTGATGAGCTGCAGCCATCTGAGGACCCCCACGGGTTTCAGGGCTCTGCAGGGGACATGGGCGGTAGAGCGTCAGGAGACGGGGGGGGGACAGTGTGGGGGGCCGTTTGGGGGGCATCGTGCAGGGAAGGAGAAGCATGGACCGAGAATAGTCTTGCGGGCCTTTGCATTCCTTAGCAGTGCTGGGAGTGACCAGGACCTCGCACACCTCTCGCCCTGGGATTTATTTTTTGGAGTAGGGAGCTCCCACGCGGTGCCAGGCGGACCCGGGGGCTCCCCCCGGTGATCCTCGAACACCCCAGCCTGCAGTTCAGTGCACGGGCCCAAGAACAGGCTGCTGGTTCCCCAGGCCTCCTCAGCGGTGCTCAGGGTCCCTCCAAAGCTGCCCCCGCCGATGTTCAGGGGCCCCTGTGTGGTGCCAGGAATTGGACCCAGGCTAGGCACATGCAAGGCATAAGCCTTAACCACCCCCCGCCTTCTACCCCACGTTATCTCTTTGGCCCTGGTATTTTTTTTTCTTTTTGGGTCATACCTGGCAATGCACAGGGGTTACACCTGGCTCTGCACTCAGGAGTTACTCTTGGCAGTGCTCAGGGGACCATATGGGATGCTGGGACTCGAACCCGGGTCGGCCGCGTGCAAGGCAAACGCCCTACCTGCTGTGCTATCTCTCCAGCCCCCCTGGCATTTAATTTTAATGGGCCAGCCCCAGGTGAAGGGGGAGATTGGTGCCACTTTTAGAAACGTTTGGGCCATCTGGTAGGGCCAGAGGGTGGGGGCCCGGGGGTGGCGCCAAGCCAGGGCTTTACCAAAGGCTTTACTGACGAGCCGGACCTCCAGTTCCAGAACAGGGTTTATTCAGTGACTCTCCTGCAGTTTGTCAGAACTCACAATTATGAAGCAAGTTACTTTGGGCCAGGCCTTTTTTTTTTCTTTTTGTAAAGAAAACCCTTGGCCGCTGATGGGATTACACGGCGCCAGGGGGCCAGGTGGTGGGTGTGACCCCCGCCTACTGGAATTTGGAGGATCTGGGTGGAAGATGCTCGACTCCAATCCGAGTACAAGACTCAGAGTCTATAAAACCCAGATCCTGGAACCGCGCGGCCGCGAATCAGAACTTTTTTTTATGACATCTTGTTGTCTCATTCCTACTTTGGACGAACTTGCAGGCTATCGAATGTAGCCTGCCCACAGGGCAGAGTCTGGCAAACTCCCCGTGAGGTACCCAATATGCCAAATACCAGTAACAATGATGGGTCTCATTCTCCTAAAGAGCCGTGAATATAATCTCAGGGCTAGGATGAAAGAGACGTTACTGGGGCCTGCTCGAGGCAATCGACGACGAAAGAAAACCCTTAACTGTTTTTTTTTCTTTTTTGGGGGTCACACCCAGTGATGCACAGGGGTTCCTTCTGGCTCCTGCACTCAGGAATTAGTCCTGACTGTGCTCGGGGATATGGGATGCTGGGACTCGAACCCAGGTTGGGCTGTGTGCAAGGCAAACGTCCTTCCCGCTGTGCTATCGCTCCAGCCGCCCTTAACTGTTTTTAACGTATCAAGTGCTGGTGACGTGCCCGCATCTCTGGCAGCTCTAAGACGTGTGATGTTTCTGCTGAGACACAGATCCGGGCCTTTGCACTCCTTGACCCCTGCATCCCCACCCCAGCCCCTCACGAGGTCAGTGGCTGCCTTAAGGTGAGGAGGCGGAGGGTCCATTCTGCATCCTGCTTGGTCAGGGCTGCACCTCTCGAAGGACACGCAGCCACCTACCTCGTTCTTGGGCTCACCGGCCTTGATCGCGAAGCTCTGCTGGTCTTAGCGTCTGGGGCTGCCGTGGGGCGTTGTTCCCGCTCTTGCTGACAAAGCCAAGTGTCCTGTAGGGAACAGGGGGCCGGGCCAGGCCTTCTCCTTCTTCCTTCCTGGAGAGCTGCTCGCCCAGACTCTGCTGTCTGCGGGAAGTGCCTCCCCATCACGGGTGTCGGCTGACCGGGAGCTCTCCTGCCGCCTCACTGGACAGGGTCTATGTCACCATCACCCTTTTCACCTGTTCTGCTTTGGGGCCACACCCAGTGGCACTCAGGGGCCCCTCCCCTGCTCCCAGTGGCATTCGGGGGACCACGTGGTGTCAGGGGTCAGACCCAGGCCTCTTCATGCCACACGCGCTGCCTCTGGGCCGTCTCTCTGGCCTCTCTCTCCTGAAGCTGAGGTCACACGGGTGCGTGACATTTCCGGTGATCTCAAGTTTCGTTCATGGTGGGGCTCCGGGGCCCTACAGAGTGCGGGGATTGACCCCAGGTTGGCTGCATGCGAGGCAGATGCCCTCCCCACATCCCCACAGTGCTTGCTCTCTCTTATTTTTTTTCACTTATCACTTATCACTTAATCCCCGTTACTCATCGATTTACTCAGTGGGTGCCAGTAACGTCTCCATTCATCCCGGTTGCGTGCTAGCGTAGCCCAATGGCATCTGTTCGTTCTAGGAACATGCAGAGCCTCAAACCGATCATTCAGGGTCTTGACGAAGAAGTCTGACCATCCAGTAGTAAATGGATCTCATTCATTTTTTATTATTATTATTATTATTATTTTGCTTTTTGACCGGAGTCAGCATGCAAGGCAAACACCCTCCCTGCTGTACTATCGTTCCGGCCCCCATTGTGTCTGTTGTTAGAACAGCTGCGACGTCTCCCTCCGTTTCTGTCCACCACGTCTTTGCCGCACCGGCTATCCCTGGCTGGGCTGGGGCTCGCACCCCACACGGCCAGCCCTGCTCACTCTCAGACCCCGTCACCTGTTCCCTCCGGCAGGGCCACCATCATGTCCCTGGAAGACTTCGAGCAGCGCCTGAACCAAGCCATCGAGAGGAACGCCTTCCTGGAGAGCGAGCTGGACGAGAAGGAGAACCTTCTGGAGTCCGTCCAGCGGCTGAAGGATGAAGCCAGAGGTTAGGGCCTTGTCCGTTTCCCGGGGGGTCCCTGGGGCCACCCCCAGCAGGCCAGACCCTGGCCGGGGAGGACAGGACACCCCACCCAGGTGCCGCCCCCGTGTGTGGGTGAGCTGACTCACTCTCCGTTCCCTTTATGAGGTGACAGAGTCTGGGGGTGTCGGGCACGGGATCCTGACGTCTTCTCCACGTCTACTCTCAGGAGGGAGCGTTGGTTTCCCGCTGTGGCCACACGCTCGTGACTCAGTACCCAAGAGACACTGTTCACTGCTTCTCAGGGCCCTGAGCAGGACGGGCTTTTTAGGAAGGGCCTGGTCCCTTGGCTTCCCTGTATATATATTTTTTGTTTTTTTCAGCTTTTTGAGTCACACCTGGCGATGCACAGGGGTCACTCCTGACTCTGGAATTACTCAGGAATTACTCCTGGCGGTGCTCAGGGGGCCATATGGGATGCTGGGAATCAAACCTGGGTCGGCCGTGTGTGAGGCAAATGCCCTCCCCTCTGTACTGTCACTCCGGCCCCTGTATATAGATATATATTTTTTTTAATTTTTAAATTTTATTTTATTTTTATAAGGTGTTCACAATAATCTTTCACATTCAGTATTCTAACATCAATTCTGCTACGATTACACCCACCACCATTATTTCAGATTTTCCCAACCACTCCCCAACCTATATATGTAATACCTGTCACTGTCACTGTCTTCCTGTTGTTCATCGATTTGCTCGAGCGGGCCCAGTAACGTCTCCATCATGAGACGTGTTGTTACTGTGTCTGGCATATCGAATATGTCACGGGGAGCTTGCCAGGCTCTGCCGTGCGGGCAAGATACTCTCGGTAGCTTGCCGGGCTCTCTGAGAGGGGCGGAGGAATCGAACCCGGCTCAGCCAGGCTGGCTGCGTGCAAGGCAAACGCCCTACTGCTGTGCTATCGCTCCAGCCCATATATAATACCTATATATATATATTTTTTTTTAATTTTAATGAATCACTGTGAGATACAGTTACAGACTTACAAGCTTTTGTGATTACGTTTCAGTCATACGATGATTGAGTACCCATCCCTCCACTCATGCCCATTCTCCACCACCAACGTTCCCAGTATCCCTCCCACCTCCCCCCCTCCACCCCCTGCCTCTGGGGCAGGCACCTTCCCTCTTACTCCCTCTCTCCTCTGGGTGTTGCGGTTTGCAATACAGGCACTAAGCGGCCATCCTGTTTGGTCCACAGTCTACCTTCAGCACGCATCTCCCATCCCGAGCCGCCCTCCCACTGTCATTCACTCAGGTCCCTGCTCCATCCCAGCGGCCTTTTCCCCCGGCACATGAGATCGGCTTCCAGGCCGTGGAGCTGCCTCCTGGCCCTCATCTCTGTTGTCCTTATCCAACCTGTGTTTTCTACCTACCCGCTTCTCCGCCCGTATCCCAGAGCTCGACCCTGCTCGTCCGGACCCCGCGCTGGCTTCAGGCGGGCTGTGTCCTGATTCGATGTGGATGCGACCAGACAGTGATGCCCACCCTTGCACTAGCTCGTCAGCAGCAGCGCCCAGAGTTGGGTTCTTGGTGTTGGGCCATACGGGTTGGGTGCTCAGAGAGCCGGCTGCTCGCTGCTGGGCGTGGAAGCGAGGACTTCCACACGCCCAGCCGGCTGGAGCACGGGGCTCTTACTGCCCTGCCACACGGAGCCACAGCACGACGTTCTGGTGACGAGAGTCCAAGATAAAGTGCAGGGTCGCGGAAGTACACGTTTGACATGAAGACCTCTGGAGCTGAGGAATTGAGCAAGGGGGGGGCCCGGGCGGAAGCCCCGGGGGCTCAGCGTGTGTCGAACATACCTACAGCCCCGAGTTCAGTCATGTAAGAGGCGTTGCCTGATCTGCTGGGCACTGCCCTGGCGGCCCCCAGCACTGCCGCCTGCACCACCCCAGAGAAGCACAAGCCCACAGAGTGAACGTGCTGCTGTGTTCATGCGCGTTTAGAGAGTCAACTCCTTGTCGTCCAGAGGAGGGATCACAGGGCCTGACCGGCCAGGTGGATGTTTCTTTACTTTTTGGTGTTTGGCTTTTTGGGTCAGACCTGGTGGTGCTGAGGAGTGACTCCTGGCTCTGCACTCAGGAATGCCTCCTGGCGGTGCTCAGGGGACCCTAGGGGGTGCCGGGGATCGAACCTGGGTCGGCCATGTGCAAGGCAAATGCCCTCCCCGCTGTGCTATCGTTCCGACCTCACGAGTAGATGTCTCTGTTTGTACAGAATGAAGATCACTCTTTTTTTTTTATTGCTTTTTGGGTCACACCCGGCGATGCCCAGGGGTTCCTCCTGGCTCTGCACTCAGGAGTTACTCCTGGCGGTGCTTGGGGGACTCTATGGGATGCTGGGGATTGAACCCAGGTCGGCCAATTGCAAGGCAAACGCCCTCCCCACTGTGCTATTGCTCCCACCCCATGAAGATCACATTTTGTGCTCAGTACTTGGGCCGGAAACTCTGTGAGAGGCAGCGAGGGAGGAATGACACCCCCACACACACATGCCATGGAGGTGGTCTGGCTGCGGCGGGAGGTGCTGCTCCCTGGGCAGAGCTTCGTTTTCATCTGTTCTGTATGCTCTGATGCATTGAAAATTTCTGAAAACAGTGAAAGCAGAGGGGGAAAATTCTGCTTTTTAGATTTTTTTTTTTTTTTTTTTTTTTTTTTTTGCACAGCGGCAGGGCGTTTCCCTTGCAAGCAGCTGGCCCGGCCAAGCTAGGTTTGATTCCTCCGCCCCTCTCGGAGAGCCTGGCAAGCTCCCGAGAGTATCTCGCCCGCACAGCAGAGCCTGGCAAGCGACCCGTGACGTATTCGATATGCCAAACACAGTAACAAGTCTCGCAATGTTGCTGGGCCCGCTCGAGCAAGCCAATGAACAACGGGAGGACGGTGACAGTTTTTAACCCCAAAGAAAGATGGTATTGACTTGCCCACCGTTGTGCCGGGCCTGGCTCTGTGGGTCTCCGCGGAATCGCTCACTCGGTCACTCTCTGCCCTGCTTGGCGTCTCCTGGCCTCCCCCGAGTCCCGACTTGACCCGGGTCCCTTCCTCCGGCTCAGATCTGCGGCAGGAATTGGCTGTGCAGCAGAAGCAGGAGAAACCCAGGACCCCCGTGCCCGGCTCTGGGGAGGTGGAGAGAGCCGACTCGGCCGTGCAGGCCACGGGCTCCGTGCCCTCCACGCCCACCACCCACCGCGGCCCCAGCTCCAACCTGAACACGCCCACGACCTTCAGGCGCGGTAAGGGCAGTAAGGGCTGCCGGGAGACGAGTTCCAGGGCCAGGAGGGCCGGGCTGACGGCGGGAGGTGCGCCCGGACGCTCTCTAGGACGGAGAGTGGTGGGTCAAGGCCGGGGGTGGTGGGGGTCTGTGGCACATGGGCGTGGCCTCTTCGGAGGGGACGGCTGCCACGCTGTTCCCCATGCAAGGAACTGGGGCACGGCCGAGGTAGACCTTCGTGCTCTCCTTTCCTCCAGAAACCCAACATCCGCTCTCTTTTTCTTTTTGGGTCACACCCGGCGATGCACAGGGGTTCCTCCTGGCTCATGCACTCAGGAATTATCCCTGGCGGTGCTCAGGGGACCCTATGGGATGCTGGGGATTGAACCCGGGTCGGCCGCGTGCCAGGCAAACACCCTACCCACTGTGCTCTCGCTCCAGCCCCTGACATCCGCATGCAAGGCACCCTTAAGACAGGAAGTCTCTCCCATGTGGAGTTGAGGGAAGTGGGGCAGGAAGTGGACTAGGTTCCGCCTAGCCCTGGGGGGTTCATCACGAGGGAGGGAGGGAGGGACATGTGGGCGGCGTATGGGTAGAAACATACACGGCCAGGCCCCCCGTCCCCTGCTGGCTGGTGGCCAAGGGAGACTCCGGGGGTCCTCTGAATCCTCGAGAGTCCCTGGTGCTCCCGGCCCCTCCTCTGCTTCCCGCCTTGGCCCTTCTAAACGTGGGTCCCCGCCCTGGGTGCTGGCCCAGGGGACACTGGCGGGGGGAGAAGCCCGGTGCCTGGAACCCCAGATGGGGAATGGCAGAGCCGAGACCCAGACCCCCAGGGGCTGGGCTCGAGGGCTCCTGTGTCCCCCTTATCCCTGTCCCCCGGCTTCTGCACTGGTTTTTATTTTTTTCTTTTTGGGTCACACCCAGTGATGCTCAGGGGTTCCTCCTGGCTCTGCACTCAGGGATTACTCCTGGCGGTGCTGGGGATCGAACCCAGGTCGGCCGCGTGTCAGGCAAACGCCCTCCCCGCTGTGCTGCCGCTCCAGCCCCTCTCCCTGGTTTAAGCCTCACCCTGCTGAGACTTCGCCGTCGCCCGTCTCTGGTGGCCTTGCCCGCACAGCCCTGACCCCCGTGGCCTCCCCTGGGGTGCGGTGGTACCCGAGGCCCAGGGGTGCGGGGCGCCCTGACGAGCACTTCCTCCATCACCAGGGCTGGAGGACTCGGCCAGCGGCACGCCCCTGACTCCTGCGGCTCGAATATCGGCGCTCAACATCGTGGGGGATCTGTTGCGGAAAGTAGGGGTGAGACTGGACCCCCCCTTGCCGGGCCCGTGGGTGGCTTCTCCCCGGCCCCTCTGAGCAGGTGGGCCTGGCCACTTCCTGTCCCTGAGAGCAGGGTTTGGGCTGAGCTCGTACCCGGGTTGTCAGAGCACCCGTGGGTGGGCTCTGGGGTGACAGGCACCCCCAGCTCCCAATCGCACCCTCCCCAGGACTCCGGGCTCCTCTCTCCTGCTCGTTTTCCTTAGCACCTGGGGAGATTCCGAGGGGCTCTCTAGTCCCAAGGACTGTTTATAAAACTCCTCATTTCCCTCCTTGTCCCCCCCCCCCCCCCCGCCCACCGTCCCCAAACAGTTTTAGAAGGTTTTGAAAAGCTGCGGTCAACAACTTGACCAAACAGGTTTCCTGTTAATTACAGAGACGATGCGTAAGGCTCAAGCCCATGTTTATTCTTTGCCTTTTAGGAACTGGGTCTAGAGAGGCAGCTCCAAGGAAGGGCTGGGAAGCCTGGGTTTGGTCCCTGGAACTGTGTGGTGGCCTGAGCACTCAGCCAGGAGTCACTTTCATGTTCTGAAAAAACAAACACATTAAAAAATAATTGTTGTTGTTTGGGGCCTGGCCAGCTCTCTGTGATGTATTCGATAGGCCAAACACAGTAACAAGTCTCACAATGGAGACGTTACTGGGCCCACTCGAGAAATAGATGAACAACAGGCGGACAGTGACAGTGACAGTTTTGGGCTACACCCTGTGAAGGGCATCCGGCCTAACCCTCGCTCTGTGCTCACGGGTCACCGCCGGCAGTGCCCAGGGGATCATGCGGGGTGCCGGGGACCGAGCATTCCATCAGCCTCCGTACCAGCCCTCCAGCCAGAAGTTAAACAGCTCCAGCGATGCCTGGGGACCAGGCTCAGGCTCAGGGACCGAGCACGCATGTTGCGTGTGTGAGGGACTGGGTTCCACACCGAGCACCCCAATGACGTGAGGAAGGACGCACACGTGCTTGGCACACGTGAGTCCGCGTGGCAGGAGCGTGAGTGCAGACCTGGCGTGGGAGAGAAGCTCGTTCCTCCTCTCGGCCTTTGTCCCCCGGCCTCCACTCACCAGGTTTCCTACTCAGTTGGGAAAAGAACAGGAAGCCTTTCACTTCAAAGGGATTTTAACTTAGGGACTATGATCTACTGTGCTGTTGGGTCTCTGTATTTTAGCACAAAGTGCGTGTGTGTGTGTGTGTGTGTGTGTGCGTCTGTGTCTGTGTCTGTGTGTCGGGGACCTGGGTGTTCATCTCAGTACCCCTTGGGTTTCTGCAGGGCTCGCTGGCAGCCAGTCAAAGCCCTTGTCCAAACCACAGCAGGTCTTTAGTGAGGAGGGCTGGGGTGGGGGGATGCTTGCGGAAGTGGGTTTCCTCTTCCTCAGGGCAGAGCTGAAGCTTTGTTTTCTGTGTTCCGGGCAGCGATTTCCTGGGAAGCCCCTGAGTGTCACGTCCAGGCCCTGTGAGACCCGCTCCCCTGTCCCCACACTCAGCTCAGTGTTTGCCTGGTGACATGACCAGACACGACCCTGGTCTCCCAGGAATCGCAAAACCTCTCTCTCTCTGTGTATGTCTGTATCTGTGTCTGTGTCTCTATATTTTGGCACGAAGTGTGTGTGTGTGTGTGTGTGTGTGTGTGTGTGTGTGTGTGTGTGTGACACCTCGCCTCCCCTTCTCTCTCCCTCTCTCCCTCTCTCTCCCTCTCTAGGCGCTGGAGTCCAAACTCGCCTCCTGCCGCAACTTCGTATACGACCAATCCCCTAACCGAGCTGGCAGCAGCCCCGCCTCGGGGCGGGCAGGCAAATCCAGGGACAGTGACCGGCGACCGGGCAGTGCCAGCGTGCCCTTAGGCGACAAAGGGTCAGTACCTCTCACTGTTCCTCCCAGGCTCGGGGGAATCCCCCTACTCCCGTGGGAGCCTCTCGGGATGAGGCTTCCTCCATCGCCCCTCGCTTGGGTACGAGTCCTCGGGTTGGGGCAGCGGGTGTCCTGCCTCCTCGGGCCCTGTGGCACCAGGGTTCTGTCCCGCTCACATGCTTGGGGACTCGAGCTCCGAGCACTGCTCGACTGCCCCGTGACACCGGATTTAAGCAAATGAAGTCTTGGGGCTGAGCCCGGTAGGGAACTGGCCATGTGTATGTGAGGGCCCGGGTTCACTACCCAGCACTGCAAAAAAAAAAAAATGCCGCGAGGTTGGAGAGCTAGGACGGTGGGGAGGGCATGTGCCTTGCGCTTAGCTGAGCTGGGTTCGATCCCCGTGTGGTATCCCGGCCAGCCCCTCCGAGCATCACCAGGAGTAATCCCTGCGTGCTGAGCCAGGAGTCAGCCCTGAGCACCGCCGGGAGTGGCCCCCAAATGAAATAAGGGCCACGAGTCGAGTCTCCCCCCCGCCGCCTTCCTTCCTTCCCTTGTGGCAGCACCAGGGGCTTGGCTCCGGGTTCAGGAGCATTCTAGGCGGTGTCGCTGTCTTCCTGGACCCTGCGTCTGCACATAAGTCGGGGCTCAGGGCTGGGGGGCTGATGGGAGAGGAAGACGGGGGAAGATGACGTGCCTGTGGAGGTTTGCAGCGAGGCTCTGGCCTGGTCGGTGACAGTGGCGGCGAGACAGCCCGTGTCCTGTTCTTCACTTCACAGGAGAGAACATTGAGCCCCAAAGCGGCACGCAGCTCCCAACCCCTCGATTTCCCGCCTGTGACTTGGGGCGCCCTCCCCCCCCCCCCCCCCCCGGCAGTGTTCACAGCCTCCGCCGTCACATGCGCTTAACTTTTTTTTCGCTTTTTGGGTCCCACCCGGCGATGCCCAGGGGTTCCTCCTGGCTCTGCACTCAGGAATCACCCCTGGCGGTGCTCGGGGGACCCTATGGGATGCTGGGAATCGAACCCGGGTCGGCCGCGTGCAAGGCCAACGCCCTCCCCGCTGTGCTATCGCTCCAGCCTCATGTGCGCTTAACTTGCTTTGCTCTGTCTGAAGGTCGGGGAACCGCATGGAGTTCGGGAAGCTGCCTACGCACCTCGCCTCCCCTTCGCCGGCAACGCCAGCCCCGGGTGTGGTCAAGATGTTGCTTTAGGAGCGCGGAAAGCCCTGGGTGTGTGCGGGTGGGGGTGCCTCTGCCCCCGTCCCGAGCCGGGTGGTGCTGGGCAGGGGTGGGGCCGGCGGAGGGGGTTTGAAGTTGGCCCGGTCGCACTCGCTAAACACACCCAGCCCAGACTTGCACCCCGGTGGGCCATGCCATGAAGTGGGTCCCCCAGCACCACGAAACCGGCCCTGCGTCCTCAGGGATCCCCCCGGGAGGGTTTCAAAAGTGCCCAGAGATGCCTTAAACGTGTGCCCTGAGCCCATCGTAGCCCCTGCCTTGCCCCGAAGCCTCTTCCTCTACCAGGAGCAGAATCCACCCAGGGACGCCCATCAGGATGGGCACACGGGGAGACAGCGAGTGCCCCCGCCACACCCCGGATGGTTCACGCTTCTGGTCTCCTAAGCAGTGCTCAGGGTCCCAGATGCCCTCGTCTCACTGGGTGCGAGGGTCTGAGGCTGCCTGTCTCAAGTGCTCCCGGGAGTGGCTGGCGGGTTGGGACTTCAGAGCCAGGTCAGAGGAAACGCCGCATGCCAGGGGACTGGTGGGACCAGTGCCGTTGGACCCCAGGAACAGGACCTTCGTCGGGGGCCCCCCGAGATGCAAACCCCAAGGTGGGGAATGGACCCCGTGCTCGCAGGCACTTATGGGAACCGGCGTCTCGGGAACTGGCGTCTTGCGCCTCTGGACCCGCCACCTCCCAGGGACGGCCCTGCCGTCCCACACCTCCCAGCCCTCTGGAGATGGCCGCCACGGAACCCCTGGCTGACAGGAGAGTCCTCGAGTGCTCCCCGAGCACCACCACAAGCAGCCCCAGCACCCCGCTCCTGGCCCAGCTGCGTGCTGTCAGAACCCTCCCCCAGTCCAGAACGTCTCTTTATTTTTCTAAAAACAATAAAATCCAGAGCCACGCCTTCCGGCGAGCTGGTGGTATGACTGGTCACTCCACGTGGCCACATGTTGGGGGGAGGCGCGTGTGTGTCTCTGCTTTGGCTCCCACGGGTGGTACGGAAAAGCCCCCGGGGTCTCTTAGTGTGCCAGGCCCTGCGGGGTGGTGCCTCCTCGCCAAGGCTGGGGTCCACGCGTGGGTTGGTGGGGTGGAGTGTGAGAGTCACCGGTGTCATTGGAGGATGTGAGGGGCCAAGAGGGTCCTGCAGGGCTCAGGAGGGCCCAGCCTATGTCTCTGAGCATCCCACTGGGTGGCTTCTACCGGGACTGGGTTCGGGGATGTGGACCCCAGCGGGGTGCTTAGGGGACCCAGCGTGGTGTCAGGGATGGGCCCTGGCCATGCTGCAGGCCAGGCGAACGCCCCCAGGGAGATGGCACCTTTGTTTCGGGTTGGAGGTGACTGTGCTTTGGGGACTGCCTGGTGGTGGTGCTCAGGGAGTCCCCGGGCCTTGGGCGCCCCTCCTCCCCCCCGGAATGTGCTAGAAAACACACGAAGCCGCTTCTGCTGACTCGGGAGTGTTTATTGGTGATGGTGCCCTGGTGCGTTCCTGTGCCTCCCTCCCCGGGTGCCCTGCCTGCCGGCCCGAAGGCACTGGGCGAAGGGTGTGTGTCTGGGGTGTGGGACCAGGACGGGGGCACTCGGGAAGGCAGAGGAATCAAGTTGGCAGGACGGGGGATGGCCAGGGGGTGGGGGGCTCCCCCCGGGAGCCCCTCTCATGTAAACTAAGTTGCTGGTGAAATGGCGGTGTCTCTTCACAGCTCGCGGTCACGGGGGTGCGGTAGAGTGGGGGAGGGGGGCACGGGAGGGCAGCGTGGCCCCTTCTGGGGTGGGTCTGGGCTTTTTTTGGTTTTCTCACTTGGCACATCCTTCAAAACGCAGACAGTCACCCCCTTCACGGGGCGGTGTTCCCTGGAGTCGGGGAGGGGGTGTCGGTGAGCTTTGGAGTTCAGTGGTGGTGGTGGGGGGGTGGCTGAGAGGTTCTGGGCGGCCAGACTACTCGCTGGCTTTGGTGCCGTTGAAGTCCGAGTCCCGGCCGTCCAGCTCCTCGTCCGAGCCGTCCGCGTTCTCGATGACCCGACGGCCCCCTGACCTCCTCGAGGGCACCAGGCTGGGCTCATTACCGCGTCTGTGGGTTAGAAGGAAAAACGGGTTTCCTGAGCACGGAGGCCAGGTGGGGGTGGGGGTCACTCTTGTAAGGCAGGACCACAGGTGGGGGGACAGTCAGGCTGCCCCGGCTGGGATGAGCGGGGAAGGGTGGCCAGAGCAGCCGGCTGACCAATGCGCCCTGTGTGTCAGGACGGGGGTTTGGTCCCCCGGGCCCCGTGAGACAAAGGTCTGGCTGGGTCCTCTGCTGACCCACAGGGTCTGTTCCTCTCTGATTTCTTTGGCAAGATGGACAAAGTCCTGTGGTCACAACTGGTCCCCGTGCTTCATAGGCCCATGGGGCGGGTGGACAGGCAAGACCAGCCCCCGTGGCCTTCGAGGGGGACGCGGGGAAAGGTTTTAGTTTTTTTTCTTTTTGGGTCACACCCAGTGGTGCTCAGGGGTTCCTCCTGGCTCTGCACTCAGGAGTTACTCCTGGCAGTGCTTGGGGGACCCTCTGGGATGCTGGGAATCGAACCCGGGTTGGCCGTGTGCGAGGCAAACACCCTCCCAGCTGTACTATCGCTCCAGCCCCAGGTTTTAGTTTTTCGGTTGGTGAAAGGTGGCAGCTTGGCGAGGGACGAGGTGGCTGCAGGCGTGACAGGAGGACGCGGGCATTCTGTCTCAAGGACAGACTCGCACCCCTGCTCCGAGGGGCTGCACCCACTCGCCCCGAGTGCTCCGGGGTGCATGGGGAAGAAATGAACTCAGACCCGATGACCAGGTTCCAGGCCCTTTGTCTCCACCCTGACTGACCCCTCCTCCACACCGGGTGGCACTGGCCGTCCGGGTGAGCCCTGCCGTGCCCGGGGTGTGAGGTGGCATGCCAAGGTCACACACAGGCCCTTGTACGCGAGGTGTGTGTGCCACCCTGCCCGCCACTGGGCTGCTCAGAGGAACGTTCACTCACAGGCACGCAGGACCCCGACCCCTGGCAAGCGGGAGGGAAGGAAGTGAGGGACCCGGTCCACTCGCCCTCCAGGGAGGCCGCAGGACGGACGCCCGGTCACCTCACAGGGGAGTGAGTTCCAGGCAGGTGGGCTCTGCCGCAACCCGGGGCAGCAGTCAGGAGGAAATACTTCAAGTTGGTGACCTCCCCAGTGGAGGAGCCCAAGCTTACTTCGCGGGCATCCGATAGGAGTTTCTAGGCCCCCAGCGCCCTTCCCGTGACCCTCTCTGCCAGGGACCTGACGTCTCCTTCGTCACCCCGTTTCCCAAGGGGCTGTATTCCACACAGCCCAGGGGCAGGACGGGTGCCTGTGGGGGGCTGGGGGCGGGGGCAGCTGTGTGGCTCGCCCTGGCCCTCCAGCGTCCTTCCGCCCCTCTGGTCCCCGTGAGGTCTCGGGGGGCAGGGCTACGGGGCCTAACCCGAGCTGGAAGCCCTCACTGCATTGTTCGGTTCTTTTGGGTATTGTTTGGAGGGGTCACACCTGGCAGGGTGCCCGCAGCAGCCCCAGGGGGGCCGGAGGATGGACGCTGGGGGACCCAAGTGGACAGTGCAGGGACCCCGCCCTCGGGGCCGTCTCCCGGCTGCAAGAGCGTATCTGCTTACTAGATGGGCTTGGGTGCAGGTCCCGAGAGTTGGGGGAGAGTCGGGGATTCAGGTCCCGAGACACTGTTTGTGTCTCGGATGTTCCACGACCCTCCAGCGAGCCCCTGTGCCTGGCTCGCCCCCAGATGCTGTTAGGAGGGTCCCCGCCACCCTGGGTTTGTCCAGAGGCTCCAGATGCCTGCTGAGGCCTGGCCCAGCGCCACGGATTTGAGCAGCACCAGCAAAGCCGACGTTCTCCAGAAGAGACCTTGGATTCCAGCCTGGGCTGGTTTCCGGAGGACGAGGAGGAAGGGGAGGACGGGGAGGAGGAGCGAGGCCGCCTCCTTCGCCCAGGAGAAGCGCGTGGTCCCCGTGCCGGGGGGCAGGAGGCCTCCGCCCGCGTCCTCAGAGCCGGGCGTGCCCGTGAGCCACCCACCGGGGTGCGGGCAGTGCCCTGAGCCCTGGCTGGCCGCCCCGCACCCAGCGCCCGCTTTAGCTCCTGGTGAGAGCATAGGGGGTGAGGCCCTGGGGGCAGCCAGCTAGGCTGCGCTGTGCCGGCCGCTCACTCCGAAGCCCCCCAACACCCCGTCCCGAGGTGCTCCAGCCGGCCAGTGCTCCAGCCGGCCACAGCGCTGCCCACACACGCAGGTGAGAACGCTCCAGCCGCTCGCCCGGGTGCAGCCTGGGAAACTTCCGGGAGGTTCAGAGGCAAAGCGGGGAAGGAGGAGAGTGGGCCTGGCGTGGGCCTGGCGTGGGCCTGGCGTGGCCCCGGCTCCTGCGGGCTGAGCGCTCCACGCCCTCAGGTGTGGAAGGGACCCCGGGGATCGGTCCTGGGCCCGGGAGGAGAGGAGAGCGAGCGCCAGCACACACACACGGAGCCCAAGCAACACGCGGGTACCTGTGGTCACTCCGACGCTTCCTGGGGGAGGGGGCCCCTGAAACAGAGAGAGAAGCCCCCGGCCGTCACCACGACGCCGCGGCGCCCTCCTCAGTGAAGGTGAGAGGTTCAGGGGGATGGGCCCACAGTGAGGTGCCAGGAACGGGGCCAGGCGCCCGCAGAGAGCTGGCACCCGTCTTTGCAACGAGAGAGCCGACTTCCGTGCCAGAGAGGGCTTGGGGGTGGGGGGACAGCCCTCCTGTCCTGCCCTCGACCCTCTCCTGGGTCAGCAGGACCCTCGGGAGAGACCCCCAGTGGCTCCATGCCTGGCCTGGCCGCTTCCTTCCTGCCTGTGCGGCCAGTGATGGGTTCTTGTGGGTCTGGGGCTGGGGTCTCTGTCACGCTCGTTCCACAGTGCTCTGGACCGTGAGAGGCAGGAGCAGCCGCCAAGACCCACACACAGCCCAGGGCCTGGCTTTGGGTTGTGCAGATTTAGAAAGGGCAGAAAGGGCCGAAGCCCAGATCCTGTGCACACACACATGCAAACGCATACACATGCAGTATACGTACATGTACATACATGTATACACACACACACCCATGCATGCACACGCACACGCTCACACACATCCATGCGCATGGACTACCCGTGTATGCACACATACACGCAAAACACACGCACACACACAACAGGCACATACATGTAAGCACACATCCACAGCCACAATACACAGGCACACATGCACACATGCACACACACATACACACCCACACGCACCACGCACACAGCACCTCGGCACGGAGGGCAGGCTGTTCGCGTCAGTCCCAGGAAGCAGAACCTCCGGGACACTGTGCTGCAAAACCCTCATTCTCAGTCGCGGAGGGGGTGCAGACGGCCAGAAGGGGGGTGCTGGTCTCCCCACCACCCACCCAGCCTCTGAGGAGGGGGCAGACCATGTCCCAGGGGCTCTGCTGTAAGACCAGCTCCTGCCCAGGACCTGCCCCATCCCCAGCCAGGCCCAGGACCCCGGACAGGTTCTCCCCTCTGAGCGCAGATAGGAGCTGAGGTGACCCGCCCGGCTGGCGGGACCCCTCCCCGGCCCTCACCCCCCTGGGAGTCTCTGGGTGCCCCTTGGTGCTTTCCTGCCACTTCCCAGGTGCCACCAAACTCCAGCTACCTCCTTCCCCCTCCGTCTGGCCGGGGTGGGGCTTGCCGGGAGACGGGGAGCCCCTGTTTGCAGGTGGGCCTGGGCAGGGCTCCCCGTTGATGGCCGAGAACGGCGGGTTTGCACCAGGACAGGCAGGAAGAGGCCAGAGCCCGGGCGTGGGGTGAGAAGACAGGGTGGGGGACACTGCCCCCAGCCTGAAGGGCAGAGGCGCCCCTGCCCGCCTGCTCCATCCCAGACATCAGAGGTGAATGACAAGGCAGGCCTCGGGGCTCACGGCTGGTGTGCGTGTGTGCAGGAGAGAAGGCGGCTCAAGTCCGAGCGGTGAGGGTGAGGCCGGACGTGCCGGGCCGAGTGGGCAGGAGAAAGCAGGCGGCGGCGGCCGGAGGGCCGTGGGCCTCGTGGTACTGACCATGTGAGCGAGACCTGCGCTCTGGCACTGGGGTGAGCAGGAACCCTGGGGGAGCCGAGCCCTAACGCAGAGGGACAGTGGGACCCTCTGGCCACAGGAGTGCCTTGGGGTACTTGGACAGTGGCCGTGCTTGGGGTGCTTGGGGGCTGGCACTGAGCGGGGGACGCACCCCGTGTCGGGGGCCCCGAGTGCAGGAAGCACCTTCCGCTCGCCGAGCTGGGGGGCGCTGGCAGGAAGGGGCTGGGGGAAGGACGTGGGGCTGGGGGCCCCGTATGGCGGGTCGCGAGTCCCAGGAAGGGGCGGGATGTGTGAGAACCCAGGTGGAGGTCTCCTGCCGCGGCTCTGGGGCCGGGGAGGGGGCGCCCAGGTTGTCCGGGCGGGGGCGAGGAGGAGGTGGAGGAGGAGGAGCGGGAGGACTGCAGGGGGAGGCGGGAGAGAGGCGGGCAGTGGCCAGCGGAGTTTCTGGAGCAAACGGCAGAGGCTGCCAGGGCCGGTCGGAGGGAGGGCCCAGCCCAGGCCGAGGCCACTGTGCCCATGACACGTGCATGTAAGCACACACAGGAAGGGAAAGGGGAGCTGGTCCTCCCCGCCGTAGGGGTCAGGTTGGGGTTTTGTTTTGGTTTTGTTCAGGGGTGGATCACACTCGGAGGTGCTCAGGGATCACTCCTGGTGATGTGTGGGGGACCCTGCGGGGCGCCGGGATTGAGCCTGGGTCAGCTGTGTGCTCTCGGGCCGGTCAGGGTTCCGGGTTGGGGTGAGCAGGACGCGAGACCTTGGGCTGGGCTGGGAGACTGGGTGGGAATTCCGGGGTGAGCCCCCTCCCCCCCACTCGCTGGCGCAGGTCGGCATGCCATGCAGTGGGGCTCTGCGGGGTCACAGTCACCCCCACGCCCCCTCCAGCCTGGCTGGCGGCTTCCATGGCGGTGGGGGCCCCGAGGGTCCAGCAGAGGGCAGTGGGCGTCGGCAGGGGAGGAGGACGCGTCAGGAGACAGGGCTGGCCGCCCCCGGGGCAACCCGGCGCTCAGACCCGGAGGGTGCGGGCGGCCGAGTGAGGCCTGGGGAGCTGGGGGCCCCGGCCCGGAGTCGGGGCTGGGAGAGAAGCGGCTGCGCGGGGCCCTGGCGGGCAGCTGTGGGTGCTGGCCTCGCCCCCCCGAGACGCCCGGGAAGAGCAGTTGGGGGGCCGGGGCCTGGCAGGAGCAGGGCCGGGGGGGTCGGGACCCGGCCGCGCGGCCCACCTGAGCTTGCTCTTGAGCGCGGTCACCTCGCGGCCCATGGCCTCGTTGCTCTCGGTGGCCTCGTCCAGCTCGCGCTGCAGCTTCCGGCGGTTGGCGTTGATGCGCTGAGACTCCTCCTCCGCCTCCTCCAGCTGCCGCTTCAGCTGCTTCACCCGCACGTTCCCTTTCTCGGCCTGAGGGGACGGCGGAGGGGGGGGCCAACGAGGGGCGGGGGGAGATGGGGGTGATGAGGGTGATGGTGGTGGCGGGCGATGGTGGAGGTGACTGGGGCGAGGGGCTGACGGGGTGGTGGTGGGGGTGACGGTGGTGTCGGTGGGGCGGATGCAGGGGCCGATGGGCTGATGGTGGGGGTGTTAGTGGGTGATGGTGGAGGTGACTGGGGCGATGGGGCTGATGGGGTGTTGGTGGGGCTGATGGTGGGTGTTGGTGGGGCTGTTGGTGGGTGTTGGTGGGGTGATGGTGGGTGTTGGTGGGGTGATAGTGGGTGTTGGTGGGGTGATGGTGGGGCTGTTGGTGGGTGTTGGTGGGGTGATGGTGGGTGTTGGTGGGGTGATGGTGGGTGTTGGTGGGGTGATGGTGGGTGTTGGTGGGGCTGTTGGTGGGTGTTGGTGGGGTGATGGTGGGTGTTGGTGGGGCTGTTGGTGGGTGTTGGTGGGGTGATGGTGGGTGTTGGTGGGGTGATGGTGGGTGTTGGTGGGGTGATGGTGGGTGTTGGTGGGGCGGATGGAGGGGCCAATGGGCTGATAGTGGGGGTGTTGGCGGTGATGGTGGAGGTGACGGTGAGGCTGATGGGCGGACGGCGGGTGACGGTGGGGTGAGGGGCTGACGGCGGGGGGCGGCGGGGGGGTGAGGGAGGTGGGCGCCGCGGGGCCGCACCTGCTCCTTGTACTGCTCAGCCGCCTTGCGCTCGTCCTCCACCTGCAGCATCACCTCCTTCAGCTTCTTGTCCTTCTGCTTCAGCGCCTTGGCCACGGCCTGCTTCTCTCTGGTGGGGGGAGGAGCAGGGCTGATTCCCGTGCGTCCGAGGGTCAGGGCAAGGGCGCCTGGCCCCGGGAGGGGAACACTGAGCCTCCCTTCCCCCGCCCCGCTGACCCCTGGCACCCACAGGCTCTCATCCCAGAGTCCCCCAACGGGCCGTGGACGAGGCAGGTCAGGTCAGCAGCGGCGGGGCAGGGAGTGGCCACGGGGTCAGCAGCTCACGGGCCACACACAGGCCCCCGGGCGGGTGGGGTGAGGGTCCCGGGAACCGTGAAATCAGACATGGTGGGATTGTAAAGGATGGGGTGACCCTAGGGCCCTGATTTCTTTATTATTTTTTAATTATTTTTTTGCATTCTGGATCACACCCAGCGATGCTCAGGGGCTCCTCCTGGCTCATGCACTCAGGAGTGACTTGTGGGCGCTCCTCAGGGGACCCTAGGGGATGCTGGGACCAAACCCGGGTCGGCTGCGTGCCAGGCAGACGCCCTCCCGCTGTGCTATCGCTCTGGCCCCTGGGCCCCGATTGGAGACCATCCCCACCCCGTCTGCCTGTGATGAAGGTGATGAAGGCACTTCCGCACACGCGCCTCCACAGCTGTCCTGGGGCGGCTGAGGACCAGCCGTGTCCCCGCAGCGCAGCCAAGAGGCCGCCTTGTCCGTGCTCACCCGGGTTAGAGACGGTTTCTCCCAGGTCCTTGCCGGGGCGTGGGAGGGGGTCCCCCAACCCTGCTGTATCTGGGTGCCCCGGCCCTGGCTCCCCAGCTGGCTGTCCGGGGGCCCCCCACCCCCGTCCGCACCTGGCCTCCTGGTCCAGCTGCTCCTCCAGCTGCGCCACCTTGGCCTCCAGCGAGGCGATGGTGGTCTTGAACTTGGACCTGACGGCGCCCTCCATCTCCTGCAGCTTGCCCCGGAGCTCCTTGTTCTGCCGCTCCAGCTGCTGCCGGGCGCTCTCGTTCTTCTGCGCCGCGCTGCGCTCCGTGGCCAGCTCGCCGCTGAGTTGCTCGGCCTGCGGGAGGGGTGGGGCAGGCAGGGGCTGGGCGGGGGAGCTGCGGCTCCGGTCGCCCCCCATCGCTCCTGCAGCCCTGAACCCCCCTCCCCGCTCCTTCCTGGGGCTCCTCCGAGGACCCCGGGCCCCCCACCCCCGACAGCTGGCGCTCAGTGGCGTCGCCCGAGCTGCCCTCCGCCGCCCCCCTCGCCGCACCTGCTGGGAGGCCTTGCGCGCCCCGCTCGCTCAGGGCCTCCGTGTTGCTCTGCTCCTCCTCCAGCTCCTCCTCCAGCTGCGCGATCCGGGCCTCCAGCCGCCGCTTGTCGTCCTGCAGCGTGTTCCTGGCGGGGGGCCGGGAGGAAGGGCAGATGCAGGCGGGCTCGGGGCACCCCCATCCTCCCCGGAGGAGGGCATGGGGAGGAGGACCGGCTCCTTCTCCTGAGGCCCAGGGCCTGAGAGAAACTCTCGACCCCTGCCCGGCCCCCGTGGGCGGGTGAGACCCTGCCCCAGACCCTGCCCGCCCGGGCTTGGGGGGCTCAGGCTTGCTCGCACCTCCCGGACACGCTGCTGGCCAGCTCCTCGGCCAGCTCGTCCTTCTCCAGGTCCGCCTGCTTGCGAGCCCGCTCAGCCGCCGCCAGGTCCTGCGGGGAGGGGAGGACAGGGCACCCGCTGGGACCCGGGCAGGTCCTGGTGCGTCTCCGAGCTCGGGGACACGCGCCGCGGGGCCGGCCGCCAGAGCAGGCCGCGCGTCTCCCTCCCTGGCACCCGGGGCCGCTGGGGGGTGGGCTGGCGGGCACCCCTCCCCCCCGCAGCGGGACGCAGCCGCACCTCCTGCAGCTGCATGAGCTCGGCCTCCAGGCTCTTGGCTTTCTTCTCGTTCTCCTTGGCCGTGGCAAAGACCTCCTCGCGGGACGCACGGGCATCCTCCAGCTCCCTCTGGAAGTCCTTCATCTGGGCCTGCGGGGCCCCAGGGGGCGGTTTAGACGGCCTCACCCCCCGACACGAACACACGCGCACACACGGCCCTGCCTCACAAGTGCACGTGCCTACACGGGGCTCCATCCCCAACACATGTGCACATACACACGCTGGGTCCCGTTCCCCTGATACGTACACACACGCACACCCCGACCCATTCCCCCGACACATGCACACACAGACTCACACGGCCCCAGACCCCAACATGCACACACATACACACATACTGGGCCCCCATCCTCCCAACACACACACACACACACACACACACATATACATACACACACAATATATATATACGCATATATACACATGGCCCCCGTTCCCTCATATGTGCATATGTGCACGCGCACACACACACTGGGCCCCATTACCCCCACACACGCACACACATACACGCACACACACACTGGGCCCCATTACCCCGACACACACACACGCACGCACACACACACACAGACTTCTGGATCCCCGTGCACAATCAGCGGAGGGGCTGCTCCATCCCTGGGTGGAAACTGGGTCTGATCAGCGTGTGGGCGTGTGTCTGCTGGGCGAACCCCCGAGCCCTCACCCCGCACTGCCCCCACCCCTGCAGTTTGGTTCTGGGGCCACACCTGTAGTGTGTGCGGGCAGGGGTCAAGCCCGGGGGGCTTCCGGCCGAGCAGGACACTGCCGGCTCCGGCCCCCTGCAGTTCCTTGGCGCTGGGTTTTGCTGTCCTCGCCGTGGGGCCCCCGGAGGCCCCGCACCCACCTGCAGCTTCCGAAGCTGCTTGATGGCCTCCTCGCGGCCCTTGACGGCCGAGTCCGCCTGCAGCTCCAGGTCCTTCAGGTCCCCTTCCAGCTTCTTCTTGGCCGCCGCCGCCAGTGCCCGCTGCTTCCGCTCGTCCTCCAGTTCCGTCTCGTACTCGTGGAGCTGAGGGGCAGGCGAGAGGTGGGGTGGGGACGCAGACCCCCGCGGGGTGGGAGGCGAGCCGCCAGGCAGCCCCACCCGCACCCCGCGGGCCCTGGCCCCCCACCGCGTCCGGACCCCCGCGCCCAGCTCACCTGCCGCTGCATCTGCCGCCGCTTCTCCTCGTTCTGCTCCTCCCGCGCCTGCAGGTCGCGCTCAAACTGGCCCTTGAGCGCCTGCATGTTGACCTCCAGGCGCAGCTTGGCGTCCTCCGTGGCCTGCAGCTCGTCCTCCAGCTCCTCCAGCTGCGTCTTCATCTCCTCCATCTGGGCCTCCAGTGCCCGCTTGGACTTCTCCAGCTCGTGGACCTGGCGGGGAGAGGGGCAGGGGCCACGAGGCGGGGTGGGGGGCAGCTCAGACCCCCGCCCGTCTCCTGCCCAGGACAGGGAGGGTCGGGCAGCGCCAGCCCAGGACCACTTACAATCCTTTTATTATTGTTTTAATTACATATCTATTTTAATTTTATTTGCTTTTTGGGTCACACCCGGCGATGCACAGGGGTTCCTCCTGGCTCATGCACTCAGGAATTATTCCTGGCTGTGCTCGGGGGACCCTATGGGACGCTGGGAATCGAACCCGGGTTGGCTGCCTGCCAGACAAACACCCTCCCCGCTGTGCTGTCGCTCCAGCCCGCGACTTACGTTCTTGCCCACATCGTCCTTGGAGCTGACCAGGTCCTCCATCTCGGCCCGCAGCATCTTGTTGGCTCGCTCCAGCTCCTCCTTGGCCTCCAGGGTTTCCTCGAGGGCCCGCGCCAGGGACAGCGCCTTGGTCTCCTTCTCCCGGGCCTCCGCCTCGGCCCGGTCCCTCTCATCAGCGTATTTGGAAGAGATGTTCTTCTCCTCGGCCAGCAGCTGCCAACGGGAAGCAGGAGTGAGCGGTCGGCCTGCACCTGCTTTATGTATTTTTTTTGCAACCCCCCCCCCCCCCGCCACCACAAAGAGCTGACAGGATTCTTCAATACCATGTGGCCGGATATTCATAAGGGGGTGGGGGGCACCAGGCTCACAGACACCCACCAAATGCTTTCAAGACTGAGAAATAGGAAGGGGAAGAGTAGGATTTTTTAAACTGGTTTGTTTAGGGCCCCGCCTGGCGGTGCTCAGGGCTTCCTCCTTCTCCTTGGCCCTGCCCTGGCAGGGGTCCCTCCAGCCAGGTCTGTGAGGTGCTGGGGATCGAACCGGGGCTGGTCACAGACAAGGCCAGCATCATCCTTACTGTGCTAACTTACCCGAAAGGGTTGATTTGATGATTTGATGGGTTTTTTTTCTTTTTTTTCTTTTTGGGTCCCACCCGGCGATGCACAGGGGTTCCTCCTGGCTCTGCACTCAGGAGTTACTCCTGGCGGTGCTCAGGGGACCATATGGGATGTTGGGAATCGAACCCGGGTCAGCCACAAGCAAGGCAAACGCCCTACCTGCTGTACTATCTCTCCAGCCCCATCTTTCTATTTCTTAATCTATCTTTCTTTCTTTCTTTTTTCGCTTTTTGGGTCACACCCGGTGATGCACAGGGATTACTCCTGACTCTGCACTCAGGAGTTACTCCTGGCGGTGCTCAGGGGACCATATGGGATGCTGGGAATCGAACCCGGGTCGGCCGCGTGCAAGGCAGACGCTCTACCTGCTGTACTATCTCTCCAGCCCCAGCTTTCTATTTCTTAATCTTTCTTTCTTTCTTTCTTTCTTTCTTTCTTTCTTTCTTTCTTTTTTCTTTTTGGGTCACACCCGGTGATGCACAGGGGTTACTCCTGGCTCTGCACTCAGGAATTACTCCTGGGAATTACTCCTGGCGATGCTCGGGGGACCCCATGGGATGCTGGGAATCGAACCCAGGTCGGCCGCGTGCAAGGCAAATGCCCTCCCCGCTGTGCTATCGCTCCAGCCCTTGAGGGAGACTTTAAGGGGACGGTTTGACAGCCCAGAACCCGCCCACGTTGAATCTCCTCTCAGGGCGGAGAATGGGGGCGGCTTGCGGCCAGGCTCCCACCCAGGCCCCGAGTGTCTCCCCCGACTGCCCGCTCCCCTGCACCTGATCGAACTTCTTCTGCTTCTTCTCCAGGTTGGACACCAGTTGGCGCTGGTTGTCCAAGTCCACGAGCAGGTCGTCCAGCTCCTGCTGAAGCCTGTTCTTGGTCTTTTCCAGTTTGTCGTAAGCGGCCGCCTTCTCCTCGTACTGCTGCGTGAGGCCCTCGATCTCCTTCTGGAAGCGCTTCTTGCCCTCCTCCAGGGACTCCACGGTGAGGGCGAAGTCCTGCAGTTTCTTCTTGGAGTCGGAGAGCTGAAAGGGCGGTGCCCGGGCTGCGGTGAGCGCTGCGGCAACACGCCGGGGTCCCGCACCGCACAGAGACCGAGACCGGCCCGACACGCACCGCCCGGGGTGGGCAGCTTGGAGGGTGGGGGAGAGACGCGGTGGCCGGGCCCGGGGGTGGGGGGGAGGGGCCGCCCCCCACCCGCCGGCACCTGCATGTTGAGGCTGGACACGTGGCGCTCCAGGTTCTGCTTGGCCTCCGTCTCCTCGTCCAGCTGCTCCTGCAGGCTGTTCCGCTCGTCCTCCAGCTGCCGCAGCTTGGTGGACACGTTCAGCTTCTGCCGCGTCTCCTCCTGAAGCAGCTCCTGGACGAGGGACGGGCAGGTTCCGGGGCGGGGGGGGTGAGGGTCAGCCCCAGGGAAGGCGGCCGCCCACCCGGGTCACCCGCGCCCGCCCGGACACCCACCTGCGTGTCCTGGAGCTGGGAGCTGAGCGATGACACGTCCTTGGCCAGCTTGATGGCCTTGCCCTCGGCCTCACTCAGCATGCCCGTGACGCTCTCCACCTCGCCCTGGGGGGCAGGGGGGACGGCCCTGGTGAGTGGGGCCCTCAACGCACTTCTCCCCACGGAGGAGGAGGCGCCGGAGCCTTTTCCCCACGAGGGGGCGTCCCCGGCCCAAGAGACACCACAAGGCGTGGAGCCCGAGGGGCCGCGCTCTCGGGCCCCCAGGGAAGCGTCCAGCCGGCAGCCTGTGGCCCCTGCTTCAGAGACCCTCCTGGCCTCCCTCGTGGCGGCGCCATCGCTGGGCTCTGGACCCTCTGGAAGGGGCTGTGGTGGTCACCGCCACAGTGGACGGAGACGGAGCCACAGAGAGCCCAGAGCCAGGGGCCTGGGACTCACCCGCCCCCTCCAGCCAGACAGGCACCGTCCAGGGCGCCTGGGCTTGGCCCTCGCCTGCCCTTTCACCTGCCCCGATGGACGGAACCAAAGAGGGACAGCGATGGTGGGAAAGTGGACACGACCAGGGCTGCCGCCACCCACTCTTCCCGCCTAAAGTGACCTGCCCGCCGCCAGCGGCCTCGTCCCCTTCACAAGCAGAGACCCGTGAGGAGGCGGGGGCTGCTCTGCTCCTGGACAGCCCGAGTCCGGCCAGCAGGGTCACCACCACCACCCCCGCCGCCGGCTCAGACACGTTCAGCGTGTCCTGGCCATGACCACATCTCAGGGACAGTTAGACCAGCATGGACACGGGGCTCAGCCCTGAGAGCTGCGACGCACTGGCATCCACAGGACGGAACTGTGTGTGCACGGCAGAGTCCCAGCCGCAGCCCCACCGCAGCGCCCTGGACCCCAGGGCCTTGGCACAAGCCTCACCTGCAATCTATGAAACTCAGGCCCTTGGCACGAGCCTCACCTGCAACCTATGCAACCCAGGGCCCTGGCACAAGCCTCACCTGCAGCCTGCGGACCCCAGGGCCTTGGCACGAGCCTCATTTGCAGCCCACGGACCCCAGGGCCTTGGCACGAGCCTCATCTGTAGCCGCAGACCCCAGGGCCTTGGCACGAGCCTCATCTGTAGCCGCAGACCCCAGGGCCTTGGCACGAGCCTCATTTGCAGCCCACGGACCCCAGGGCCTTGGCACGAGCCTCATTTGCAGCCCGCGGACCCCAGGGCCTTGGCACGAGCCTCACCTGCAGCCTGTGCACCCTGTCGTCCAGCTCGGCCCGGACCCGCTCCCCATCGCTGCACTTGGACTGCAGCTCCTGCAGCTGCGTCTCCAGCTTCTTCCTCTTGTGCTCCACCTCCTGCTTGGCCTGGCCCAGCGACCGCAGCTCGCTCGCCAGGTCCGCCTTCTCCTTCTCCAGCGTCTGTTTGTTCTTGTCCAGGTTCGCCTTGGCCTGGCAGAGCGGGGCGGGGGGTCGGGAGGCGGCGTCAGGCTGCTGTGGTGGAGGCGTCCCCTCTCCCCGCCAGGGCGGACGCCTGGGGGCCGCTCTCCCCTGTGGCCCCTCCAACACCCCACGGGCGCGCAGGACAGGGACGCTCTCAGCCTTGGTGCCCAGGAGGTGACAGGTGACCCCCCTCGGGCTACCGGCGTGTCCCCCTGGGCCTATGGGAAACCCAAGAAACGGAGTCGCCAACATCGAACGAATCTCCCAGATCTGCCCGGCTTCTCTCTTTGTTTCCCTGGATTCGGGCCACCCCCAGCGGGGGCCGAGGGTGGCTCTGATGGGGCTCTGGGTGGCACACGGGGCCAGGATGAACCTGGGCCTTCCGTGGGCACACCTGGGCTCAGCCCGTGGCCTCCCCTCGGCCACCGCCAGCATCTCTGTGTCTGTGGGGCCACATCCGCTGGGGCTCAGGGCTTCCTCCCGGCCGGCTGTGTGCAAGGCACGCACCCTCCCTACTGGTACTAGCTCTCCAGCCCACCAGTTCCTCTTTCTTTTGAGTTTTGGGGGCTGAGTGTGGGGCTACCCCCTGCACTGTACTCAGGAGGTGCTCAGTGGTGCTTGGGGAACCGGGCGCTGCCCAGGGATGAATCGGGCCTTACCTCTGGGACTGTCTCCATGAGCATTTCTTTTTATTTGATTTTTTGGGGGGGGCGATGGGAGAGTTTGGGGCCACGCCCGGCAGTGCTCAGTGCTTACCCTCACTCTGCACTCAGGTCACTCCTGCTGGTGCTCAGGAGGACCCTGTGGAGTGTCAAGCCTGGGGCGTGTCTGGCAGAGACTTCACCCTGCTGTCCCATCTCTCTGGGTGAGTCGCAGCTCTTTTTAGAGAACCAGGGTGCAGCAGGGAGGGCGTCTGCCTTGCCTGTGTCTGACCCGGGTTCGATCCCGGCATCCCATAGGGTCCCCTGAGCACCACCAGGAGTGATTCCTGAGCGCAGAGCCAGGAGGATCCCCTGAGCATCACCGGGGTGACCCAAAACCAAAATTAAATAGAGAGCCAATGTCAGTCAGGACCGTGGAGGTCGATAAAAAGGACAGGGCTGTGGGGGTCACTGAAGTGGACACATCTGTCCTGAGTCAGTGAGTGAGACGCTCAGAACCGGCAAATGCAGGCTGGAGCGATAGTCCAGCGGGGAGGGCATTTGCCTTGCACGCGGCCGTCTCAGGTTCGATTCCCGGCATCCCATAGGGTCCCCCAAGCACCGCCAGGAGTCATTCCTGAGTGCATGAGCCAGGAGGAACCCCTGAGCATCGCCGGGTGTGACCCAAAAAGAAAAAAAAAGAACCAGCAAATGGTACCCTAGGGATCAGACCTCAACTCCATCCCTTTGCCTGACAAGAGCAGCTGGAGGCTCTGGGGCGGGTTCTTCCTCCTGGGCTGCCACTAGCGGCCTCGGGCACAGCCTTCGGGGGTCCCAACCTCTGGCTGGGACCCAGCCTCAGGGGGTGTCCCAGTTCCACCCCGGGGGTCACTCCCCCCCCCCCCCCCCCCGCAGGCCCCATCCCTGTGGTCACCGCCCGCCCCCGCAGGCCCCAGCCCTAGGGTTCCCTCCCAGCCTCCCTGCCCTGTAGGTCCCACCCAGGGGTCCCTGCCCGCCGCTCACCCGCTTGAACTGCTCCAGCTGCTCCGTGAGCTCCTCCACCGCCTGCGTGTGTTTCTGCCGCATCTCCTGCACCTGCGCCTCGTGCGACCGCGTCTCCTCGTCCAGCGCTTTCTTCAGCACCGTCACCTCCTGCTCCCTCTTGGCCCTGGGCCCGAGAGCAAGGGGTGGGCGTCAGACAGGCAGGATCAAGCGCATGAATGTTTTCTTAAGTACGTCTCGGGCTGGGGGACGAGGCACGTTCCAAACCCTGAATTCCAACCACCCCCTCCAACACCAAGTGGTTCCCCCAACCCCAGCATCACTGGGTGTGTCCAGAAAAAACAAAGGTGAACTCGAAGTTTCTGGATACTGATACTGTAACTTGGTATTTCTGGGCCATTCCTCTTGACAGTGCCGTGAATCGTGGTGCCTGAATTCAAAACCCCACCCCTGGAACGTGCCCTTGAGAACCCTGGGGACTGACCACCCCCCAAAAAACACAGGAAGGGACCCCCCCAGATATTAACGGTGGGGGGCCTGAGTTTCAGGCATCTGCTTTGCTCTCATCAAGACATATTTAAGCGCGTCCTACGCTTGTGACCGGAAAAGGGGTCGAGGAATCCTGTTGGGGCGGGAGGGGGATGTTGAGCACCGGCCTGGGCGGCGTGAGGAGAGTTGGATGGCTCCTGCCCAAATGCCCTCGTGCAAGCCCAGCCACGGACAGAGTTTGGGTGCCGGGCAGGACGACAAAGGGCGCGTTCCCCGGTGACGGCACCCCTCAAGTGTGTGGGCGCCAGCCATCGTGAGGACAAAACGTAGAATCGTGCTGGCGGGGGCAGGCCGCCTCACCTCAGCTCCTGCTGGGTGGCCGTGCTGTCCAGCGTGTCCTCCAGCTCCGTCTTCAGCGCCTCCAGCTCCTCGCCCAGGTCCCGCTTCTGCTTCTCGGCCTTGTTCCTGGCCGCCCGCTCCGAGTCCAGGTCCTCCTGGAGGTCCGAGATGTGCCCCTCCAGCTCCCGGATCTTCTTGAGGGCGTTGTTCTTCTGCGCGATTTCGTCATCCAGCCTGCCGGGGACAGGCGGCATCAGGGCCCGGGGGAGAAGGGGTGTCCGTTCTCTCATGGACAGAAGTGGTCTTCCGGGACCCCTCGTCCCTCCTCCCGCCTGAGACACGGCGAGCCCCTCCCTGCTCTGCCCGACCCCTGGCACCTACCCCACGAGGGGAGTTGTGCACACGTGTTGCGTGTACCTCCACCGATGTGTCATGCATGCCTATTGTCCACAGGTATGTGGGCGCCTGTGTGCCTGTGCGTGGATGTGTCCAGCTCTGCACGTGTGTGTCAGTGTGTGTATCTGTGTGCGTGAATGGAAAGCACCAGACCATCAGGACGGCCAGTTCTCAGCGGGGGCTTGAGAGATGCTTTCTGAGCATCAGACACTGAATTTCATTCTATCGCAGATTTTATACCAAATCTTTTTTGCAAAAAAAAAAAAAAAAAGAAAAGAAAAAGGTGTGTGCTCGCGCGCGTGCACGTGTGTGTGACCATTTGTGTCTCTTTTTCTTTTTTAATTGTGCCAGTATCATTTTTTCCCCGAAGCAGAGTGGAGCTGCTAAGAAGCGTCCATGATTTTGCTGTGAAATAGCAGGAAATTCCAGGGGCTGGAGCAATAGCACAGCAGGGAGGGCGTTTGCCTTGCACGCGGCCGACCCGGGTTCGATTCCCAGCATCCCATAGGGTCCCCCCGCCGAGCACCACCAGGAGTAACTCCTGAGTGCAGAGCCAGGAGGAGCCCCTGTGCATTGCCAGGTGTGACCGCCCCCCCCCAAAAGAGCAAAAAACTAGCAGGAAGTTCCTTCACAAGCGCTCTTGTCCTTTCTGCTATCAAGTGGCCAAGCGCCCACTGGGTGCGGGGCGCCTGGCCAGGCGCTCGGGAGGGGGCTGGACAGCGCAGGCCACGAGCGGCAAGGGCCTGCGGGATGGGGGCGCCCTGTGCCTGCTGTCACCGTTGCTGACCCAGCTGCTGGTCTGGGCACGCTGGACGGAAAGGAAGCACAGGCGGGCAGGACAAGCCGCAGGGCAACCAGAGGGCCAAAGTCGCCTGCGGTCGGCCAGACGGGGTAGGCGTCAGCGTCGGGACGACCTTCCCTTGCCCCCAAGGCAGCCGCGTTTCTCTGAGCGGGCCCAGTGTGTGATTCAGGGTTTGGGGTGATCCTTGGCACTGCCCTTTGGCACCAGCCAGCAGGGAAAGATCTGTCTGCCTCACGCTGGGAGGCAGACACGGTCTCAGCCCCCTCGGGGACAGCATCGGCTGCACAGCCGGGCCCCATCGGCCCGCGGCCCGCCAGGGCAGCAGGTGGGGCTGCTGTCACAACCCCACTGAGAGCCAGGAAAGAGGAACCCCGAGGGAAGGGGCTTCCCCAGGCCTGGTGGGCCACGTGTCCGTGGTGGGTGTGGGTCCGTGCTAAGGAGAAGCCCTCAGCAGCTGGGCGCTTGCAAGTGCGAGGCCCTGAGTTCCATGCCCAGCTCCAAAAGAAAAACAAACAACAAAACCCCCAAAACAGGCTGGAGAGATAGCACAGTGGTTAGGGCGTTTAACTTGCACACGGCTGACCCGGGTTCGATTCCCAGCATCCCATATGGTCCCCTGAGCACCGCCAGGAGTGACCCCTGTACATCGCCAGGTGTGACCCAAAAAGAAAAAAAAAAACCCAAAACAGAAGACCTTAATTTGAAAAACAGGCGAGGGGCTGGAGCGGTTTGCCCTGCACATGGCCAACCCGGGTTCGATTCCCAGCATCCCACAGGGTCTCCCAAGCACCGCCAGGAGTGATTCCTTAGCACAGAGCCAGGAATAACCCCTGAGCATAGCCGGGCGTGACCGAAAAGCAAAAATAAATAAATAAATGAAAAACAGACTTGGGAGGAGATTGGCAAGGAGGGGCTTGGGGCGGGGGGTGGGTCCAGCCTCCCGAGGAGTATCTGAGATGCTCACGGGGGCACAGACAGACTGAACCGCCACTGCGGGTAGCCGGGGCAGGGTGGGACCTGGGGGCAGAGAGAAGGGGCTGAGGGGAGGGGGTGGTTCTGCGGGGACAAGCAGCACCCAGGGGTGCCCAGGAGACCTGACCTCTGTGTCCGGGCAGTCCCCGGGGGTCTGAGACTTCAGGAGCCCAGCGGGCGAGGGGTGGCGGGCTGGCCCCGAGGCCTGGCTCCCTGGCCTGCAGGCGGGGACACCCAGGGCGGCCGGCCCGGCTACCTGGCCAGCGCCGCCTGCAGCTCCTCCTCCTTCTTGGCCAGCTGCATCTTGAGCTCCTCGATCTGCGCCTGCAGGTCCTGGATCTGCTCGTGGAAGTCGCTGGCCTCCCCCTCCAGCTTCCGCTTCAGCTTCTCCAGCTCCTGCCGGCCCTTCTCCTCCTTCTTCAGCCGCACTAGGGCACGGCCGGGCTTGTCAGGGGGGGCGTCCCGCCCGCCCGCCCGCCCACCCAGGGGCCCCTCACCCTGCCAGGGCCCCCCACGGCTCCCTGTGGGGAGGGTGTGGACGGGCTGCATGGGGGAGTGAGGGGGAGTTTGCATCTCGTTTCCGAGAAGCCCCAGACCCCGGCTCTCCTCCGCCCACGGGGCTTCACCTTCCAGCTCCGAGATCATGGACTCGTGCTTGTTCTTCAGCTTGGTCAGGTTCTTGGCTTTCTCCTCCTCCTCCGCCAGGTTCGTCGTCAGGTCGCTGATGCGCTCTTCGAGGAGCTTCCGCTCCTGTGGGGGGAGGACGGAGGAGGAAACGTGGGTGGCTCTTCGTCCGTCCGTCCATCCGTCGCCCCCACCCCGGCCAACATTCTCAAAGGCAGGGGACTCCCTTGGGCGGGAGCAGGGCACCTCCTGGCTCCACTGGCACTTCCAGGCGTCGCCCCGGTGGTCCCCAGGACCAGCCCCCCTCCCCGAAAGGAGGCGTTTTTGAACAAGAACCTCCCCAAGTTGGCCAGCTGGGCTGCCTGTCCCAGCCAACGGGACCCTCCTCCCCCTCCCCAATCATACACAGCGCTTCCCACCCCAGCTCCTCTGCATCTGCCTGGGACGTGGAACCTCTCCGTCCAGCCGCTTTGCACGCTTTGAGGTTTCCACGTCAAGGCCACCTCCTCCAGGCAGCCTGGCTGGAAGCCCCTGCCCCGACCCGCTTGAGTTCTGCTCTCACACCGGGGACCATCTGCTTCGGAGCCCGGATCCCCCGGGGGAGCAGGTGGCGACTAGTCGGAAGATCCTAGCTGCCGTCTCCCTAGAGCCGTAGCCCCGAGGGGCCCGCCCCCAGCCCTTGAGGGTGACCGACTCATGCCCTGGTCACAGTCACGTTTCCAGGGGCAGGGCATGTGGGTGGGGGCCCCCGGAACCCCGTGAACCCAGACAAACTCGGACAGTAGGCCGCCCTGCTTATGCCTGACAGGAAGTCGTGCATGGGAAGGGTGCCAGGGTCGGGTGGGCTGGGCCGGGGGCTGCCAGGTGGACGTGGGTTTGCCTTCACGCCACCTGGAGCCCCCCCCCCGGAAATGGAGTTTCTACAATGGGCTCGGTGGCAGCCCGGCTGTGCCAGGACCCAGCGTCAGATCCACGGCCCTTCTGTGTCCAGGTAACGTGACCGAGGGTGGTCGACCTATGCAGTCCCATGAGCATTGCCAGGAGTGATTCCTGAGCACAGAGCCAGGAGTCAGCTCTGAGCAGCACAGGGTGGCTGCAGAGCACAAAAGGGCTGAAAAGTACAAATCAGGCCGCAAGGGGGTCTTCGCTTTGCGTGGCTTCCCATGCCTGATGTGTGGCCCCCGGCCCAGCACCTCCACCCCAGCCCCGAACCCTGGCCCAGCCCCTCTCCGTGCCGCTGCCCGGCCACTCACTTTGGACAGCTTGTTGTTCTGGTCGTCCATGACCAGCATCTCATCCTCCAGTTTCTTGATCTTGGCCTCCGCTGTGACCTTCTCCAGCTGCAGCTTCTGCCTCGCGGCTTCTTCCTCCTCCAGCTGCTCCTCCAGGTCCTGCGTGGGGCGGGAGAAGCCGTTGGTGACCGGCTCAGAGTGGACTCTCTCTCTCTCACAGCGTGGGGGGCAGGCACAGGGGGCCGCGTCTGGGGCGCGTCTGGGAGTTTGCTGCTTCGGGCAAACTCAAGGGGGTTTGATGCGAAGCGTGGGTCTGTTTCGGCCCAAGGCCGGCTGCCCTCCTGCGTTCCCGCTCTCTGTCTCGGTCTCCTCACTTGGCTGGACCTCAGGGACAGTCAGATGGCCCCGGCCACTCATGGTGAGCGATGCCACGTGCAGCCTTCAGGTGACTGCGGCTCCCACCCACATGCTGCCCACAGCCTCCTAAGAGACGCGGCACCACACCTGCCCCGCCTGGACACTCAGAGCCCTGGCCGCGTGGGACATGTTTGTGGTCTCAAGCTGCCACCTTTGGGGCTGTTTAGGCCCAAGACATCAGCTACCTAGCGCAGGTTTTGCTGTCCAAGTCCACCCATTTGCACTCCAAATTCACCCTTTTGCCAACTGGTCAATAACATTCAGTCCTGAAGATCAAATTTTCCCACAAAAAAATCCGCCTATCAAGTGCTAATAATTCCAGATTGCCCGAGCCCAGGAATAAAAATCACCAAAAACAACAAGAACAACAACAAAACACCAAAACATTATTATATTATTTCACTCACTTGTCCCTCAAGAAGAATCCAATTTTCAAGAGTGAATTTGACTCCACAGGGTGAATTTGTTTTGGCAAGAGGGTGAATCTGATTTGTAAATGGGTTCGAGGAAGATTTGATTCACAAATGGGTGAATTTGATTTACAAATGGGTGAATTTGATTTACAAATGGGTGAATTTGATTTGCAAATGGGTGAATTTGATTTGCAAAGAGTGACTAGTTTGCAAAAGAGTCGCTTTGATTGGCAAAAGACTGAAGCTGATTTGTGAAAATGGTGGGTCTGGAGTGTGAATACTGCACAATGACCCCTTCCGTTAGGGACGCTAAGAAGAGAGAAGTGTTAGCACATAAAATAATGGGGCAGAACAGGCTCTAATCCTAGCTCTACTGTGAGGACTGTTCCTCTCCAAGCCTCTCCCTGCCCAGTAGTGGCTTGTGGCAAAGACCACGCCTCGAGGGAGGGGGCGGCGCCCCCGCGGTGCCTACCAGCATCTGCTGCGCCATCTTCTTCCTCTCTGCCTGCAGCTGCTGGCCTCTGTCTTCCTCCTCCTCCAGGCGGGCCTCCATCTCGTGCAGGATCTCCTCCAGTTCCTGCTTCTTGGCCGCCAGCCGGACGCGCATCTCCTCGGCCTCGGCGTACAGCTCCGTCTCCGCCTGGAGCTGCTCCTGCAGCTGGTTCTTCTCCTCGGACAGCTGCAGGTGGGGGTGGGCGGCAGGGGGTCAGGGGACGTCCCCCTCTCCCCCGCCACGCCTCCCTCTGCCGTCCCGGCCGGGCGGGTACCTGCGTGTGCTTCTGCTCCAGCTCCTTGAGCTCCGTCTCTGCCTTCTGCTGCCGCTCCTTGATCTTCTGCAGCTCGTCCTCCTTGGCCTGCATCTCCTCCTCCTGCCGCGTCACCTGGAGCAAGGGCTTGACCTGCGAGCACAGTGTGGACACGCACGTCACGCGCGGGCCAGACATGCTCTCACGATGAATCTGTGCTTTTCGGGTTTTAGAATCCGGCCCCATCTGCACCCCAAGGAGGTGAGAGCTAGTGTCAGCCGGTTTCAGCAGGGTACCAGGGTGAAAGGTACCGCTGGCTTCCACTGCGGCTCCTGGATGTTCTATTTCCTTCCTTCCTTCCTTCCTTCCTTCCTTCCTTCCTTCCTTCCTTTCCTTCCTTCTTTCCTTTGCTTCCTTCCTTTGTTCCTTCCTCCCTCCCTCCCTTCCTTCCTTCTTTCCCTCCCTCCCTCCTTCCTTTCTTCCTTCCTTTCGTTCCTGTGTCACACCCGGCAATGCCCAGGGGTTCCTCCTGGCTCTGCACTCAGGAATCACTCCTGGCGGTGCTCGGGGGACCCTGTGGGATGCCGGGGATCGAACCCAGGTTGGTTGCGTGCAAGGCAAATGCCCTCCCCGCTGTGCTATCTCTCCAGCCCTTCCTGAACATTCCTGAACATCCGCACAAATCACAGAACTGCGCCTCTGAAATAGACTCGTGCCAAGGCTGGGAAGCCCTAATGAGAGAAATTGGAAAAGGGGGACAGTGAACGAAGGACCTGTGCCTCCTTGCTTCTCACCCACCCCCACATCAGTCCCGCAGACAGTTACCGCGAAACCGATGCAGTTCCCTCACGGGGAAAAGGCTGATAACCCCTTGTAGGCAGGATCTCCATCCTGGTCCCTAGTGCGGGCCTTAGCATTTCCTGATAACCCTGTGCTGCTCAGGGCTGACTCCTGGCTCTGTGCTCAGGAATCCCTCCTGGCAATGCTCAGGGGACGGGATAGGTTGATGCCGGGATGGCACCTGGGTCGGCCGTGTGCAAGGCCGATGCTCTGCCCACTGCATCACGGCTCTGGCCCTTCTTCGAAGCCTCTGGTTGGAAGCATGTGGGACAGGCTCCTGGGCACGCCCCCGGCTGTGATGGGGGCGTGGGGGCCCCTCCCAAGGCTGCTCCCCGCAGCCGGGCATGGCCGGGCTCTCTCTGAGCCGCGTCCCCCGCCCCTCACCCCACTGTGGCTTCCGGCGCTGGCAACTAAGACCGTGATCGCCCCCCACCCCACCCCCCAGTGCTCGGCTCCTTGCAGCCTGATTTGTCCTTTTCAACCCTCTTGGGCTTCGCAGCCTCGCCCTGTCCTGCTCAGGGCTGATTCCCAGGGGAGCTTGGAGCGAGCGTCCGGCCATTAGTTTCCCAGTTAAGACGTATCATTCAGGTAAGACTGGCTGTAGCGCTCGGAGTCCCTGTTTTAAACAGCTGGCGAACACTCCACCCGGGAACGGAGTCAAGATGAAGGAAGGAGGCTGCAGGCCGGGCAGTGCACGCCCAGATTTCCAGTGCCCGTCTCAGACAGGCTCCTTCAAACAGTGCTCTCCAGACCAGACTTCCCAGGGCTGTCAGAGGCTCAGGGAAAACCGCCAGACCCGGAGGAAAATGAACGCATGGGCCCCTCAATACAGTGCTCCTGTCCAGGCCAGGCGAGGGGCTGAGGGCTGGCACACCTCTGTTTGCCCAGGCCCCGGGCGCCATCCCCAGCACCTCGTGGCCTGTCGAGCACCGCCGGGTCTAGCTCCGGAGGCCCTCGGCAACGCTCTTCTGGGTCTGAGTTCCGACACATCAGGTCAGCCAACGATCTCCAGGAGGGGCCCCTGGGCCCCCTGACTACTGACTGGGAGTCACTCTTCCCCCGGCCCCACCAAAACTCCACACACCAGACATGGAAGGAGGGACCGGCCGTGGGGGTGCGGGGACAGCTGGGCAAGGGAGCCTGGTGGTCCCAGAGATGCTCTGGGCCCAGAGCACGTGGAAGTCGCAGCTGGAACTCGATGGCCCAGGAGGGAGGGAGGGAGGGAGGGCGGGAAGCCCCCTCAGGGCACAGACTTGTCCAGGGAAAGGGTTGCCCTACAGCCTCCAGCCCTGTGGCCACAGCCACGCCCCAGTTCTAGGCTGGGGACATGTAGAGTCCAGCTTGTGTGTGTGTGTGGGGGGGAGGGGCGTGCAGGAGCAATCACCTGGGAGCAATCACCTCAGTGAAGGAGCACTCACCTCGGAAAGAGGGAGCGCACCATTCGACCGAGGGGAGCACTCCCCCCAAGAGGAGAGGGAGCACTCACCTTGGTGAAGAGCCGCCACCACTGCCAGTTGCGCAGCTTGAGGTAGGCAGCGCAGTTCCTCTGGATCACCTTCATGGCCGTCAGCTGCTGCTGCCGCTTGGTGAAGGCCCTGGCAGGGAGGGAGGGGGCCGTGGTGGGAAGATCTGTAGGGGCGGGGGCTGGCCCGAGGGCACCCTGACGTCTGCCTCTGTCTGTCCGTCCTCCCTTCGTCCAAGGAGTCCTGAGCGTCCACCCCCAGGCGGCTCAGACAGACGCTTAGAACCCCCGGAGCCCAGAGCCTTCCCACGGATCCAGGGAGAGCCACACCCAGGAAACCCGGCCCACGGGACCCCAATCCTCAGGGCCCCGCATGTGGCGGGCTGAGCCCCCTTCCAAAAAGCCCAGTGTCTGACACCGTCCTTCCCTTGGCTGTAGCCCAGTGCCCTCCAGCCGGACGCCCGCTCCCCCATCACTCTGATTAGGGGCTTGGGCCTGGCCAGCTACAGGGCCCGGGAGCGCCCCCCTTTCCCTCGGCCTGGCTGCATCACGACTCTGGGACCCTCGGCCCCCAGCAGGCAGAGGCCAGGGCGTGACACAGAGAAGCGGTTGTAAGCTAGGTCTGAGCCTGGGTCAGGAGCGCCTGCGTCTCTCCCGGCCCTCTGCGGTCCAACGGGCAGCGGGCGCGGTTAACGGGCTTCGGGCTCTGTAGGCAAGAGCCTGGCCTGGCCCTCACGGTACAGGCACCCTGGACACAGAGTTCCGGCTGGCCCGGGGGGCAACCCCTCCCATAAAACTCCTACTAGGATCATCCTTGGGTATCCGCAGGGGCGGGGCCTCAGGCCTCCCTGCCTCCTGCAGGTAACCATATCGAAGGGTGCCCTGGTTCCCGGGGGTCAGCCCTCTGTGTGGGGGGTCTCACACCCAACCGACAGGCAAGGTGCGTGTGATGGCTGTAAAACCCAGGAACTGATATATAGATACAGATCCAGGAATTAAAAAATGAGCGGCCCCAGGCAGTCCCAGGCCGACCTGGATGACGTGCCCTCCCCGCTGCGCCACCCCCCCGCCCGGCTTGGCAAGCAATTTGGGGGCAACTTTCATGCAGGAACCCCAGGCCCCAGCCAGGTCCCAGGATCCACCAGCCAAGGCACGCGCCTTCCCAGAGCCAGGCTTAGAATCCTGAGGGAAGGGAACAGAGCGTCCGCCAGAGACCTGCCTGGGGACACCAGGCCTGCGGCCCTCGCCTCTCAGGCAGCGCGAACCCCGAGACAGGAGCCGAATGCGCCTCCCGCCACTGACACTTGAGGCTGGCTCCGAGGGGCAGAGAAACGTACCCAGGGTGCTCAGCAAAGAAGGGGCAGGAGAAGCTAGCACCCAGCACCTTCCCGCTCTGCCCCGGGAGCTAACCCACCTCCCGACTGTGCCGCCAGCCCCTCTTCTGCCCTGCTGGTCAGGGCAGGCCCCTGCCGGGCGGCACAGGGACCGCAGGAAAGAAGGCCGGAGGCTCCCGGCCCCGTGTGGGCATCAGCCCCACCCGCCCCAAGTCCGCCGCCCTTACTTCCTGGCCAGGTAGCCGCGGCACATGGCCTGGAAGGCCATGATCACGTCGGTGATCTTCAGGTCACGCTCCTCCTCCAGGTGGGCCAGGACCCCCGTGCGGAAGAAGATTTTGCTCTGCCCGATGCGGTACAAGTTGGGGTCGAGTTCAAGGGCTTTGATCTGGAGCGGGAGGGAGGACAAGAGTCACCGCTGCCTGCTGTGCAAGGAGCAGGGGTGTGTGTGTGTGTGTGTGTGTGTGTGTGTGTGTGCGCGCGTGCACGTGTGTTCATGTATGTGTGCATGTGTGTGAGTGTGTGCACGCGTGTGTGTGTCTGTGTGTGCATGTGTGTGAGTGCATGTATGTGTGTATATGTGTGTGTGCGTGCGTGTATGAGTGTGTGTGTGTGTGTGTGTGTGTGTGTGTGTGTGTAACATGAAGGTTTAAGAGTGGTCCCACCCGAGGCAGGGGGCAGGGGGCCTGACTTCAGGCTCACTGTGAGGATGCGTGTGTGTGAGTATGTGTGTGTGTGTGTGTGTGTGTGTGTGTGTGTGTGTGTGTGTGTGAGACCTACAGGTTTCAGGATGGTCCCATCCGCAGCAACGGGGCCAGGGCAGGGGCTCGCAGCTCACCATGAGGATGCAGGCCTGCTTCCCGTCCATGAAGCCCTTGGGGATGGCGTTGGCCGCCAGAATCTCGTAGCTGGAGACAGAGCAGGGTGGGGGTCAGCCCTGGGTGCCCTGCCCGTGCGGTGGGCGCTGTCCCCCCGGGCTCACCCGCGCTCACCGCTGGCGGAACTCCTGGAAGACGATGCGGTTGGGGAAGCCCTGGCGGCAGATGCGGATGCCCTCCAGGACGCCGTTGCACCGCAGCTGCTCCAGGACCAGGAAGGCGTCCAGCTTGCCCGACTGCGGGAGAGGGCAGGACTCGGCGGGCGGCCGGGCGGGGACCCACGCGCCCCAAGGCCACTCTCCCCTGCTCGGTGGCTCAGGGCCAGGGAGAGTGTGCGTGTGAGAGGGGGAGAGAGGAGAGGGTATGTGAGGTTGTGCGTGTGTGAGGGGGTGAGCGTGTGGGACGGGGCGTCCTCCTGTCCCGCACCAGCCGTCCAGTGCCCGCACCCTGCCCTCTCCACACTCTCTTCCCTGCAGCCTTCCCACCGGCCCCCCTCTCTGCTTTCTGGAACGAAAATCGGACCAAGGCATGGCTCTACTCTGATGACCCCTCCAGAGGGACGGCCAAGGTCGCCCCATTCAGAAGGCCACGGCCCCTCCCTGCCCACCACCGAGCCTGACCTCCCACAAACCCACACACCCTCACACACACCCTCACACACCCCCTCACACACCCTCACACACCCTCACACACACCCTCACACACCCTTACACCCCCTCACACACACACTCACACACACCCCTGCATTCTCTCAATACATACACCCCCACACTCTTTCTCTCACACACCCTCACTCACCCCCTCACACACCCTCACACACCCTCACACACACCCTCACACACCCCCTCACACACCCTCACACACACCCTCACACAACCCCTCACACACCCTCACACACCCTCACACACACCCTCATAGCCCCTCATACACCCTCACACCCTCACACACACCCTCACACACTCTCACCCCCTCACACACCCTCACACACCCTCACAAACCCTCACACACACCCTCACACACCCTCACACACACCCTCACACACCCTCACACCCCCATACACCCTCACACACCCTCACACACACCCTCACACACCCTCACACCCCCTCACACACACACTCACACACACCCCTGCATTCTCTCAATACATACACCCACACACTCTTTTCTCACACACACCCTCACACAACCCCTCACACACCCTCACACACCCCCTCACACCCCCTCACACACACTCTCACACACACCCCTGCATTCTCTCAATACATACACCCCCACACTCTTTCTCTCACACACCCTCACTCACCCCCTCACACACCCTCACACACCCTCACACACACACTCACACACGCCCCTGCATTCTCTCAATACATACACCCCCACACTCTTTTCTCACACACACCCTCACACAACCCCTCACACCCCCTCACACACACTCTCACACACACCCCTGCATTCTCTCAATACATACACCCCCACACTCTTTTCTCACACACCCTCACTCACCCCCCCACCCCCACCAGCCTCCACAGCGCGTGCCCTCCCGCGCCCGCAGCCTCCCTTGCAGGCCCCGCTCGCGCCTCACCCGCTTCTCGTGGTTGGGGATGATGCAGCGCACGAAGTTGGGCGTGGTGTTGCGCAGAGTGGTCATCAGCTTGCCCAGCTGCTCCTTGTACAGCTGCCCCACGGTGCGGAACATGCCCTTCTTGGTCTTGGAGGCGCTGGGCAGGGAGCTCTCGGTCATCTTGGCCATCTGGTCCAGGCCCACGATGCGGTCCACTGAGGGCACGTCGGAGCCGGGTCAGCTCGGCCCCCGGCCAGCCAGGCCCGCGCTCTCGGCACCGGGAAAGTGAGCCGGGCACGGGGAGGGGGGTCGCGGGGCTGCCCCTGCCCCCCCCCACCCCGGTCACTGGGCCTCGGACACTTGAGCCACCATCACAGCCCAACCGGGCGTGGGACCTCCTCCCAGGGGTCAAGCGCGGGCTTTGGGGTCACTCTTGGTGGGCCAGTCCCCGCTGACATGGACCCTGAGCGCCTGCTGCCCCGGGCCAGCCTCTCTCGGGAGCACTGTGGGGACGGGGGGCTGGCCTCGGGTGCCCCTGAGCCCCGCATCCCCGGGTCTCACCATCCTTCCACAGGTCGGCCACAAACTTGTCCGAGGACGCGTTGAGGAGGGAGGTGACGTTGTCGTTCAGCGGGTCCATGTTCTTGGTCAGCCAGGCGCTGGCGTTGTAGTCCACCTGCCAAGGACCCCTGAACCTTCGGCTCTTGCCCTCCCGGCCGGCGGGAGCCTGTCCTGGCTCTCTCCCCTGGCCCCCTTCAGAGCCTGGCAGCAGCCCGTGGCTTCAGCGAGGGGCAGGGCTCTGCGGCAGGGAACCCCACATTCCCCGGCTGCCCCTCGCCCAGAGAGGGTCTGACTTTCAACCCAAGAATCCTGGTTTTCCAGGGCTGGAGCGATAGCACAGCGGGGAGGGCGTCTGCCTAGCACGCGGCCAACCCGGGTTCGATTCCCAGCATCCCATAGGGTCCCCTGAGCACCGCCAGGAGTAACTGCTGAGTGCATAAGCCTGTGCATCGCTGGGTGTGACCCAGAAAGAAAAAAAATTAAGAGCCACACCGAGGGAACTGCCCCCACGGCCAGACTGAGCCGAGCACGGGCCCGTGGGCTCTGCCACGCCTGCCAGGGTCCCCCGCACAGAGCGAAGCCCCAGGGAGCGGGCGGTACCTTCCCGGCATAGTGGATGATGGAGAACTCGGTCTTGTCCTTGAGCTGCTTGGGCTTCTGGAACTTGGGGTGGTTGCCCTGCTCGGAGCACAGCTTCTCCACGAAGGACTTGTCCGTGGCCTTGGGGAACCAGCACTCCTCGTCCAGCAGGGCCAGCACGCCGGGGGGATTGTTCTGGGGACACAGGAGGGGGGGTCGCGGGAGGGTCCACTGTGGCCTCCGTCGGCGGCTGCCCTTTTCTAGCACCGCATCTGCCTCTGGCCAAGGATGCTCGGTGATTCCCGCGTGTCCCCTGGAATCACCCGCTTAGGCAGGCAAGGGCTGGGCTAAGGGAACACGGGCTCGCTGCTGCCCCTAGTGGACAGCAGGCAGCACCACGGCCGTTTCACGCAGGCAACGGGGTCCTTGGCTTTGGAGAGAAACTCAGCCCTGGAGTTGGCCTTAGCAGACACAGCCTCGTCGCAGGCGAACTCAGCGCCGCTAAATTTGCACCTGCTGTTTCCCAGACTCCCAGGCCCACACGCACAGGAGGTGCTGACCCATCGCGGCCGGTGGCTGTGCTCTGGGCCCCCCTCCCGAGGGGCTGGGATGCAATGGACAGTGGCCTCAGCCCGCCTGGGGGCTGTCACACTAGGTGACAGACGGAGACACCTAGCCTCCACGGACCGGGGAAGGAGAGGGGCCGAGGGAAGGGGAGCGGGAAGGGGGAGGCAGAGGGAGGGAGAAAGGAAAGGAGGGAGGGGGTGAGTGGGCGGAGGTGTTGGGAAGGAAGGAAGGAAGGAAGGAAGGAAGGAAGGAAGGAAGGATGGAAGCAAGGAAGGAAGGAAGGAAGGAAGGAAGGGAGGGAGGGAGGAAAGAAGGAACGAAGGAAAGGAGGAAGGGAGGGTCAGAGGGAGGGGAAAAGGAAAGGCGGGAAGGAGGGAATGAAGGAAGGAGAGAAAGAAGGAAGGACCAGAAGAAAGAAATCAAGGAGGAGGAGGGAGGCAGGACAGGAGGGAGGAGGGGAGGAAGGAAAAGAAGGGAGGCAGGACGGGAGGAAGGAGGCGAGGAGAGGAGGGAGGCGGGAGGGGGCGGAGACAGGAGGCAGAGAGGCAGGAGGCCCGGGCGGGGCGCAGGGGCCGCACCGGCCGCTCGATGAGCTCAATGCAGGGCTGCAGGTCGAGGCCGAAGTCGATGAAGTTCCACTCGATGCCCTCGCGCTGGTACTCCTCCTGCTCCAGGATGAACATGGTGTGGTTGAAGAGCTGCTGCAGCTTCTCGTTGGTGTAGTTGATGCAGAGCTGCTCGAAGGAGTTCACCTGGACGGGGCGGGGGCACGGTCAGCCGGCCAGGGGCTCTCGGGGGCTCCGCGGGGCTGGCCGCGCCGCGCCTCCCTCCGGGGCCCCACAGGCCGGGGGGTGTTGATGGAGACCCGCCAGGGATCTTGGGGGACGACGAGCCCTCACAAACGCTACCCTCTCCGCCAGGGCGTGCCAGGTGTGGACGGAGGCCTGGAGAGGCAGTGGCTGCCCAGGACGTGTGTTCTGGAACATGTGCCCACCTTCAGGCCCCTTGCGGGAGAACGGGGGTGGGTGGGGTGGGAGGCGCCTCTGTTTGTTTATTTATTTATTTATTTTGCTTTTTTGGGTCCCACCCGGCGATGCTCAGGGGCTCCTCCTGGCTCTGCACTTAGGAATGACTCCTGGTGATGCTGGGGGGACCCTAGGGGATGCCGGGGATGGAACCTGGGTCGGCCACGTGCAGGGCACATGCCCTTCTCGCTGTGCTATCGCTCCAGCCCCACGGAACCTCTAGTTAACTTCCTATGTAGACCCTGACCGCTGTCTTGAGCACAGAAGTGGCTGTGGGGCTTCTGGGGAGGGGGGAAGAGGAGTCAAAGGAGATTCAAGTCCCCATTTTGGTCGGTGCGATCGCTAGCGGTGGGGATGCTGTCGAGAGCTAGGGCAGCCTTCTTGGCACCATGAGGCAAGACCCCCACCCCCAGAGAGAGAGCTGGGGTGCAGGAAGGCAAGGAGGCAGCAGGCGTCCAGGCATGACCTGCTGCTTCCAGCCCCCTCGGCTTCACATACCCTCCCCTTCACCAGCTGTCCTGCCTGGACAGAGCTGACCAGCACCTCCCTTTCTCCCCAGGAACATTTTCTCCAAGCATAAGGCAGACCCCAGAGAACCAAGACTTCCGCCGGCCGGGATCCTGCTCAGTCGTACCTCGAAGATCTCGAAGCCGGCGATGTCCAGGATGCCCAGGAACGAAGCCCCTTGCCGGTGGGTCTTGTCCAGCGCTTTGTTGACACGGCCAAGGATCCAGCGGAAGAGGCGCTCGTACGTGGCCTTGGCCAGCGCCTCGATGGCAAAGTCGGCCTGTGTCGTAGGGGCAGACACAGTGACTCCCGACAGCTCCATACACTTGGGCCCGGCGTGTGGCTCAGGGCCACTCCCCTGCCCGCAGTCAGTCCTTACAGAGTGACCACAGGTCTTCTCTGGCCAGGAGAGAGGACAGACCCACTGAAGGGCAAAGTGGGTCCAGACGCAGGCACAGAGTGACCCGGAGCGGGACAGAGCCTGCCGGCCACGGGGTCACTGGGGACGAAGCAGCGCGTAAGTCAGACCCACAGCCAGGCGCTCAAGGGCAGACGCGAGGAGGAACTGCACTGGCCTTTCGGAATCTGACTTGACCTTGAACAATCTAACAGTGGGTGTCTGAGGGGTAATGGGACAGAGAGACAGGTGGGTGCGCGATTAGGGGAATGAACGTCTAAGCGGGTGGTGGATGGATGGATGGATGGATGGATGGATGGATGGACAGATGGATGGAGAGCTGCAGAGACGAACGGACACGTAGAGACAGGTGGGCACATGGCTGGATGCACGGATGGTTGAGTGAATGGATGAGGTGACGTGTGCAGATGGGGAGGTTATTGTACGCGTGTAGAAGGGACAGATGGATGATGGGTGGATGGGTGGATGAACGGAGAGGTGAGTGGATGGGTGGATATTAATAGGCTGGTGGATGAATAAATGGGTAGATGGATCAATGAATGGATGAGTGGACGGTGAATGGATGGATGATGGATGGATGATGGATGGATGGATGGGTGGGTAGATGGATGGAGGGTTACATGGATAGATGGGTGAGTGAATGGATGGATAGATGGATGGATGGATGGATGGGGGAATGGATAGATGGGTCAGTATATGGATGGGTGGGTGGGTAGATGGATGGATAGGTGGATGGATGGATGGATGGATGGATGGGTGAGTGGGTGGATGGATGGATCAGTGGGTGGATGGGTGAGTGAATGGATAGATTGGTAGATGGATGGATGGTTAGATGGATGGGTGAGTGGGTAGATGGATGGATAGGTGGGTGGATGGATGGATGAGCAGAGAGGCGAGTGGATGGAAGCTGGCAGAGTCTCGATCAGTCGCCTCGTACCTGCTCTTTGGTCTGTGCCTTCTGCACGACATCCCGCCCAACCTTGATGCGTGGGGTCAGGATGGCTCTTGTGAAATCTGTCACGTTGATTCCTGCGAGGTGGCAAACCTTCTGGGCAGCTGATGGAGAGAAGAAGCGTAAGGGCGTGTCACCAAGGCAGGAGCCTGGACAGGGGTACGTATCCAAGGCAACTGAGGGCCACGCAGCTTTTCCCGGAGAGAGAAGGGGGTAAAGGGGGCCTAAAAAGGTCCCAAAAAAGGGGCTGACCAGGGGCCTCCCCCGGGGTTTGGCCAAGACACACTGGCGGGAAGGGCCCAAGGTGCTCCCGAGGATAACTCAGGGTCAGAAATTCTAGGTTTGAGTTCTCGCCCCTCTCCCCTGCCGTGTAATTCAGGAAAAGCCTTTTCACTCCTGTCTCGCTTCCCCCGGCCACCAGCAAGGCCCAGCTGTCCGGCACCTTCTTGGCGTGTCTTGGGAGAGAATGAAGTGAGAGAAAGGGACGCCCAGGGCCAGAGGCGGGGGACCTGCGCCATGAACCTCAGCCCCACGTGCCCAAGGGACGCCTGGCAGCAGAGTGCCGAGACAGAACACTGGTAGGCGCCCGAGTGCCCGCGGGCACGGGGTTAAGGGTTGGCAACATTTTCCGAAAGCGCGTCTCAGGATGGCCTCAGCCATGGCTTCTCTGTCCCTTCGTCTTAGACCAGATTCCCTACGGGGGCAGACTCTGTTCCTGTGGAAACTGCGGAAGCGTCGAGAGTCCTTTCGTCTTGTTCTGTCTGGGGCCACAAAAAGTGAGGATTTGGGCTGGGAAAATTCAAAATAATGGTGGCGGGAAGGTGTCATGGTGGTGGGATTGGTGTTGGGATATTGAATGTGATAAATCATCGCGGACAATGTTATAAAATTAAAAGAATTGGGGCTGGAGCGATAGCACAGCGGGGAGGGCCTTTGCCTTGCACGTGGCTGACCCGGGTTCGATTCCCAACATCGCATAGGGTCCCCTGAGCACCGCCAGGAGTGATTCTTGAGAGCAGAGCCAGGAGGAACCCCTGTGCATCGCTGGGTGTGACCCAAAAAGAAAAATAAATAATTTTTTAAAACACACACAAAAACCCCACGGGAACCCTCAGCCTTGTTTCCTAGCACCGCCCAGTCCCACTCGGAAACACTGAACAAAACACCTGGGACTGAAGGGGGAGACAGTTTCCCAAAAGAATTTTCCCCCCTTTCTTTTCTTTTTTTTATTGGGTGGGTGGTTGGGCCTCGCCCAGCAGTGCTCAGGGGCTATTCCAGGCCCTGAGCTCAGGAGCGACCCCTGGTGGTCTTTGAGGAGCACGTGGAGCTGGGGGTGCCAAGCCCTGCAATCTCTCTCCAGCCCCTTGGATTTTTTCTGACCTAAAGTGACTCGTATTCCCCGGCCCCTAAACGCTGGTTCAAGAACTTCCCTCTTCAGGAACTGCAGCAATCAGCAATTTGCTTTTGCTGGTTTTTTTTTTTTTTGCCACACCTGGCTGTGCTCCAGACTGACTCCTGGCTCTGTGCTCAGGATCACTCCTGGCGCTGCTCGGGGGACACTCCGGGGTGCCGGGGATCAAGTCTGGGCCGGCCACGTGCAAGGCAACCCACCGCCTTGCCCGCTGTAATATCGCTCCAGCCCCAGCAGTGGACAGTTTGGAAAGAGAAACCCGCGGTGGAAAGAGAGGTCTGGCACCTGTTCGTACCCTGATACCTTCAGTCGGAAAAGAGCCAGCAGGAGAGAGAGTGCGGGGTGGTTAGCCTTGCGTGCGGCTGACTCCAGTCTGCCCTTCTACACACACACACTGCATATGGAGTAACTCCCGGGTTCCACTGGGTGTGGCCCCAGCGCCCCTCCAAGAACCAGAAGTAGAACGCATCCCCCTCGCCCCCCACAGGAAGCCTGAGAGGACACGCACCCGTGTTGTCGGGCATGGACGCCTGGTCTGTGTTCCTTTCCTTCTTGAAGACGATGTTTCCAAGCTGCAGCACGGAGGAGACCACCTTGAGCACGGCTGCGGGGGGGAGAGAGACACATCAGGTCGGACACAGCAGGCCAGGGGTGGACCCGGAGCCGGCTGGCCCTGAAGGAAACTCGGCTCTGAGCTGTAGGAGGAAGCTGGAGGACCCCCACTCCCGGCCAGGGGGAGCAGAAATTTTGCAAAAGGTTGCTAAGACCTTTGTACCGCCACAGGGAAGGCTGTAGCCAACGTCAGCCCGCTGGGTCAAATCTGGCCCGCCACTTGCCTCTGTCAATAAAGTTTTATTGAAACACACTCATGCACTGACACGTAATCCAGAGCTGGTCTGCGCGCTGCGGTGGCAGATAAAACCGGAACGACCAAGCCCAGATCACCTGTGGACAAGGGGCACCCTAGTCCTCCAGAGAAAATGTTTGCCGACTCCTCCTGGGCATCAGTGCCAGGACCCTGCAAGATGCCATCCACCTGTCCGAAGATGCCGTCCGTCCGTCTGTCCTCAGCATGAACCCCGTGCAAAAGGTGGACGCTGAAGAACGGGCCACGCCGCAGCCTGAGGAGTCAGAGGTCCAGGCCCTGTTCTCCTGGTTCTCAAACTCTGAGTCTAAACTCGAGGCTGCCGGAAGCCTGCTGAGGTCCTGCTGCCTGACACTCTCGGGCTTTCTCAGTCTGGCAGCTCGGGGGGTTTGCACCGTCCCTGCATGAGGCTGGGCACTGGAGGCTGTTGACTGGCATCCAGAGCCCGACCACTAGGTGCCAGCAGAGTTCCCCTTCTCGGGACACCCCAGAACTTCAGACCGGCAAAAGTCTGGGGCGGCTCTCCCAAGCTTATTGTTTACACCTGGCAGTGCTCAGAACTTCCTCCAGGCTCTGTGCCAGGGATCACTCCTGGCAGGGCTCGGGGGACCCTGTGCAGTGCAGAGAATCGAACCCGCTGGGCTGTGTGCAGGGCAAAAACCTCCCCTCCGTCCTGTGGCTCTGGCCCCAGGAGGGACTCTGGGTGGAGCCGGGAGGCGGCGCCAAGCCGGAAAGAGGGACACCAGGACACGGTGGAGGGTCTCAGAGTCCAGGCTCCGTGAGGCGCTGCCACGGGTCACGTCTGGGTCCTATCCCAGGTGGCTGTGCAACCTTCAGTCGGGGATCAGCCTCTCTGGGCCTGTTTTGCTTTGGCCTCTTGGAAGGTTGTGAGGGTGAGAAGCTCAGCTGTGGAGCACAGTGGGCTGGAGCTGACGCCAGGCCAGGTCTGCCCTTATCAGTATTATTATTATTATTATTTCTGTCCTCCAGGGCTATAGCTTTCTCTGAGCTCCAGGACCTGGAGGGGACAGTCATCGGGGACCCCAGGAAGTTCCGGGCTCAGGTGTGTGCCCCTCCCCCTTTCCCGCTCCCACTCCTTCCACTGCTTGGTGGAAGGCAGGGTCTAATGGGGCCGGGGCCGCCTACCTATCGCTCCAAGGGCCCATTCTGGGAGCCTGAGCGACAGCACCAGGGGGAGGGCACTCGCCTTGCACTCGGCTGACCCCGTTGGACCCCTGGCATCCCATCGGGTGCCCTGAGCCCCGCTAGGAGTGATCCCTGGGTGCAGAACCAGGAGTCCGCCCTGAGCACTGCCGATGTGGCCCCCAAACAAACCAAATCAAATAAGAAATAAATCCCAGGTCCTCCCAGCTTTGGTCTTGACGCGCTGTTCGGCCGTTCCTGTCACTTTCTCTGTCCTGAGACCGACTTCCATAAGAGACTTTATCTTAAGTGAAAAATCAGCCTCTCGTGCCCAAAAATGACAACTGATAAAACACATACAAGGAGAACAATGTCGCCAGACCGAAGGGAGGTGCTGGGCGCCATCCAGGGCTGGTCTCTGGGCAAACGGGAGAAACAACCGAGACGGGACGGTCAGTGCCAGCCTGCTCGTCTGTCTGGGGGAGTCATTCGAAGCACCGCTAGAGGCAGAGAGAGGTTCGGTGCCACTGGCAGGGATAACACACCCCAGACCCTGGCTGGGACCTTGAGCTTTAAAGGCATTTGAAGGACAAGACCCCCTTGGCACAGATGAAAATGGAGCGGAGAGAATTTGGGGGCACAGGAGACCCACGGGGGAGTCCCAGCTCCCCTAAAACTCACTGCATGTCCTGGGGAAAGTTGCTTCACTGTGCCGTGCCTCAGTTTCCCCCTCTGTGAATGCTGGGTAACAAGGGCCACGTGGCAGGGTTGCTGTGATGCCAGAGAATTCGGGGGAAACTCTCAGACTGTGGCTGAGCCATGTGAGATCGTCAGGGTTAAAAAAAAAAATACTAGAAGCTAGAAGCTTCCACATGTAAGTTGACATTTTTCTAAATTTAAATAGTCCAAGCTTTCTCCTACCAAAGGTCAACTAATAATTGAATCCATCTTCTATCCATCATTTGTTCCCACTTTGATTACTGAAAACGGGACATCTTGGTACGATAAAAATAACACGGGGGAAGGGCAAGGCCTGGCCTGGCACGAAGCCAGGAAGGAATCATGACTCGGGTGTTTTTTTGTTTTTAAGCAAAGATTAGAAGCAAAACGGACTCTTGTCCCAAAGTAAAATCAGTCCTTCTTGGAGAGCCCGTGTCACTCTGGATTCTGGTACGAGATGCAGCCAAAGTCCACACATGCCAGCCATTTGCCAGCTGACCCCCGCCCCCAGCCTGTTTACGAGCCCCCCCCCCCCCGCCGTTATCTTGGGAGGAGCCCCCCTCCCCATCCTCTCTCCCTTTCAGCAACCTTTGTGCTATTCTGGGGCTCCAACTGGGAGTGGGCGTGGGAAGGAAGGGAAATTTTCCACAATCTTGCCCTCGTGTTCCAAAAAGAGATTAACCTTTCTGGGACCCGGGGGGCACGGTAAGCCAGAAGAAAAGGCGTTTCTGGAAGCAGAGCCTGGAAACGGGACTCGCTCTTAAGAGCTTCTTCCCTGTGTTGAAGAAAACAGGTTTCGCGGAGGACACTGACTGGGGTCTACCAGGCCCAAGTTTACTGGCAGAGTCTGGCTAGCCCACAGCCTTTCTTGATCCCCTTCCAACGCCCTCTCTGCCACCATGCCGCAGTGAGGAGCGGCCCCTCCACCCAGGCGGACCCAGAGAGCCCAGGTGAGGCACCTGAGCCCAGAGGCGTGAGTGCTGGAGCCAGAGCAGCTGTTTTGCCGCCAGCGACAGACCCTGTTGTTGGAAGACCCCGTTCCAGAGGCACCTGGGAGCTCTCAGAACACGTCGTCGGTGAAACCAGTATCTCTCACTTTTTCCTCTCCACAAGAAAACCATTTTCCTTTCCCTGGAACCAGCCTGGCTTGCTTTGCTCATCTGTCACAAACACTCAAGAACACTAACAACAACACTCGTTGTTGTACCCTCATGCTCAGATGTTGTTTGGAAACCTCCGCAAGCCGACGAGGCCCTCATTGCTTTTTCTGGAGGCGGTGGGGATTTCCAAGAGCAGAGCTTGGTCCTGGGCAGAGACACGCCCTGCCGGACGCCAGGACAGCAGGGATGCCTTGCACGCGGCCAACCCTGGTTCCATCTCCGGCATCCCCTAGGGCCCCCCGAGCACCACCAAGAGTGATTCCTGAGTACAGAGCCAGCAGTAACCCCTGAGCATCACTGGGTGTGACCTCAGAACAAAACAAAAAAACTGGGTCCTGGGGCACTCGCGGGGGTCTTGAGACCAGCCCCTCCCAGCCCGAGACTTACCCAGCCGCTCCTCCTCATTGAAGCCCATGATCCCCATGGCCTCCAAGGTCTCCAGGAACATCTCGTCGTCCTGAGCGGCTGGGATGGGCACGTAGCCATTGGAGAGGAACGTGTAGTTGCTGAAGCCCTCCAAAAGCAAGTCCTCTGGAAGGAACGAGAGAGAGGGGAGGTCAGAAGGGTCAGAAGCCGGATGCCCCCCCCCCCCCGCAAGGGGATGAAACGGGGGTGGGGGAAATGGTCTGGCCACACAGGGATGGCTGAAAACTGGTCACCGGCCTCCTGGGGCAGCTGAAACCCAACCCTGGCTCTCCTTCCTGAGCTCTGACCCAAAACTGCATACACAGGAGGGGGCGACCACCTTACCTTTCCCTCCACTGCCCCGAAATCCCCTGATTTCCCAGAACAAAACTATCAGCAAAGGAGACCCACAGGAGACCCACTTCTCTTTGTTTGTCTCTGTTGTTTGTCTGGGGCCATGCTCAGGGCTTACTCCCGGCAGTGCTCAGGGAACCGAATGAGCCAAGGGGTCAGCCCCATACTAGGCAAGGGCCCAACCCTCTGTACTGTCATTCTGACCTGCAGATCCAGCTCTATTTTTCCATTTTCTTTTTTTTTTCCCTTTTGGGTCATACCCGGCGATGCACAGGAGTTATTCCTGGTTCGTGCACTCAGGAATTACTCCTGGCAGTGCTCGGGGGACCGTATGGGATGCTGGGAATCGAACCCGGGTCGGCCGCGTGCAAGGCAAATCCCCTACCCGCTGTGCTAATGCTCCAGCCCCCTCCTTTCATATTTTTAAAACAGAAGATTTAATAACACACGAGCTTTAAAAATTCAGGGCCAGGCTGCAGTGATAGTACTGCAGTGTTGGCCTTGCACACACCCGACCTGGGTTCGATCCCCAGCATCCCATAGAGTACCCAAGTCCCCGAGCTGGGTGTGTTCCCCCTTAAAAAATAAAGATAACACTGGTGGAGAGATGGGTACTCGATCATTGTGTGCCTAAGATGAAGTCACAAAAGTTTGTAAGTCTGTAACTGCATCTCACTGTGATTCATTAAAATATAAAAGAAAAATGTTGTCTTGATATAAAACGTTAATTGTTAGGAAGAATTCCGTTTCTTTGACTTTCTGAAGAGCTAATAAAGGACAGGTAACACTCCTCTTTGAATAAAATAACATAACATGAGACTGACACTGGGCTGGAGTGATAGCACAGCGGTAGGGCGTTTGCCTTGCATGCAGCCAACCTGGCCGACCCGAGTTCGATTCCTCCGCCCCTCTCGGAGAGCCCAGCAAGCTACCGAGAGTATCTCGCCCACACGGCAAAGCCTGGCAAGCTCCCCGTGAGGTATTCGATATGCCAAACACAGTAACAAGAAGTCTCACGATGGAGACGTTACTGGGCCCGCTCGAGCAAATTGATGAACAACGGGAGGACCGTGACTGTGACCGTGACCGAGACTGACACCCAAGGGCAGTAGAAACAAGGGCCAGGAATACTGCCCTGTGGTTGGAAGCCTGCCTCACGAGACGGGGAGAAGGCAGCTGGGATGGAGAAGGGATCACTAAGTCAGTGATGGTTAGAGAGGTCGCTCGGGATGGGAGGTGTGTGCTGAAAGTAGATGAAGGACCAAACACAATAACCTCTCAGGGTCTGTACTGCAAACCCTAATGCCCAAAAGGAGGGATGATGGGGAACCGTGTCTGCCATGGAGGCAGGGGGAGGGTGGGGAGGGGGGGATACTGGGGACATTGGTGGTAGAGAATGTGCACTGTGGAGGGGTGGGTGTTCGCGCATTGTATGACTGAAGCTCAAACATGAAAGCTTTGTAACTGTATCTCATGGTGACTCAATGGAAAGAGAAAAAAAGTAAAAAAAATAAAAACCAAAAAGCCCCAAACCACCCCTCTTTGATAAACTGAAAGAACTCAATGAACCAATCTATACCTTGAAAAAAAAATAAACATTCAGGTCCAGGGAGAGAGTCCGGGCAGGGGGCACACGCCTAGCAAGCACAGGGTCCCTGCCGGAGGGACATGGGCCTGGGACCCCTGAGCACCCTGACGGGAGGGGCCGAAACACTGCACTACCCCTGGGAGCAGCCCCCAGGGACGCGCCTCGCTGCCTGGCAAGTCTCCCCCAACTCAATCAGGACCGGAAGGTCGAAGGCACAAGCACCACGCCCGTCTCCCCCTCCCTGCCCCCCACCCCCACCCCCGCCCCCGCTGCTCCAGTGTCAAGAGAACCCTCCAGAAAGGGCCGCCTCGGAGCTGCCTCTGGTCCCCCCCGGCTCTGGCTGCGAGGTGCTTGCGGTGGGGACCGCCAGGCTGCGATGTCCCTTACTGACCCCTAGGGCTCTCCTCCCCTTTACCCTCCACGCGGTTGGACCTGGGGTGGGGGGGGCACTGGCTGGAAGCGGCCACTTCCTTCCTCCTCTGTCTTCTCTGGGCTCCTCCCGGCGCGAGGGTGGGGCCGAGCAGGGCCAGAGAGGCCGAGGGTCCCCCCAAACCTAAACTGTTTACTCGCTGGCCCTTCCAGGAGGACATTCGCTTGTTTACACCACGACGTGACTAAGCGCTGGAAACTCAGCCCGGAGCCGCCTCTCCCTCCTCCCCCAGACCCCTCGGGCTCCTCCTCTCCTCCAAGCAGTGAGGAACCTCCCTAACATACCAAGAGCCCTCTCCCAGGGTGATTTATTTATCTGTTATTATTATTGTGCCCTGACAATTTAAATTTAAACTGCACTTACGTGTGTGTGTGTGTGTGTATGTGCATTTAGTGTACTTTCAAATGTGGGGAAATGGAGACCGAACTGAGTGCTTTATTTATTTTTTTTAATAATCGATACTTTTTATTTTATTTATTTACTTATTTTTTGCTTTTTGGGTCACACCCGGCGATGCTCAGGGGTTACTCCTGGCTCATGCACTCAGGAATCACTCCTGGCGGTGCTCGGGGGACCATATGGGATGCTGGGAATCGAACTTGTGTCGGCCATGTTGGCTGCGTGCAAGGCAAACGCCCTAACCGCAGTGCTATCGCTCCAGCCCCTGAGTGCTTTAATTTTAAAACATACACACACACACACACACACACACACACACACACACACACACACAGAGCACTGTAGCACTGTCCTCCCATTGTTCATCGATTTGCTTGAGCGGGCACCAGTAATGTCTCCATTGTGAGACTTATTGTTACTGTTTTTGGCATATCGAATACGTCACGGGGAGCTTGCCAGGCTCTGCCATGCGGGCAAGATACTCTCGATAGCTTGCTGGGCTCTCCGAGAGGGATGGAGGAATCGAACCCGGGCCGGCCATTTGCAAGGCAACTGCCCTATCTGCTGTGCTATTGCTCCAGCCCATATATATGTATATATAATAAATATATACGTATATTATACATAAATATACATCGCATGGTAGATATGCCAAAAACAGTAACAATAACGGGTCTCGTTCCCCTGACCCCAGGGGAGGCTGCTAAAATCTCAGGGCTGGGACGAACAGAGACGTTACTGGCACCCTCTCGAGCAAATGGATGAACAAGAGATGACAATGATTACTATTATTATTATTATTATCATTTGGTTTCTGAGCCATATTCGGCTGTGCTCGGGGTTTTGGCCTGGCTCTGCATTCAGGAATTATTCCCGGCATGCTTGGGGGCGGGGGGGGACCACATGGGATGTTGGGGATCAAACCCGGATCGGCCGCATGCAAGGCAAACGCTCTCCCTGCTGTACTATCGCTCTGGCCCCTTCCCAGAACAGTTTTTAGTTAGGCTGGATTTGATTCTGGTTTTGGAACGAAGCCAGCCAGATACTCCCCCTTTCAGTTGGGGCCTTTCATGGGTCAAGTCCCTTGGAAGCTACTCGGTAAACGAGAGGGTCAACTGACCGGGAGTGAGCCGGGGTCGAGGCGGGGTCCCCAGCACTGGCCCCCCAAGCACAGCACAGAGCCAGGGAACACACTGGAAACTGAGTCCTTAGGGGTTCATGCACCGTCCTACCGAGGAAGCTTTGGCAAAGCCCTGATCCTTGCCGTTTCCGTCAGGTGCTTCGCTTAATCCAGAGGCGAGTATCGTGACTCAGTTCATGGGGAGGTGGGGGGTGGGGCCACACCCGGGGTGCCCAAGGGTCAAAGCTGGGGCTCCTGTGCATGAAGCTTGGGTCCAGCTGGCTGTGCTCTGGCCCGACAGCTTCCGTTGCTGTCTCTGCGTTCCGGCAGCAGAGCTGAGCTGTCACCTGTAACTGTGTGGCCTCAAGAGCCAGAACTCGAGGGCGGGAGGGATAGCACAGCGGGAAGGGCGTTTGCCTTGCAGGCGGCCAACCCGGGTTCGATTCCCGGCATCCCAGAGGGTCCCCCGAGCATCGCCAGGAGTGATTCCTGAGTGCAGAGCCAGGAGGAACCCCTGAGCATCGCCAGGTGTGACCCCAAAAAGGAAAAAAAAGACCCAAAACTCTGGGGTCATTCACATAAAGCGTTAGCTGGCCACAGAGGCTACTTCCAAGCCACTTCACATGCACACGGAGGCAAAGGGGTCTGCTCCGGGGCCCCGCGGGACCCTCCTGACACGGGGTGCAGTTATGCCCTCTGAGCCAGCACACAGGGCGGCGTCTGCATCTCCCCAGCAGGCGGGCTGGGTCCCCCACCTCGAATGATCCTCCTCCCACGGCAAGTGAGCGAGGGAGTCTCGGTGGGTGCTCGGGACCGAGAAAAGCCAGGGACAGACACCCCCGCAGGACACGAAGCGTCTCACGCGAACGCCCGAGCGCCAGTTTCCTGTGGCCCCTCCGTGCTCCTGGGAGCACTCACCTTTCATCTTGTCCTTGGCCCCAGCGATCATGTAGTAAAAGATGTGGAAGGTCCTCTCGTCTCTGGCCTGGCGAATGGCCCGGGACTTTTCCAGCAGGTCTGGTGGGGGGAGGTTAAGGAACCGAGAGCACGTGGGGGAGGCGTTTGCCTCGCACGCGGCCGACCCGGGTTCCATCCCCAGCATCCCATAGGGTCCCCCTCCCCCCCCGCCCCGAGCACCGCCAGGAGTCATTCCTGAGTGCAGAGCCAGGAGGAGCCCCTGAGCATCGCCGGGTGGGACCCAAAAAGCCAAACAAAACCAAACCCAAGAAACCCACGGACGCCACGGATCCACCCCTCCAAGGATCGGACCCTCCCTGGGACCCTTGCTGCTGCCACTGCAGGGGGGGGGGGCGGGGGGGGGAAACGCTCCAGCTTCCAGGACGGTGGGTCCTGAGAGAGAGTTCTGGAAATATCTGGAGACGTCTGGAGATTTCTGGAGAGCCTTTGCGCAGGGTGCTGGGGGCAGGTCAACCCACCCAGGCCTGAGTCAGTTCTGAGATCCAGAGATAGATGCTGGAGGGCCCCGAATTCAAGGCGGTGGAGGGAGCAGAGGGAACGGACAGCTAGCGGGAGCCACCTGGGGGTGTGATCCTGGGTTAACTGCAGTGGAGGGAGATGTGGCAGATAGGAGGGAGAGAGAGAGCAAGAGAGGCAGAGAGAGAGAGAGGAAGAGGAGGGAGAGAGAAAGAAAGAGAGTCAAGAGAGCCCCTGGATGTGGTGGGAGGGACGTGCAAGGGTAAGACTTTGGTATCACATGCGGCCAAACTGGCAGGCCACCGAATGTAACCTGCCCTCATGGCAGAGTCTGGCAAACTCCCCGTGGCGTCCCCACTATGCCAAAGACCAGTGATGGGTCTCATTCCCCTAACCCTGGAAGAGCCTTGAATGTGGCACTTTTTAAGATCTCAGGACTAGGACGAAGGAGACGTTATGGGGCCTGCTCGAGGCAGTCGATGAACAACAGGATGATCGTGATTGTGGCCAACCTCACGCCTAAGCCCAGAGCCAGGAGTAGCCCCTGGTGATAGAACCACAGCAGAGGCAAAGCAACCTGATATGGGGGGTGGGGGTAGGGGAAAGACTCGGTGGACTCAAGGAGAAAGGGATGAGGGGAGAGTAACACAACAGCCGCCCACAGCAGGAGGTCAGCTCCCGCCGGTCATGGCACCTCACCCGAAACCCACAACTCCCAGCACACCCGTTAGGCAGGCGGCAAAACCGAGTCTGACAGCGAGAGGGTAAGAGACTCACGCTACACCTCGCAACACCGGCTGGGCAGCGCTGAGAGCCGGACGCAGACCCCTGCCCTTTCTGGGCCCCCTCTGAGCCCAGATACCACCCCCCCGCCTGGCCCCACCGAGGAGTAAGTGCTCCACAGGCAGCCCAGCGGCACCCCGAATCCTGGCCGATTCAGTCCCAGAGCAGAGTCCGGAAGATCAGGACGACCAGGTGACCACCCTGTGCTCAAGAGGCTCTTGGGACCGGGTGGGGGAGAGCTCAAGGGCGGGGCCAGCTGCCCCCTGAGGCCCCCAGGACGGTCCCTAGGAAGGGAAATAGAGTGATAAACTAAGGCGGTTGGCACGTGCTCTGCGAGGAAAGACCCAGCACTTCCCTAGGAGGATTTGGGGGCCTGGGGGTGTCGGGGGGTCTGCGAGGGCAGAGCAAAGAGCCCAGGCACAGCCCGGCCCCGGCTCTGTCCGAACGAGCGCACTGACCTCACTCCCGCTGCACCCCCCAAAACGGGCCCGGCCGTGGCCCCCTTTTTCCTAGTGAAACCCAGACAGGTTGGTGTCAGGGGTCCAGGACATTTAGGGAGAGGCTGTCTCGGGTTCCAGCCCGGGGCGTCCCCGTGCAGGGGAGAACCCCCTTCCATCCTCCGGGGCCAGCTGTTCCAGGGTGCCTCCCCTCCCCCTGCACGGGAAGACCAGGGGCAGAGAGGTGGTTCTCGAGGGGCCCCTGGCCCGGCACCCACGAAGCCGACCTGGTAAGGATACACGTGTCGATGTTGGCACCCACGATGTAGCCGGTGACGTCGAAGTTGATGCGGATAAACTTGCCCTGCAGAGGGGACACGCGTCAGGCCTGGTGCTTGGCTCAGCCCCTCTAGCTGGAGGGGAGATGGCGGGGAGCAGTGGGGGAGGGAGGGGTGCGGCCCCCGAGACACAAGAGTCGCTGCGGCAGCTGGAGGGAAGATGCCCCGTAAGTAAAGGACGGAGGACACGTGGGCGTGGTGCCTGGCAGATGCCCAGTTCCGAGGCGCTGCATACATAAAGTCTAGCGCTATAGATTCCCACTGCTGGCCTCTGGACGGGTGCCAGCTGGCAGGGAAAGAGGGTTGACAACCATGGGCCCAGCACGTGCAGAATGCACGGTCAGTGTCCACTGAGTATATCCCAAAAGCTAACGCTTGGCCAGGAGTCCAGTCTCCCAGGGATATTCAAAGCACGCCTGCTGAGTGAGTGAGTGAATGAATGAATGAATGAATGACCCTCACGGGGTCCTTAGGGCAAGACAGGATCCACCATCTGCAGGGAGATGCAGTTTCCTCACCACCCCATGCCAATGCAGTTTCCTCACTCCTCCCCCCATGCTGATGCAGTTTCCTTGCTACACCCCCTCCAATACCGATGCAATTTCATTGCTCCCCCCCACCCCCATGCCTGTGCCCACACTCTCTTTCCTAGACAGGCTCCCGGGGGAGGGGGGGCGTCCCTCCTGGGAAACCCAGACACCTTTGCTACTCACGAATCGCGAGGAGTTGTCATTCTTGACCGTTTTGGCATTGCCAAAAGCCTCCAGAATCGGGTTGGCTTGCAGCAGCTGCTTCTCCAGCTCCCCCTAGAATTCACCCGCAAGGAGTTACCGGAGAAAGTGGCCCCACACCCCAGCTGTGCCCTCGTGGGGGCATCGCAGCGCTCTGTCCGGACTGAGCCCGGCCTCCTCATCCCATCCAGTCCACCTCCGCACCACGTGGAAACAGACCACGCCCCCGGCCACAGGCACCACCCGCGCTGGGGCTCACACCCACCCGCCAGCCACCACCCTCCTCCTCCTCCGACCCGTCCCCAGCTCAGCGCCACAGTGGCGCCTGGAATGGCCTGTCCAGCTCCTGGGGAGGGAGGGACAGAGCCAGCCCCTGGGGGTGCCTCTCGCCCCCCTGGGAGCTTCCCCACCAGAGGCCAGCAGCCTCCCTGCCAACTAGCCCCCCGCCCCGGGGGCGCTCCTGGGCTCAAACACAGTGTTTCTTGGGGAGGGGATCGTGACTCGTGCCAGGGAAGCAGTGAGCCGCGTGGAGGCTGGGTCCCCCAGAGCCGAGAAAGGCGGGGGGGGGGCAGGGGTCGGCGTGGGGGTTGCGGGGGGAAGAGCCGCTTCCTCCTGCCTGGGGGATCAGCCCCCCTGTCCGGCTTGTCTGCAGGCACCCCCAGAGGCAGGGCTGGGTCCAGCACGCCTGCGTTCACCCCTGCGCCTCCTCCCGCAGCTCCCAGAGGAGGAGAAGCTGAAGAAGCCCACTGCCGGTGGCGCCCCCCCCCCCCCCCGCGGCGGGGGTTCTGGAGACCCGCCCCATCCCCTCGGATCCCAGCCCTCGCCCCGGGTGGTCACAGACACAACCCAGGCAAAGCCCCAGTCTTCCCCAGGAAAGATTCTCCTTCTCAAACGGGAAGTCCAGTGGGCGGGGCCGAAAGGGCCCCGAGATCCCCCCATGAGGAAGGGGGGGGCCCTGTTCCTGTGGCTGGGTGGGGGGTGGGACTCTGCCCAGGGAAGTTCTGTGACGAGACCGAAGCTGATTCCTGATTCTCGGGTGGAGGAGAGGCTCTGCAGGGGGAACCCTGGATCCAGCCCCAGGACCGCATGGTCTCCCGAGCACTGGACCAAGAGTCAGCCCCAGGACTGCCACTATGCTCCACCCCCCAAGAAACAAGACAACCAACCAAAGGAGTTCCCGTTCTCCTTATCTCTCACACTCCGCCACCCCGGGGGCTAGCTGCCTGTCCCTCTCCAGAGGGGCGCAGGGAACCCCCAAGCTCAGGGTGAGACGCGCACCCACCCAGGCCAAGGGCCGAGCGGGGTCCTGTGGCGACGGCATAGCTGGGGCCTTACCTCACCTCCAGGGCCATAGCTCATGGCAAACCCGTCCACCTGAGACTTGGCCCAGCCCCCGCATGCAAGGACACACGCGCACACACCACTGCACACACATGCGTGAGGACACACGTGCGCGGGGAGGGGGGAGGCATGCCACAGCGGGGAGACTCGGGGCTAGCTAGCCCTTCCTGGAACACCCCTCCAGTCGGGCCGACGCCACGGCTGGGCGCCGCAGGGGCCCTGGGGGCGGGTGGGGGGTGGGGTAAGGGTTCAGGCGTCATTCTCGACCGGGCCGATGGCAGCTCCCTGGTGAGAATTTCGAGGTGGCGACAGGCCCCCTGGCCCGTGGCGGCACGGGGCCCCCACGGGACTGCATTTGGGGGTAACTGTGGCTCTGGCGGGGGCTGGCCCCTTCGACCGTCAGCGGCGGGCGTTGGGGTGCGGGGGAAGCGTGCAGATCTGAGCCCACTCCATGCCTCCCCCACACGCTAGGAAACACTCCCGGTTACTCACGTAGGCAAAGGATGGGCCCTGCGGTGGTTGAACGGCACAGATGTCAGTGGCGGTCTCACCGTCACCCCAGGCGGGGCCGGAGAAGACGCCCCACCCTGCCCTGCCCCACCCACTGCGGACCGGTGTTCTCCCAGGTGACCCTCTGCCCGCTCGCTCCCCTCTCTCATCCCACAGGCTCCCCGGGGGGCTCTGCCGGGGGGGGGGGGGGGCCCCGTGACCGGCTCACTCGCCCCACCCCAGTGACCCCAACTGCCCAAGGTCCAGGCCTCGAGCCCTGGCAACCACGTCTTCCTCATCACCCTCTTCCTCTCAGCCTGTCTGAGCCGAGGACACGGGGGGGGAGGGGGGGCGCGGGGTCGGGGCCTGAGAAAGAAGCTTCCACACTGGTCTTTATTGCCGCGGGGGCAGGACAGAGGAGGGGGCAGAAAGGGTGGGGTGGGGTCCACTGCCTTCACTGCTGCCTGTGCTGGGGCAGCTGGGGGCTCGGGACCCTCTGCTTCTCCGCATGCGCTCGAGGAAGGAAGGTCCTGAGGGCGCATTGGCGCCCACCCCACGCCCCCCGGGCCCCCCCACAAGTTGATCTCTGGACAGTTAGAGCCAGAGCCCAGGGGGCAGGAGCTGGGGTACCCTGAGCCATCTGTGCGGCCCCCCAAACTCCAGACAAGCAAATCCAAGGTCCACACTGCCTGGTGTGACTCTGGGACAGAAGCGGAAGGAGGCGCAGGAGGAGGAGGAAGAGAAAGATGGTCCAGGGAGGGAGGGCTCTAGAAAGTTCTAGAAAGTTCTTTTCCTTCTCTTGTCTGAGCCCTAAGTAACGGACTGCTGCCTCCTCCCTCCCTGTCTCTGGCCACTCAGGGACTAGGAGGACTGTGGCTGGTCAATGGTCTGCAAGTGCCACCGAATGCCACCCACCTTCCCGTCCCCAGGGCCCCCATGGGAGGGGCACGTGGGGGTGCAGGGAGCCCCAGGGGCAGGAAGACACGGGCTCAGAGCCGTCCAACGGGGGCCAGTCCCCTTCTAGGGGCCAGCTGGGGCGGCCGGACCTGGCCCCCTTCCCGCAGGGCCTGGCAGCCCCACGGAGGTCGCTGGGGACAGCGGAGCATTCCAAAGGGAGCAGCTGGCAGGGCCGCACTGGCCCGGGTCCGAGAACTGACCCCCCGCGGGGGTAGGAGGTGGGGTCCTGAGGGAGAGCCCCCCCCCCCCCAGGGCTGCTCGGACTGGCGCTGTCCGAGGTGCTGCCCCGGCGCGGCGCTCACCGTGATGCTCGTGTCCTTCTTGCCCTTGTGGGAGGACGCCACCACCGCCAGGTACTGGATCACCTTCTTGGTGTTCTCCGTCTTCCCCGCTCCGGACTCGCCCCTGGAAGACAGCGGGGCCGGATATTCTATCATATATGGGCAGTCTTGCAGCCACCCCAGGGCAGCCTGCTGTGTGCTGACGGCGCCCGTGAACGGCACCCGGCAGCAGGTGTCCGGCCCTGGTGGCTGTGCTGGGAGCAGCGTGAAGGGGCCCTGGGGGGGCGGGCAGGGCCGCGGGACAGTGTGTGAGCAGCGTCCCTAACGGAAAGCACAGCGTCCACCCGCTGCTCAGAGCCCGGCCCTGCAAACCCACTGCCTGCCCGACGGGAGTGACCCACGCAGGTGAGCACCGGGTCTCACACGCGCCCGTGGGCAAGAGTTCAGACTGAGGTGAGTCCTGACAAGAGAGCGGGGGTCCCTGTCATGCTCCGGTGGCCCCAACCGTCCCCACCAAGCTGACCGGCCGAGGGAGGATTATTTCCCCCGCTCTGACGCCTGTAGAGAAGTGGGGGGAGGCGGGCTGTCCAGTGACTGTGTGAAAAACTCCCCCCTTCTGATTCCTTTTTTATTTATTTTTGCTTTTTGGATCACACCCGGCAGTGCACAGGGGTCACCCCTGGCTCTGCGCTCAGGAATTACTCCTGGCGGTGCTTGGGGGACCATATGGGATGCTGGGGATCGAACCCGGGTCGGCCGTGTGCAAGGCAAACGCCCTACCCAATGTGCTATATTGCTCCGACGCCCTTCCTTTATTTTCACTTTTGACTGAAACGTCTTTGTTTTTTGAATTCTCTGGTTCTTCCTCCCCCCCCATGCTTTCTTTGCCTGCGTGCTCTCCTTTTCCCGAGAGTTCTGAAAAGCGAGAGAACATTTTTTTTTAGTTTGCGTCTGGAGAAGAATCTGTCCACCCTGACCCAGGTTGGCTCAAGGGCTGCGGCGCTGAACCAGTGCGATGGTCCTGCTCCCTAATTAGGAAGCAGGGAAATGAAACTGCTCAGGGCCTCCTGGAAAGAAGGGAAGGAAGGGAAGGAAGGAGGGGGAGGGGGGCGAGAAAGAGAAGGGGGGGAGGGGGCTGGAGCGACGGCACAGCGGGTAGAGCATTTGCGTTGCACGCGGCTGACCTGGGTTCGATCCCTGACATCCCACGTGGTCCCCTGAGCACCACCAGGAGTCATTCCTGAGCCAGGAGTAACCCTGGAGCATCGCTGGGTGTGACCCAAGGAGAGAAAAAAAAGGAGGGAGGGAGGAAAGGAAGGACGAAAAGAGGGAGGGAGGAAGAGGAGATAGGGGGAAAGATGAAAGGGAAGAAGTGGAGGAAGGAAAAAGGGAAGGAGGTAAAGGAAGGAGGGAAGAAGATGAAAGGAGGAGAGAAGGAAAAGAGAAGTGAAGGAGGAAAGGAAAGGAGGGGACGGAAGGAAGGAAGGAAAAGAAGGCGGAAGAATGGAGGGAAGGGAGGGAGGGAGGAACGGAGGGAGGGAGGGAGGGACGGATGGAGAAACGGACAGAGGGAGGGAGGGAGGGAGGGAGGAACGGAGGGACGGAGGGAGGGAGGCAGGCTGCACAGAGAGGGGACGAGCTCGCCAAGGTCACGGAGCAGACAGGGCCGCGGTCAGCACCGGCCACTGCAGGCAGTTGTCTTTCCACGTTTGGCCAAATCGCCCCAGGACACAGGCCCCGCCTTCCAGGCCCTCAGCTTCCCAAGGCCAGCGGAAGGGACGGGGAATGGACAGGTGTTTGCCCAAGGCCTGCTCCGTGTAGGTGCTGGCGTCTCTCCTGATTCCCCCCACCCGATGGCGTCTGGAAGGATTAAGGATCATACACCAGGGGAAACTGAGGCGCAGAGTCCGACGGAAATCACTCAACGTCACAACCGCCCCTGCTGGCCCACAGACAGGAAATGAACACGAGGCGAGTCTGGGGCACGGTCCCACCCATGCCAGAGCCCCTTTCAGTCTGTCTGAGAGGAGGAGGGGCTGCAGGGCGCCCCCCAACCCCGCTCGGCCGCACAGGCTCATTTCCTGAACAGTTTCCTCGGGAGTTCTGGAAACAGCCGCTCAGACCCTCGCACCCGAGGAAGAATGATTCCACCAGGCTGACGGCCACAGTCCACTGGACATCACCCCAGACAGAGGGCCAGATTCTTTGAAAATTTTTTCTTTTGGCTTTTTGGGGTCACATCCTGCGGTGCTCAGGGGTTCCTCCTGGCTCTGCGCTCAAGCATTACTCCTGGCGGAACTCGGAGGGATGCTGGAGATTGAACCCGGGTCAGCCACGTGCCAGGGAAACGCCCTCCCCGCTGTGCCCCTGCACCCTTCCTGCCCCACGATTTCCTTCCTGCCTGTCAGTAGTTTGAGTCTCTGTCACCTCTTCCCTTACAACAAAGATGTGCGGGCCAGAGCGATAGCACGGCGGGGAGGGCGTTTGCCTTGCACGCGGCCGACCCGAGTTCGATTCCCAGCATCCCATAAGTCCCCCGAGCACCACCAGGAGTAACTCCTGAGTGCAGAGCCAGGAGGAACCCCTGTGCATTGTCGGGTGTGACTGAAAAAAGCAAAACAAACAAAATAAACAAAGATGTGGTCAGCCCTTCGCTGGGGCCCTGGTCTCCCACCTTGGAGGGGCGGGGGGTGGGGCAGGCACCCCAGAAATGTGCTTCTCCCCTTGACGCCACCGCTTCTAAGTTTCGCCGATAAAAATAAAATTTCCTGGGAGATTCTGCCAAAGAAAACGTCCTGGGCTCTGGGCTGGTGGGCATCTGGGACGGGTGCTCAGGGCTGCTCAGAAAGGAACCGATCTCGAGCCCTTCGGGGTGAGGACGCGGCTCTGCTCGGGGCGTCCGAAACGTCTGACCTGGCCCCTTGGGTATGGGGTGCCGGCTCCCCCCCACCCCAAGCCGGAATGCAGACTCAGAGCCATATAAGGCTTCCTGGCCAGATGGCCACTGTGCTGCCAAGTCCCTTTAATCATCCCAGTCCTGGCAGCTGGTGGGGGAATGACCCAAAAGCTTCTTCACCCCTGCCCCGTCCTGCTCAGGACCCCAGCAGGGGGCTCAGAGCCGCAGAGACCATCCTGGAGAGAACCTCCTCGCGCTGGACTTAACATTCCGATTAGCATCTTAAAACTTCATCGTTCAGAGCTAGCATGAATTTGCATTTCCCTTGGCACAGTTTTACAAATGACAGCGTCAGTCCTGGCTCTCAGCGGGGAACAGGGTGTCTGCTTCTGTGGCAGCCTGTCTGCCGGGAAGAGCAGAGTCCCACGGTCCCCTCCCTGGTCCTATGTGACTCCCATCCCCCACGCCTGGCAGGACGCCCCGGCATCTAGGTGGTCCACCAGCAAGAATGGACACCCCCAGCTCCCAGGAGAGACCATCGGAGTTCCACCCTCCCTGGGCGGCGGGCCGAGCGATCTCACTCTCCCAGGTCCGAAATGGGTAGTAAACACAATAATTATAAAGATAATTTCACCGATATTAGGAGTTTGGCGCCAGACAGGTACTGCAGCGGATGGGACGCCTCTCTTGCAGGGGGCTGCCCCAGCTCCGATCTCCCGCAGCCCGTGCGGTTCCCTGATGACTGCCAGGAGTCATCCCCAGGCACAGAGCCAGGAGGAGGCCCTGAGCACGGCTGGGTGTGGGCCCCCAAACACACAGAAGATTTATATTAGACCTTTCAGTATCAATATTGCAAAGTACAATGCCCCAAAGGAGAGACAGAGAGGGAGACAGAGGCAGAGAGAGGAAGAGAGGGAGGGAGGGAGGGAGGGAGGGAGGGAATAAAGGAGGGAAGGAGAGAGAGGGAGGGAGAGAGAGGGAGGGAGGGAGAGAGAGAGAGAGAGGGAGAAGAAAAGCACCTGCCACAGAGGCAGGCAGGGGGTGTGGGGTGATGGAGGGAAACTGAGGACTCTGGTGCTGGGAAATGTGCCCTGGTGGAGGGACGGGTGTTGGAACACCATAGGACTGAAACCCAATCACGAACAGCTCTGCAAGGTCTATCCCACAGTGATTCAGTAAAAAAAGTCAAAACTTTATATTCGAGTGCAGGTGGAAAATCCATCTGGGCTGGCAGCTCCCCCCGCTGCCGCCTCTTGGGTCCACGTCTTCTCCCCTCGCCTGCCACGCCCTGATCATTCCAGAAAGCGCATCCTCTGAGACCAGCCCGGAAGGCCGCCGGGCACGGAGACAGATGGACACAGCGGCTGAGGGGAAAGCGGGTCCTGGGGGAGGCTGGATGTCGTTTAGAAGCTCAAGTGCCCCTTCTCTGCCGGAAGGAGCCCGACAGGACGCCCCGAGAGCCACGCCGCCGGACCCCGCGCCAGGCTGGCTCACTCGGGGCGCCCGAGAGAGGGGCGGGTGAGAGCCCTCCCTGCCCCACGGGACCCAGGCCCAGCCGCTGAAAACCTCCGGAACCCAACGGCCGCCACACTCAAGGCCACTCCCCTTGCCCGAGTGAACCCATTCCTGGACCACGCGACCTGGGAGCTGATGCCGTGGCTAAACCCCAGACACAACTCACAGGAGCACGGGACCATGAGTCGGATCCCCGAGGCCACCAGCGTGCACCAAGGACAGTCCCAGCCCACAGCGCTGTGATCTGCCCCCCCCCCGCCCCCCGCCAGCCCCTAGTCCCGCAGCCTAGGGGAATGCACTGGGACATACAGCCTCGTGTGTGTGTGTGTGTGTGTGTGTGTGTGTGCCAACACCACGTTGAAGTGTGCGCCCCCACGCGTGCCCACGGGAGCTCCAGCTCGGGCAGCGTAAGTAGGTGGTTTTCTGTAGAAGCCACCATGAGAGCATGAGCGAGCTGGGCCCAGTGCTTGGCCTCCATGTGGCGCACAGCCCCCTCCTCAGGGAAGCCCTCCAGGTGACCTCCCGGGAGAGTTCAGGGGAACCCGCCCATCCTTGAGCAACCCGCCTCCCCCCGCCCCCTCCATCCCTTCACTCCTTCAGCCTGGAGGGTCTGGGAAGCAGATCCCAGGGGACTCCGCCCCGTCTCCCCGACATCTACAGCCGGGAACCCCCACAGTCCCCCTGGACGCTCTCAAATGCCTTCCTGCCACGCCCTGCACTCTGGGCCCGCAACCCAGGAGGGAGCCAGGCTCCAAGTCCTCAGCCCCGACCCCAGTTTCTCACCCTCCAGAAAACCCTCTCGGCCACAGCAGAGCTCGCCGAAGCTCCTTCCCCCAAAGGCAGGTGCACGTGGCCGGTGCAAGGTCCCTGGGGCGTCCCCCAGAACCCCCCGGCCGAGCAGAAGCCCCAGCCCTGGCTGTCCACGCCCCGCTCCAAGTCCCCACAGAGGCGTCTCGTTACCAGCCTTCCTTTTGATTACTATTATTTTTGTGTGTTGATTTGGGGGCCGCACCTGTGATGCTCAGGGTTTACTCCTGCCTCTGCACTCAGGGGTCCCTCCTGACGGGGGCGCAGGGGACCCTGTGTGGGGTACCAGAAATCGAGTCCTGGGTCAGCCACGTGCGAGGCAAGAGCCCTCCCCGCTGTGCTATCTCTCCGGCCCCCTCGGTATCAGCATTTATAACCCTGCCGGCTCACGAGCTCACCCTGTGGCTTCAAATACCCCAGACACTAGAGGAAAAAACACCCTCCCACCTCCCGGCCCCCTCACCCACCTCCGCTGCACCACAGGCCTATGAGGGAGAGAGCACTGCAGGGGGAGTCAACCCCGGGTGATCCAGGAGCCTGGGCCTGTCGGTCGTTTATTTGTAACAGCACGGACCCCCAACTCCAGGAACAAGATTGTACAGGGGTAAAGGTGCTTGAGGTGCTTGTGAAGGAAGAGGAGGAGGAGGAGGAAGAGGAGGAGGAAGGAGAGGGGGAGGAAGAAGAAGAAGGAGGAGGAGGAAGAGGAGGAGGGGGAGGAGCACAGCGCCACTTACGTGCAGAGGATGGACTGGTCCTCCCGGTCTGTGGAGAGAAAGGAAAGAACGGGGAATTAGGGTCGGCTTGGAGCTGAAGATGGAGACAGCCCCTCTGGGGCCGCTGGGGCTCTTTCAAAGCCTCCTCTGCACCCCCGAACCCTGAAAGCACCCCGGGAAGACCCGGGACCTCCATTGTCGGGGGTCTGTGAGCAGGACCTCTAGGGGCCCCGACCACTCCACGTGCCTAAGGAACAGACCCTGGCCGGGCCCTGGGCTCCACGCCCCGACCCTCACCTCCTCCTCAGTTTATCTGGGGATGGGGGTGGAGCTTAGAGAGCCTTGATGTGATGGCTGAGACGAGCAGACCGGTGGCTCAACCACCGGGCAGTGCCCAGGAACCTCTGGGGAGCTCCCCCTGGTCAGGCCTCTGAGCCATTTCCTCTCACTCCTCTCCCAGTGCTCCTGCGGTGCCGCATTCTCACCAGTGCACGACACAGTTCCAGCAAACTTTCCTTTCTCCCATCACCTGTGAATCGCGGCCTCCGACTCCTGCACCATCACCCTTGGCACTGCCTTAACACTCTCCACGAACCGACAGCTCTCTTTCTTTTTTTCTTTTTGGGTCACACCCTGCAATACTCAGGGATTCCTCCTGGCTCTGCACTCAGAAATTACTCCTGGCAGTGCTTGGGGACCATATGGGATGCTGAGGATTGAACCTGGGTCGGCCACGTGCAAGGCCAACGCCCTCCCCATTGAGCTATCGCTCTGACCCCAAACTGACAGTACTTGGCTTTCCCTTTTTTAATTTTTTCTGAGGCGCCGTGGTTGACTGAAGTCACTCATGACTCAGTTCCAGGCCTCCAATGTTCCTGCACCATCCCTTCACCAGCGTCCTCAGCTTCCCTCTCGTCCCCCCAGCCCGCCTCTACAACGGGCATGTTTTTATTTCATTTGATTTTATTTCTGGGTTTTGGGTGACACCCAGCAATGCTCGGGGCTTCCTCCTGCCTCTGCACTCAGGAATCACCCCTGTTGGTGCTCAGGGGACCATAAGGGGTGCCGGGGATCCAACCTGGGCTTGCAGGACAAACACCCTGCTCCAGCCCCCCTCTTTCATGGCACACGGCGTGGCTTATGATAGTGTTCGCGGTGGCGTTGGACGCCCGGTGGGAGCCAGGAGAGACGTGGAATATGGGCAGAACCAACCTCAGCTTCTCTCGGTCAGCCCGACTCCTGGGCACACGCGGACATCCACTGAACCTTTACTTTTGAGGGGCTCAGGAGTGAGGGGCTCCAACGGGGATGAGGGGGACAAAGGAAGGGCAAGGTTGGAGAAGGAAACCCCACTGGCATCCAGGGGGCCATGGGAGTGTGGCTGGCCTTGACCGGCACGGAGAGACAGGAAGTCATCCCAGAGAAGGACATACCGACTTGGGGCGGGGTGGGGGTACGCTGGCCAGAGCCTCGCCAGCAAGCACACTCCAGGCAGACCCCCCACTGTGGCCCTGGGTCCCGGAGAGACACCTGGACCACAGTTGCCTGCCCCGTGTCCCTCTGAGCTCAGCAGATGGCCGCGGCTCCCAGTCCAGGGCCCTGGGGTCCACGTCACCCCAAAACACGCCTCTCCTCCACTCTCACCCTTGGGGTTCAGTCTGCAGGTGGGCTTCCCGAGGAAATAAGGGCGCCGTGGCCCCGCCCCGTCCAGCCGCAGCAGGCCTGGCGGACCTCAGGGGACACCCGGGTCCCACAGAGCATCTATTTCAGCCGATCCCAAGCATGCCCGGGGTTGGTGGCCAGACAGCCAGAGGCCCGCGGCTGGCCATAAAAGGAGACACAGGAGCTGGGCTGGAGGCACGCCGGCCTCTCTCGGCCTTCCCGCTCGGCCAGGCTGCCGGGGGACCTGCAGCAGGGGGTGGTCCGGGTTAGGTTCCTGCTACCCACCCGGCGGGCTGGAAGGCACCTCCCACCACGACCAAGGCCAGGCAGAGGCCACCTAGTGGACACTCCTCCTGGTCAGCCATCGTCCAGACAGCCCATCGCAGGACCCCGGAGGCGGCTCCAAGCACAGCTCTCTCTGTATGTGGGACTCCCACCAGGCAGGGACAAGATCCCTGATGCAGCCCCAGGGGAGGGCCAGCTGGGTAGGGGCCGCCCCGGGGAGGTGCTGGGAGCGAGAAGGTGAGATCCGCACACGCGCACAAAAGCCTTTGGCAGGAGCATCACACACCAGGCAGTTCCCACTGACCTGAAGCCAGGGCTGGACCCGGGCGGAAGGGCTGACTCCCCCCAGAACAGAACAGAGGGCGCAAGATTTCCAAAGGACATGTGACATCACACATACACCTAAGAGATACTTTTTGTTTTGTTTTGTTTTGTTTTGCTTTTTGGGTCACACCCGGTGATGCTCAGGGATTACTCCTGGCTTTGCACTCGGGAATCACCCCTGGCAGTGCTCAGGGGACCAGATGGGATACTGGGAATCGAACCTGGGTCGGCCACGTGCAAGGCAGACGCCCTCCTCGCTGTGCTATCGCTCCAGCCCCTAGGAGATACATTTTTAAATTTCACTTGTTTATTTTTTGGGTCGGGGGCAGCCCCTTGTGGTACCCAGAGGTTACTCTTGACTTAGTGTGCCCAGGGGCCGTATGCAAGCTGGTTTTATTTGTTTGTTTGTTTTGGGGGGGGCACACCCGGCAATGCACAGGGGTTCCTCTTGGCTCTGCACTCAGGAATTACCCCTGGCGGTGCTCAGGGGACCCTGTGGGATGCTGGGAATCGAACCCCGGGTCAGCCGTGTGCAAGGCAGGGCAAATGCCCTCCCCACTGTGCTATCACTCTGCCCGCACCAATATAATTTTAATCTCTATTTCTCTGTCCCCTCTCCCTGACTCAGGGGCTCTCCTCCCTTCTGGAGGGAATGATCGGAGAAAGTCCCCCTCCTCCATATTCCCAGTTTCCCAGAGTCAGCAAAGGCTGGGCGAGACCACCACAGTCAGGCCAGATACGGGGGCTCCAGCCACCCTCACCCCCACATCACCACCTGCCTCTCCCCGTCTCTCCCCTCTGAGCAAACAGACAAGCTCCCACTCATGCCAACACTGGTCCATAGTTCTTCATTCATCCTTTCATTCATTCATCATGCACTGACAGATACCGATGAATGAATGAACCCATCAGTCGCAACGAGCCTGACCCTAGACAGTGTGCGGGCGAGACAGGAACAGGCCGACAAGGATGGCGCCTGGAGGTGCCCCGGGGGCCTTGGGAGACCAGGTCACACGTATCAAAGCTTCATTTAGGGTCCAGGGAGACAGGACAGCGGGAGGTTGTTGGTCTTGCATGCGATTGACCCAGTTTGGATCCATGGCATCCCATAGAGTGCCCTGAGCACCAACAGCACTTGGCTCTCCCCTGAGTGCAGAGCCAAGAGTGATCCCCGAGTACCGCCAAGTATAGCCCCAAAGCAAAAAAGCTAACAACAACAACAAAACCCAGCTTGCATACCACTAAGCCAGGGGTAACCTCGGAGGACCACTATTGGCTGCCCCCCCAAAATGGAAAACTTAAAAATGTATCTTCTTGGGTGGCACCAGCAGGTTAACCTATACCTGCAGGGCGCGTGTATCAGCTCCTGATGCTGCTTTCAGGCTTCCTGATACCCCAAAACTGCCGCTGGGCCTCTGGCCGGATCCCAACAACTTGGGACCAAGTTTCCTGAGAAATTAAATGGCTAAAAGTTAGCTATGCGGGGGCTGGAGCAATTGCACAGCGGGGAGGGCGTCTGCCTGGCACGCGGCTGACCCAGGTTCGATTCCCAGCATCCCATAGGGTCCCCCGAGCACCGCCAGGAATCATTCCTGAGTGCAGAGCCAGGGGTAACCCCTGTGCATCACCGGGTGTGACCCAAAAAGTAAAAAAAAAAACAAAGTTAGCCCACAAACCATGTCTGGCTCAGCTCTATAAGCTCAACAAACTATTCAACACCTGCCGAAGGGGCAGGCTGGAGGGAGGAAGGCGCAGTGTGGGGGGACTGGAGTTGAAATGCTGAACGTCCACAATCGTTGTGAACAACTCTTATCTTGTTCACAACGTCAGCACAGCCACCAACGGGGCCTGACGTGACCCTTCACAAGTTCCCACTCAGTGGAGGGGAGAAAAATCATTTCCCCAAAACTTAAACATCTCTCACGCTTTCTTTTGGGGACCTTCGGCTTTACCAAGGTGTCAGGCAACGCCCAGACAATTGGGCGAACACCCAGCCTACGTAGGGGGGCCTGAAAGACAGCACCGAGGGGAGGGTGCTCGCCTTGTATTTCGTGGGTTCCATCCTGACCTGGGTTTGATCCCCCAGCACTGCCAGGAGGCATCACTGGCCTCTGAGCACTGGTGGGGACTCTCTACCACCACCCCAAGTTTGAGGCTGGATTCAGGACATACTCAGACTCAGAAGCAACAGGACACGCTCAATGCACGCTTTGCCATAATAATGATACTCACGAAAGAACACTAAGGGGCTGCAGAGCTAGCACAGGGGGGTGGACTAGCACCCGGATGACCTGGGTTTGACTTCTGGCACCCCACAGGGTTCCCCTCACCCCCCGAGCCCCTCCCGGAGTGACCCCTGAGCCCAGGCCAGGGGCAATCACCATCACCCTGGAGGTACAGGAAAGCCCCGGAAGAACCTGGTGGCCGTTTCCCGGCCGCCAGGCGAGGCCAGTCTGCACTCACTGTGCGCAGAAGAGGAAACGGAGTCGGGGCCAGGAGGGCGTCTGTCTGACCTCCTGCAGGCAGGCAGGGAGGGTGGCCGTGGGCCCCGTGCCCGCGGTGGGTGCCCGCCCGCTCCCCCTCGGAGGGGACAGCGCTGGGCCTTTTCCCAGACGGCTGGCACGGCCGGACCCCGGGGCGGCGGGCTCATGCCCGTATTTGCCCAAGCTCCGTGCCCCCCACCCCCCCGGCCGCGCAGCTGCACACGCACACGCAGGCCTGACTTTTTCCCTTTTTCAGTCAGGGTTCTCCCGGGGCTCGCGCAGCTGCCAAACTGCACATTCCTGGCGAGAACCGCGGGCGGGAGGGACAGGAGAGGCCCTGGGCAGCTCTCGCTCCCGCTCGCGGCGCACCCGCCCTCCCCCAGCCCCGGGCTGGGCTGGGGCCCGCTGGCGGCCCACCCCGCGCCAGGGCCCTCACCTTGAAGCATGCTCCGGTAGGCCGTGTCGGCGATGGCATAGATGTGGGGGGGCATCTCGTGCCGCTTCTTGCCCTTGTACATGTCCACGATCTTCTCCGAGTAGATGGGCAGCTGCTTGTAAGGGTTGATGACCACGCAGAAGAGGCCCGAGTACGTCTGCCGACAGAGGGGCCCAGTTTACTTCCGGAAGCTTCTGCAGGGAAGGGGCTCTTCCACTCAGCAGCACCCACACTTACGAGCGCCACCCGGACTTCTCAGGCTGTGGCCCCACCCAACAGAAGCGACTCCCGATTCTCACTTTAGAGGTGCGGGGCATGGACACTCAGCGTCCTTGTGGGGACCCCTCCACCCTCCACCGCGCCCCCCTCCCCCCGCCGGACATGGCTGGGTCACCGAGAGGCTAACTTTATATCCTGGCCTGAAGCAGTCCTGGGTTCACATTCCAGCTCTTGCCACTTCCCTGAGTATCACAGACTAAAACAACAGCGACTGTTGGGGCTGGAGCGATAGCACAGCGGGGAGGGCGTTTGCCTTGCACGCAGCCCACCTGGGTTCGATTCCCAGCATCCCATAGGGTCCCCCGAGCACCGCCAGGAGCGATTCCTGAGTGCATGAGCCAGGAGGAACCCCTGAGCATCGCCGGGTGTGACCCAAAAAGAAAAAAATATTAGTAAAAAAATTAAGAAATACAACAACAGCGACTATTTCTGGAGGGATTCCCGGGTGCGGGCCCAGAGCGGAAGCCTTCCTTGGCGGCTTTTCCTGTCCACGTTTTGGGACCGCATGCAGCTGTGCTCGGAGAAACAGTGCCAGGGATGGGCCCTGGGCCCCTGCATGCAGATCACGTGCTCAGTCCTTTGAGACATCTCTTATCGGGGACGTCAGGCTGCCCCCTGACCTCCACTGCCACTGGACAATGGGGAAGTGGGCTTGAGAGGTCGTTAAGGGGTCTCAGTGCTGGTGGAGGAATTAGAAATCAAAGTCATTTTTTTTTTCTGTTCGGGTCACACCCAGCGATGCTCAAGGGTTCCTCCTGGCTCTGCACTCAGGAATCACCCCTGGCGGTACTCGGAGGACCCTATGGGATGCTGGGAATCGAACCCGGCTCCACTGAGTGCAAGGCAAACTCCCTCCCCGCTGTGCTATCGCTCCAGCCCCTGTCAAGAATTTTTTTAACCCATCTGGGACCCTTGAAGTTACGGGGGCGAACACATGGTCCACAGGCTATAGAAGGCCCGCGAAATCCCGAGGTCCAGCCCTGGTCCATGTCTGCCTGGGGCTGCCCGTCTGTTGCTATCCACACCCCCAGGGCTCTCGGCAGGGCCAGCCTGCAGAAGGGGCTAAGCACAGTCCTCCTTAAAAGGGATGGAATGGACACCACGAGGCTGAGGGGAGCCAGCTGGACACAGAGGTCACAGCACGGGGGACCCGCCAGGGGGAAGCGTCTGGAACAGGCAGGACCAGTGAGGGAGCACAGATGTCCAGCTTCCCGGCAGGGGAATGGGGAGTGACCGCTAGTGGGTGTGGGGTCTTGTGCGTGGACACCTGCTGGGGCCCTCTGAGGGGGTTCCCCTGGGAACTGGCCATGGCCCTGGTCTGGCAAAGGTGATTGGTATCAGGCTGGTGCCACGATTTTTAAATATAGCCCCCCCCCCCCCCCGTCCTGGCACAGGGATCCAGGCGGTGTCAGAAAAGGCTGCGGAGGCAGCATGTGGGGAAGCCCACCGACCCGAGTATGGGGGATCGTGGTACACGCCAGCATGGCCCATGGGTCCAGCTCACAGCGCGGGGTACGGGCGCCCAACACAGCATCTGAAGCCCCCTCCCCGCCCCGCTCATTTCCCTCCTAGCATTCCACCTCCCATGACAAAGGAGAGATGGAAATTCCAACCCCGGTCAGCACAGGGTGAACCGGACCACAGAGAAGTGAGCTGGCCACTGTCCCCACCAGGCCGCCCACTCCCACCGCCCCTAAAGAAGCCCCAGAACCAAGCTCTGCCGGGGAACGAGCCCTCACCCGCGCTCACTCACGCCGTGAGCCCTGAACGAGCCCTGGACCCCTGGACAGGGCTTCCCTGTCGACCAGGAGCACCACCGCCTGTGCGGGAAGAACTCAGGCTGGGGAGGGGCCCTCGGGGGCTCTGTCTGCTGGGGGCCACAGTGTGCGACGGGAGGGGCCAGGGCTGGGGTCGGGGGCGGTGCCCTTCCAAAGGCCCAGGGCAGTGGCAGTGGGAGGGAAGCATCTCCCTGGTTCTCGGCACTTCCCCGTAAAAAGGGCAGCCACGAGGCGCGTCTAGACAGTCGTCTGCTGGGGAGGGGGCTGCCTCCGCCAGGTCTGTGCTAGGTGCTGGCACCGTGTCAGGATGCCGGAGCTCTATCAGGGTCCCGAAGCAACGTCAAGACGCTGGAACTGCACCAAGACACTGGAGCTCTAAGGAAATTCTGGAATCTTATCGGAAGGTCGGAGCTGCAACACCGACGGCCTCACAAAGAGCCCACAGCTCAGCGAGCAGACAAAGGGGTTTGCAAATCACACCGTCCGTCGAGAGGACCGGGGTTCGGGCACCGGTCTTGCACATGGCCGAGCCTGGTGCGGTTGCCGGCACCCAATCACCTCCCTGGGAGAGCGAGGATGGGGACGGGGGATGCTAGGAGGCAGGGAGAGAGGGTCCCTCACCCATTCCGGGTGCTCGGGGACACCCCCAGGGGAAGCATGCCCTGCCCGGGGCCTCAGCAGACAGGGGGCGCTCACCAGCTTGGGGAGGCACCGAGGAGGCAAAGACAGCAAGACAAAAATGCCGGCCGTGGAGCACAGACAGGAGAGCGTGAGCAGAGCAGGCTTGTTGGTGCGGCTGGAGGAAGAAGGTGATGTGAGAGGCACAAGGCTTGTGCAGAGTTGAGCACTGGTCTGTGAGCACTGATCTTTGAGTAGTGATCTGTGAGCACTGATCTGCGAGTACTGGTCTGCGAGCACTGATCTATGAGCACTGCTCTGCGAGCACTGGTCTGCGAGCACTGGTCTGTGAGCACTGGTCTTCGAGTACTGGTCTGTGAGCACTGCTCTGTGAGTATTGTCTGTGAGCACTGGTTTGCGAGCACCAGCTGCCTGTGCTCGGGGCAGGAAGCCTGCCCTCTTCCCTCCCAGCTCACACCTTCTCTCACTAAATGCTCCCTAGAGAGGCAGGTGAGCTCGCTACAAAGCCTCCTCGGAGCAGGGTGGGGCTGGCTGCAAACAGGCGCTCACTAGGGGTTTGTTGATGGGGCAAAGCTCCTCCAGGGCTGGTGCAGAATCCTGCCCCACCCCCAGCCTGTAGGGCGCGCACATGCGGCATCCCAGGGCGATTCAGTCCAGCTCACCCCCTTTTTATTTTTATTTATTTATTTATTTTTGGGGTCACACCCAGCGATGCTCAGGGCTTACTCCTGGCTCTGCACTCAGGAGTTACCCCTGGCGGTGCTCGGGGGACCCTATGGGATGCCGGGGATCGAACCCCCTCCCCGCTGTGCTAGTGCTCCAGCCCCTCCCCCTTTCTTAGATGGTGGGCATCACTTACAGCCTGGACTCCCCCTTTCCCTCCGTGCTGGCCCTTCACCCGGGAGGAGGAAAGGCCGGCGGCTAAGAGAGTCTTGGACAAACACCAGGGCAGGGGCTCGAACCCTCGTTCTGTTGTTGGTTTCGCTTGGGGGCCACACCCAGCGGTGCCCAGCGCTTGCTCCTGGCTCTGCCCGCGGGAGCCACTCCTGGCGGGCTCAGGGGACCACGCGGGACGCCGGGGATGGAACCTGAGCAAGACACACGCAAGACAAGTGCCCTCCCTGCCGTCCCGTTGCGCCAAAGCCCAAAGCCCCCCAGCCCCCATCCCACACACACTTGTTTTTCTCCGTGTGTCTCTGGGCGACTTTCTCAGCCTCTGTGAGCCCCAGGAGTCCTTGTTTGCAAATACGCAATCCCTCCTGGCGGTGGGTGGGGGGAACCGATATTCCCACGCGTGGTGCCCCTGGAAGCAGGGAGGCCCTCAGGGAGCATCAGGGCAGGACATGCTTGGGTGTGTCACGGCAACCTCGTAGCACTCCCGACCTCCCTGCTCCCCTCCCCTTCCGGGGCTCCAGCACCCGAGGGTGGTCAGGCCCGGCTTCCTGTCCAGCCACCTGCCCTCAGCCGGCTCTGCCCCTCGGCCGAGGCCTCCGCGCCCCCCATCCCCCACTCCCGCATCCCAGCTGGCTCCTCGGCCCCATGCCACGGGCAGCCGGTGCCCAGGCCGTCCCTCTCGTGACCGTATTAGGAAGCAACTCGGGTTTTTCTCCGAAACTTTATATGGTCAACGGGCGAGCTCCGAGCCAGGCGCGTTCCCGGGGCGCCTGGCAAAAGCGGGAGCCTGGGGGCTGGGGGCTGGGGGGCTGGGGGTGGGGGTGGGGGAAGCCCCCAGGCGCTGAGGCCACACACACGCTGCTTGGACCTTCAGCTCATCACCTGCATGACTGTACTGGGGGGCCAGACCCCCCACAAGCCTCCTCCTTCCCGTCAGTAAGACAATGGCCGTCACTCCTTCCGCAGGGACACCTCTCCCGGGGTCAGGCACAGTCCACCAAGGACACGCCTTTGCTGCAGCCTTAATTAATTCATTTCGATTTTTGCACATCCAGCAACTGCTCAGGGCTTCTCCTGACTCTGTGCTCTGGGGTCACTCCTGGCGGTTCTCAGGGGACCGTACGCAGCGCTGGGGATCAACCTGGGTCAGAGGCATGTAGGGAAGAGCCCTACCCACTGCACCATCTCTCTGGCCCCGCGCAGACTTGTAGCATGCGTGCGGCTTATTTGAAATCGTTCCTGCGGCTCTTCGGCTGAGGCCGAGGCGTGCTGGAGCTCAAACCCCGGGTGATGAGGTGCCAGGAGTCACCGTGGGCGGCTCAGAGGCTGCGCCGGGCATGGCTGAGCCACAGCACCGACAGGAGAGAGCCATGGAGCCTTCCAGGTCCCTCAGAACATCGGCCGGGACCTCCCCGCGCGCCCACGGTGTGGGGTCAGGCTCAGAGAACAGAGGGGAAGGGGCTTCCATGAACAGGGACGGAGGGGCCACACCTGGCTTCCCCCCGCCCCACTGGGGCTCCACGCCATGCTCGGGGGAGGGGAGAGAGACCCTGGGCCCCCGACCCCTTCCGGCTTCGCTACAGACGACGGCTTCCTGAGAAAGTGAGTAGGGGGGCCGGGAAGACCCAGGCTGGGGAAGCGCTTGGCCACAGGCCACGGGCATCTCTGCTCATCTGAGAAGCCCAGTAGGGACATGAGGCTTTGGCTCATTTTTATGTTCGTTGTTTAGTTTTTGCTTTTTGGGTCACACCCAGCGATGCTCAGGGGTTACTCCTGGCTCATGCACTCAGGAATGACTCCTGGCGGTGCTCAGGGGACCATATGGGATGCTGGGACTCGAACCCGGGTCGGCCGCGTGCAAGGCAAACGCCCTCCCCGCTGTGCTATCGCTCCAGCCCCTTTGGCTCATTTTTAATCCACTGTCAGAAGATATTTGGGCTCTCTGAGACCCCTCGTTGCTTCTCCTGAGGGCTTACGCACAAAGTGTCAGAGAGAAGTGGGTGAAAGCCCCCAGTCCTTCCCTGGCACTTCAAGGCTCCCCTCGTCCTACTGAGCACTGAACAGGGAGTGGCCTCTGAGCACTGTTCAAAGAGTCCGCCTTCAAGCACTGCACAGCGAGTGGCCTCCGAGCACTGCCAGGTAAAACTCAGGCAACCAACAAGGCTGGAGGGACAAGACAGCACGGAAGGCCCTTGCCTGGCCTGGGTCCCATCCCCAAGCCCCCCTGAGCCCTGCTGGGAGTGACCCCTGAGCACAGAGCCAAGAGTCAGCTGCCCTCACCCCATTGCAGAGGCGGGCCCATGGGAACGCCCCTGCCCGGCACACAGCCGACTCCGGCTCAATCCCTGCACCCATAGGGTCCTCCAGGCTCCGCCAGGAGTGATCCCGGAGCGCAGAGCCAGTAGGGCGTTTGCCTTACAAGCAGCCAACCTGGCCGACCCGAGTTCGATTCCTCCGCCCCTCTTGGAGAGTCCGGCAAGCTACCGAGAGTATCCCATCCCCACAGCAAAATCTGGCAAGCTATCAGTGACATATCCAATATGCCAAACACAGTAACAAGTCTCGCGATGGAGACGTTACTGGGCCCGCCCGAGCAAATCGATGAACAACAGGAGGGCCGTGACAGAGGAGCGGCAGCCAAGAGCCTGCGCTGCCTGAGAATCTTTCGAAATGGGGTTTTTGGTGGAATCCCTGTAAGAGACCCTGACTAAGCTGTTCACGATCTGGCTTCAGTCGCACGGAGTTCCAAGCCCCGTCCCTCACCAGGGCACAGTTCCCAGCACCAGTGTCCCCAGGTGCCCACACCATCCCACACCCCCCCGCCAGCCTGCCTCTGTGGCAGGGGCTTTTCCTCTCTCTGTCTCTCTGTCTCTCTGTCTCTCCTCTCTCTGTCTCTCTGTCTCTCTGTCTCTGTCTCTCCTCTCTCTGTCTCTCTGTCTCTCTGTCTCTGTCTCTCCTCTCTCTGTCTCTCTGTCTCTGTCTCTCCTCTCTCTGTCTCTCTGTCTCTGTCTCTCCTCTCTCTGTCTCTCTGTCTCTCTGTCTCTGTCTCTCCTCTCTCTGTCTATCTGTCTCTGTCTCTCCTCTCTCTGTCTCTCTGTCTCTCTGTCTCTGTCTCTCCTCTCTCTGTCTCTCTGTCTCTCTGTCTCTCTGTCTCTGTCTCTCCTCTCTCTGTCTCTCTGTCTCTCTGTCTCTGTCTCTCCTCTCTCTGTCTCTCTGTCTCTCTGTCTCTGTCTCTCCCTCTTCCTCTCTCTCTCCACCTTTTGGGCATATCTCGCAATGCAGATACTGAAAGGTCGTCGTGTCTTTCCCTTTACCTACTTCCAACACCCAGTTCTTCTCCGGCGTGGTCGTTTCCAACCAGGACTGTCATAAACACGGGTCCCTCGTCTGTCTTAACTATCCTCCCCCATGCCCGCCCACTTGTGGTCGATTCCAACCATTGACCCGCGCTCAGTGCTCCTGGCCCCTGACCCAGCATCTTCAGCTGCAATCAGAAACTCTCTCTGCATATGCATGGGGGCGCTGTACTGCCTCGGCGGGGAGGGCGAGGGATGTGGGGGGGGATAATGCCCCTTGACAGAAAGGAAGTTGGGGGGGTTCCCGAGGGGCGCCTCGAAAGATCCGAACCCAGATCCGAGCTGACAATCCATTCGTCACAACAAGATGCCCCCGGGGGCCAGGGAGGTAGCACGGTGGGTAGCGCTTGTGTGCAGCCAATCCCTGCTCCATTCCCAACACCGCCTGAGCCCCGTTGGGGGAGTGATTCCTGAGCACGGAGCCAGGAGTCAGCCCGGAGCAAGGCCCCTCCCCCAAAAAATAAGGCGGGAAGAACCCAGGCGTCCCCCCGGCCAGGGGCCCAGGGCAGCCCGCAGGACTCACGTAGATAAGGCTGGAGAAGTATCTCTCACGGAGGTTGTGCAGCACCGAGGCCTCGTTGAGGCACGTCAGCTCGGCCATGTCCTCCACCTTGGAGAACTTGGGCGGGTTCATCTTCTGGATGTCGTCCTTGCCCACCGTCACCTTCTTGCCGTTCTCCAGCTCCACCACCACCTCGTCGCCCTTCTCCTCCTTGATGCTGGCCGCCTCGAAGCCCTGCTTCTCCGACGGGATCCACACCAGCTTCTTGGCCACCCAGTCGGCCTGCGCCACGGGGCTGTTGAAGTTCTTGTCCACGAAGAGGAACTTCTCATCGTCGCTGAGCTGGCCTTTCTGCGCCATGGTGCCTGGTGGGTCCCCTGGGGAGCGAGCGGACAGGGTCAGAAGCCGGCTGGAGTCCAGCACCCCCCCCCCGCAGAGAGGAACCCCAGGCCGGCGCGGGGACCAGGGGGCTTCCCAAGGGCGGGAGCCAGCATGTGCCTGGCAGGAAGGATGCCCGGGTTCGATTCCTGACACCTGCTAACGCCACCGGGCAGAGCTGCCCCAGGACAAGGATCTCTGAGAACAGAGCCTGGGACCCCTGAGGGTTGCTGGTATGACCCCCACACACACACCTCAAATAAATATAGTCATAGAAAAAAATGTTTTTTTATTAGTGAGACACCATGAGGTACAGTTGTAGACTTACAAATTTTGTGCTTGGGTTTCCATTATGCAATGATCGCGGACCCACCCTCGACGTGAAATTCACACACAAGTGGTACGACATGGGAAGTCTCACGTTAGGCGAAATGAGTCATAGAAAAAAATTTAACTTGATTGCTTCTGGTTGCCAGGTCTAGGAAGAGAGACTGTGGGTCGTTTCTCAAAGACACAGACAGGGATTGGGCCTTGCCCTGCGGCTTTGTGGTTCAAGGGTGATGCAAAGGCCCCTAGGGAAAGGCCGGCCTCCCTGTCACCCATTAAGCGCGCCCCCGGGACATGCACCTTGAGGGTCTTCCTAGGACTGATGTTGAATTGACCAAGGGGGATATTCAAGTCCTCTGATGGTAGAAAGAAAAAGGGAGGGCCCAGGGTCAGGTTCAGTGGGGGTGGGGGGTGGGCGCCTGCCTTGTGGGCATAAGGCTACGAGTGTCTTTTTCTTTTCTTTTTTTTTTATTTTTGGGTCACACCCAGCAATGCTCAGGGGTTCCTCCTGGCTCTGCACTCATAAATCACTCCTGGCAGTGCTGGGGGACCCTATGGGATGCTGGGAGTCGAACCCAGGTCGGTCCGTACAAGGCAAACACCCTACTGGCTGTACTATTGTGAGAGCTCTCTCTCCCCCTCCCTCCCTCCCTCTCTACCTCCCTCTCTCTCCCTCTTTTCCTCTCTCCCTCTCTCTTCTTCTCCCTCTCTCCCTCCCTGTCTCTCTCCCTCTCCCTCTCTCCCTCTCTCTCTCTCCTCTTTAGTAAGGACTTAGTTTTGCCTTTTGGAGGGATGCTAGGGGCCGCCAGGGTGAGCCCAGCCCACAGCACTAGCATCTGCTCCCGCCTTTGGGCCCTCCCTGACCCCGGCCTCCGGTCACGGGCAAGCAGGACCCTCTCCACCCCAGCCGCGCAGCCTGCAGTGGGCCGAGCTCACCCACCCAGGACAGCCTGGGGGCCTGGGGGCGTCTGTCCCAGCTGCGCCAGCGGCTCTCTCCAACCGCCCCACGTGAGCCGCCATAAAAGCCTCCCACAGCCAGCAAAAACCAACAAGACGCCGAACCCCCCACACACGGCAAATAAAAGGACACCGGCACGCCCCGGGTGGGTGCCCCGTTGCATCGGGAACTCCCCAACAATCCCAGATGGAGCGCGGAGATCTGGTCTCTGTCCAAAGGCGGCGGCTTCCTGCGGCTTTGATGTCCCTGACAGTTACGAAGTGTGAGAACAGCCTTGGTCCAAGAGCAGAGGGAAGGGAAGGCGCCCGGGCACCCTCCTGGGACAGCGTCTGCATCTCCCAGGGGGCGCCCCTCGGTCTAGAAAACCAGGGACGTCCCCAGACACGGCCAGAGTCCCCCAGGTCGGGGGTGCGTCCCCAGCAGGAACCACTGTCCGGGAACAAACGTCCAGCACACTCCGGACGACGCTGAGCAGGACTCAGTGCCAGCCAGACCCGCCTAGGAAGCGGGGTGGGGCAGGGGACCGAGAGAATCAGGACCGACAGCTGTCAAGGGGCCCAGACCTCACAGAGCACCCCACGGCCCCACTTTTGGGAGATTTTGGGGGGTGCTGCCAACATCCCAGAGCGAAACGCAGCACAGCCGGGGGCACGAGCCCACCACAGACGCAGGATGAGGGCAGAGCTCCCACGACCTCCCCCAGACCCGTGCTCCGACCCTGACCTTGACCTCAACGTCAGACCGATGGTCCCGTCAGGGGCTTGGGCACTTCTGCCCGTTCCGGCCCAGCTGGGGAAGGCAAAGGAGTCCAGCCCCCCCCCCCCAGGAGGGCTGTGTTGGCCCCCAACTGCATGGCCAGCCGTGGACACAGCCCACGGGGACGGGTCAGACACACTTTGTTCTGGGAGCACGAATAGCCAAGCGGTCGGAGCAAGAGGACAACGGGGAGGGCGCTGGCCTCAAACGTGACCCACCCGGGTTCGACCCCCAGCACCGCCCCCTCCCCCGAGCCACCAAAGGGGGCCTCGAGCCCCGCCAGAGTGATCCCTGAGCACAGGGCCAGGAGTCAGTCTCCTGGGCAAACAAAGTGCCCAACAGCCTCTACAGGACCCCAGGGGCAAGCCCAGCTCTGGTCTGCGTGGCCCGGGGGGCTCTGCACCCGTCTCGCGACTGTCAGCTGAGTGCCCACTCTCTTTTTTTTGTAAAGTTTCTTAAAAGTTTTAGATTTTGATTTTTTCCCCTACAGTCATTTATTTATTTATTTATATATTTTTGTGGACTGGAGTGATAGCACAATGGGTAGGGCGTTTACTTTGCACGCAGCCAACCTGGCCGACCCGAGTTCGATTCCTCCGCCCCTCTCGGAGAGCCCGGCAAGCTACCGAGAGGATCTCGCCCACACGGCAGAGCCTGGCAAGCTACCCGTGACGTATTCGATTTGCCAAAAACAATAACAATTGTCACAATGGAGACGTTACTGGCCCCACTTGAGCAAATTGATGAACAACAGGAGGACAGTGCTACAGTGACAGTGATTTATTTTGCATTTGGGGTCACACCTGGCGATGCACAGGGCTTCCTCCTGGCTCTTGCACTCAGGGATGACTCCTGGCAGTGCTCGGGGGACCCTAGGGGATGCTGGGAGTCGAACCCTGGCCGGCCGTGTGCAAGGCAACTGCCCTACCCGCTGTGCTTTCGCTCCAGCCCAAGTGCTCACTCTTGACAGCAAGTGCGAACGAGGGTTCCAGGGCTGTCCCTGACCTGGCCAGGTCCTTCAGCTGCCACGATTCCTCGGCGGGGGAGAGCCCAGATCTGCACCCCCTGAGAGCAGGGGGATTCCAGGTCCCCACCCCCACCCCACAGCCTCGGGCCTCGGCCATGGTGTCCTGTGGGAGGGACCTGCTGGGACGTAAGCTGGGGATCTGGGGCGGGCCAGAGCTGAAACCAGGGCCCAGTGAGCACTGCCCGGTGAGCCGGCCAGAGGGACGCGCTCAGCCTTAGCCAGAATCCCTTGAACAATGTTGGTGCCACTTGAACAGATTTTCACAAACTCCGAATCCAAATTTTAGTATCCAGTGTTCCGGCACTGCACATTTTATTTATTTATTTCTTGGTTCGGGGGGTGGGGGGTGCATACATGGTGGTGCTCGGAGCTACGCCAGGCTCTGCGCTCAGGGGTGGTCCCTGACAGTGCTCTGGGGCCCATACGCCGTGTCAGGGATTCCAACAACTTATAGTTGAGGCCGTCATGTGTAAGGTAAGGGCCTCCCCCCCGCACTGTCTCTCTGGCCCCTTATTTCCTTCCTACTCCTAATTTCTGCAGTGAAATTTTTATTTACTTCACTCTCTTTCCCGAGATTTCTAAACCTGATTCAAAATTATATAAGTCCTGCGAGATCTCATTGCATATTTTAAATGCCAAAGCAAAGGCTGTGATCTTCAACACAGCCCAGGTGCTGGAAACAGAGACCTCCCTCTGCCATGCAGAAATTTGTCCAAGATCAGGCCCAGGTGCAGCAAGTGTTGGGATTCCAGAGTAGCAGCTCTCCAGACCCTAACCTGTTCCTGAGAGGCAACTTGGATTCTGACTCTGTTATCAACAACAGACACTGGGAATGGGGCATTTCTCATCGTTCCATCATACTATAGAAGAACGTCCAAAACTTAAAATACAACTACCATAGGAATAGCAGTTCCACCTCTGGGACTTTACCTAAGGTTAACATAGACTGGAACTTTAAAATATATCAATGCAGCAATACTGTCAATAATCAAACCAAGGGACCGATCCAAGTGCACAAAGACAGGGAGGACATCCAGGAGAATATTACTCAGCCATGAAAAAGGAAGCAGTACCATTTACAACCATATGGATGGACCTTGACACTATCCTCTAAGTCTGGCTCTTGAAGCTTTTTACACGTGAGGATCAGCATCTGCCCTTCCAAACAGCAGTGAGAACAGCTACAGGCCTGTGATTTTCGATCTTTCCAGCCCTGCAAACCCGCATTTGTCCATGGGCCTGTGGTTTGAAAACCAGCGATCTAAGCGGACGAACGTGTCAGAGAAAAACAAATTCCATGTGGTCTGATTTACAGAGACGGAGAATCTAAGAAAATCTAAGAAAACGCGATGGATGCAGCAAACAGACGGGGCGGGGGAAGGGCAGGGGTGGCTGAAGGAGGTCAAAGGTAAGAGCTTCCGGTTCCATGTCTGTCCCGGGCACTCTAGTTAACGATCCGCGTCATGGAATTGGAAGTTGCTCAGGCGTAGAGCGTGACAGGCCCCGCGTGCAGGAGCCCTGGTCTCAGTCCCCCGGGTACCACCTGGAGCTCGAACGAAGCCTTGAGCACTGACCTAGGAGTAGCCCTTGAACACTGCCCTGGCAGTTGTGCCCCTCGAAGACACATACTTGCTGAATCACGTTATACGCCGACATACACGGCATCAAACGTTCACTATCACTCAGGTAGAGAGAAACGGCCACGTGCTCTCAGCCATCCTCCCACTCGGGGCCGGGCCAGGAACCTGGTTCCATGTCTTCTACGCACCACCCGACACTTCGTAGACAAATACAAACTTATCACAAACACACGACACCGGAGCGCCCAGCAAGGCGAGCGTCCCCCCGCCTGCAAGGCTGCCAAGGTCCCCAAAGTGGATGCAGCAAAACACAAGTTGGAGCCAGGACGCGCAC